AAGGGTGGAAGCGAAATTGGTGAATTTTTCCGACTCACTGCGAGAGCAGGAAGAAGCCGCAACACAATCATCCATGTACCTGAGGAATAGGTCAGGGAACCGACCTGAGTAGGCCAGGAACAAATACTGTTCCAGGTGGCCAACAAACAGGGAGACGTAGCTGGCACGCATGCGGGTTCCCATAATGACACCTTTTACTTGGAGGAAGTGGTTGGAGTTGAAGGTGAAGTTGTTCAATGTCAGAACAAGTTCAGCCAGGTGGAGAAGAGTAGTGGTGGATGGAGACTAGTTAGGCCACTGTTTGAGGTGGAACAGAGGCCCTGTAGGCCGTCCTTGTGGGGGATGGATATGTAGAGGGACTGAACGTCCACAAATAATTCTCCGCCATTTCCGGCACCTCCAGCGTGATCCAACTACTAAGCATATCTTCCCCCCTCGGCCCACCGCAGCATTCTGAAGGGACCTTTCCCTCCGTGACTCCCTGGTAACTATTTAGTCAGATTAATTTTAAAAAGTGGTGCGCAGGAGTAGGCTGTATACCCTCCGGCTTATTGTCATCTCATAACACCTGCAACCTATTCAGTGGGGACTGGGAACTCACTGTATAGCAAACACTGATCTGTTGTCACTTTATTGGATTCCTGTTGATTTTTCCTACTCTTAATTTCCTGCTTTGCTTTACTTGGATGATTCCATTTCCTTTATCTGGTAAATTCCCGAGACCTGAAACCCTTCATAATCTTAGCCATGAAATACAAAGATTGTGCAAGTTTTGCAAAAAATCTTAAATTCAGTCTTCTGAATTAAAACCGAAATTAAGAATTCCAAAATTCTGCACAATCTTAAAACTTCAAAGTTTAAGACAAATGGCAAGGTTAATAAGTCCATGAGGAATGTTAAGTTCCTGGTGGCTGGGACATCTACTTCCATCACTCACACTTGTGTAGCAAAGATCACAATACAAGCAGAAGGAGGACCTCTGAACTGGACGAAATGCTTCTGAACAGTCATGGCTTTCCAAAAGCTTGCCATGTTTCAAACCACACAACAATGTTTTCTCCTGCCATCTCTCAATCTGGAATTCTAAATTGCAGGAAAAATAAAGAACAATGCACTGAAATGTCAACATGAAGTCAACTCCCACCTCCACCCACTCTCCCTCGGCCCCATGAACTCAGATGCGTAGAGAGGTAGACATTGGACTAACATAATGCCAATAGGATATTACATTGATTCAAGTTGCACACGACTAGGTTTCATGCTAATGTAGGGAAATGTTAAAAACACAGACATAAGCATTATAGCACCACCATACACTCAAGTGTTCTGTTGTAGAGTAGAGGAAGACTACAGAGTAGAGAGTAGAGCAGGAAAAAAGATGAGGAAACAGGAGAGAGAATCACCAATCAAGACAGAGTAAACTGAGAACTGCGCAGATATATTTCTCCTCATACAAGGGTGTAAATGGCAAGAAAAAGATTGATGCATTAGTGCTGTAAACCATCTGTTGTTCTCAAACAGGATACAGATACACCAAAGATCACTCGGAGTTCAAAACAGATTAGAGAATCTTTTTTTAAAAAAAACAAGGAAGTCAAAGGTTAAAATGCCTCAATAAAGAAATTGACACTCCATTCTTTTTTTTAAAAATGTTGGTAATCCACTTTATTTGCAATAGTTTTGGGATACATTCCTGAATGGATTTGAAAATTATCTGCCTGACAGCACTTTCACCTCTGAGGCAAAAATCCTGATACAAGGCAAAACCCATCTGGATTCTGAGCTAGTCGAGGCTGACATTCCAGTGTCGTCCTGAGTGAGCTCTACATTGTCCGAGCAGTTATTCTTCAGGTGAGATGTTAAAACTGTTGCCCATTGCCCAGTGGACAACAGAGCACTATTCAAAAAGAGATGGAAGACCTGGGCAATAATCTTTCAAACAAAATTGATCATTCACTTCATGACTGTTTGGGGGTCATTGTTGGATGCAAATTAGCTGCCACATTGGTCTGCAATTACACAAGCATTATATTTTGCAAGAAAAGTGCTTGTCCTGTGAAGCGCTTTGAACACTTTGACAACATGATCAGATGCTACATTAAATACAATAGTTTTTAATGTATTATTATAAGGTCGTGAGGGCTTATAACCCAAGAACTGACAGCAACAGAACTGAAACTGAATTTACTTCCCACCATGTCAACCCAAACTTTTCTGTCCACACAGCAAAAAGATAACTAGTTCATTGCAAACCAATGCAACAGATAATGGCTATATTATTCAGAGGGGATTTGCACAGGAAATAAATGATAAATCCTTAGATTAATTACTTTTTAACAAATCCAAACTTCCGCAGCAAGAATCTAGGCATTCTGAAAGGTACCTCAGAGGTGCAAGCTGATCGATCCCAGTAAACTACTCCTCATATGGGCAATGTTTTGTAAGCACTTTGGTTTACTGGCACTGGTCATAAAATAGACCCTTATTAAGCTATCAAAATCTCTGTCATTAGTACAACAGAACTCTGAGTTATTCTTCTATCTACCAGGTAGAGGAGAGTTATGGACTGGAGATCAAGTTATCAATTGGTAAAACTCTAAAATTTGTTTAATAACAACAACAAATGACATTTGTAAAGCGTCTTTCACGTCGGGAGGATGATCATAGTGGCTCCTGCAATTCAGTGATTGCTGTCAAGTGAGTGACTGTTTTTGAAGGCAAACAGAGCAACCACCTTTCCATGCAGCAATGTCTCTTAACCCATCTTGAGGTGTTGACTAACGTGGAGCAATGTTGGTCAGATGAACAAGAGAAACTCCATTTATTTGAATAGTGCTATAAAATGCTTTAACATCCACAAGCAGATGGAATAAATGCTGCGTTTTATTGCAGTCTACTGCTGCACAGACAGCATTTCCCAAAGCCGAATGCACTGTTCTTTGCAGTAATGATTAAAAGTTAATACAGTACATCAACCCTTTCCCATATGCATACAAAGATTTCAGAACATCCAGCACGCATAAATCTCAGCACCCAAAGAGTCAGGAGCAGCTTGTTTGTGTCTTATAGAAAGCCACTAAAATTGTTGCAATCTTCCCAAATATGCCCCGAAAAATAGTCTTTGCATTTTATCTCGTGTCTCATCGCCTCATTAGAATGTACTTTACTGTAAAATGTAGTGCCTGTGTTGCATATTTGTAGGTTCGAATTCAAATTCAAGATCCTCATCCTCTCCTACAAGGCCATTCACGGCCTCGCTCCCTCCTACCTCTCTGACCTACTATCCCCCTACATACCTGCCCGTACCCTCCGTTCCTCTGGCTCCAGTCTGCTCCACATCCCCCGCCCCAACCGCCCTACCATCGGTGGCCTTCAGCCTCACAGCCCCCAGGCTCTGGAACTCCATCCCCCAGTGCCTTCGCCGCTTCCTCCCTTTCCTCCTTCAAGGCCGGTCTCAAGACCTTTCTCTTCGACCGTACCTTCAGCTCCCCTCTCGACTCTCTACCCCCTCCTCGCTCCATCCCTTCCCTCCCCTCACCCTGACCATTTCCCCCCCAATGCTCGGGTCCCGACTCAACTGTCCAGCGCCTTGGGGCGTCCTCCCGACGTGAAAGGCGCTCTATAAATGCAATCTTGTTGTTGTTGTTGTAGTAGTTGGTGAACACGAAAGACAATGTATGCACAGCAACGCCGTACAAAAACAGCCACGAATCAAATGACCAACTTTTTGAATTCGGGGAGGATGTTGGCCGCTACGCCGGGAGAAAACTCCCTTCTCTCTGCGAGCAGTGCCGTGGGAACTTTATCCGCTTTCAAGAGGGCACGAGGGTTCAGATATCGAACAAGAATAATCTGCAGGGGCTACGCGGGTGGGGGGGGGGGGGGGGAACCCGGCGGGTAAACGGGACAAAATGAGATTGCTCTCTCAAGTAGCCCATCTCTATCCTAACCTACTCATAAGCAAAAACAAGTTCAAACGACGCGGGTAAACGCTGCGAGGTGGAGACTTAAAAACCGCGGTCTGGGGGACAAATGCGTGACCGACCCTGAATTCAACCAGAGGTCACAGTTCGCCGAAAGCATTCCCTCCCGCAAAGGGACGGCAGAACGACCCGCGACAGGAATTAAGTTATGCAGGTCTCTCGACCGCAGAAGAGAGCCCGTTGCCCCGTTTCGCAGCGAAAACTGCTGCGTAACCCCCCGCTCCCCCCCCCGCCGGCTGCCCACGCCGAGGCAATCGTCAGCCGCGTTCACACGGGCTCGAGTTTCTCCGCGGACGCACGAGCTTCACACGGTGTACTTACCACGAGCGGCAAGTGATGTCAAGTAATCGCGATCCCCCCACCCTCAGCCCCCCACCGACTCCCACCCTCACACCCCCCACCCACACCCCCCCCCCTCACACCCCACCCTCACCCCCCCCACCCACACCCGCCCCACCCTCACACCCCCCACCTTCACACCCCCACTGCCACCCACCCTCACCCCCCACCGCCCCCCCACCCTCACACCCCCGCCCTCACCCCCTTACGCTTCGGAGAACATCCTGCAAAGTGCTTGGGAGACGTCTGGAAGACACACGCGTGTGTGCATGTGTGTCTGTCTGTGTGTGTGTGGGGGGGGGGGGGGGGTGTGGGGGTGGGGAGAGGGTTGCATTTGATTTAATCCCCATCCCTCCCTCCCTCCCTCCCTCCCGCTCCATCCCTCCCTCCCGCCCGCCGGACGGGTTTGGTGGGGGGTCTTTTTTTTTGCTGAGAGGAATCCACGCCGCGCGACGGTGACGGTGGCGGTGGTGCCGCCGCCGGAACGAACGAACGAACGACCGTTGGCCGCCGCCGCCGAGGACGACCCCCCCCTCCTCCCCACTCCCCGCGTGCGGAGGATGGATCCCGCGCGGCCCTGCGATCCGCTTTCTTTTTTTTCTCGGACTGATGGTGACTGACGGTGACTGACTGACTTGATCGACTCTCTGCCTCGCGCTCCGGCGCGCGCGCTCTCACCTGAGCTCATCGTTGCCCGACCGCCTGCTCATTCCTCTCTCGCGCTCGCTCGCGCGCGCGCTCTCTCTCTCTCTCTCTCCCGCGCGCGCGCTCGCTCGCTCTCGTCCACAGCCGTTACCCTCGCCTCGCTTCGCCCCGCCCACTTGCGTCATCGCGCACACCACGCGCTCAGGGCTGGCCCGCGCGCTGCGTCACGCGTCGTCGCCGGCCGCAAAGTCACCCGGGAGTTGTAGTCTTTACCTGGTGCAGCGTGTTGACTCCCCCCCCCCACCCCCCTCACCACATGCCTTACATACATACACACATAATAAAAGTAATAATAATACTTGCATTTGATATAGGGCTTTATCTCGTCTTCGAAGCGCTCCACAAAACGCCACTGCCAAGTGCGGTGACGGTGGGAGTCCTGCAGCTCTCAGCGCTTAGAGCGCTCGACACGCGAAGCGAGAGGACCCGGGTTCGATTCCCGGGCAGGGCAAAAAGTTGGGCAAGTTTCCTTGCGCTACACTCCTCTGTTCACCTAGAAGTAAGCAGGAAGCCGGTCGCTTTTCCGGTGGGGGGGGGGTAATAATTCCTTAAAAAAAAAGATAATAACTTGGTCACTCAACCCACGACTGTCTGTGGGACACTGCTGTTCGTGTTTCGCCCATAAAATATAGTCAATTCACTTTACAGTATACTTTGAGACATCTCGAAGACGTGATAAGGCACTATATCAAATGCAAGAATTATCATCATTATTATTATAAATTATAGTGACTATGTATTTGTAGGCAAACACAGCAGATTTAACAATAGCAATATCCCACAAATGTTGTTTTATTATGAAGTGGATGACTAATTCTATTTGGGGAAATTGTTGGCTCAGACACTAGGAGAAACTCCCTTCTGTTTTCTAGTCGTGCCAGGGGATTTTTAACATCTGATGATGGGACCTTCCTGTGCATAAATTTGCTGCCATGGTTAAATACAAATACCCATCCATGACAACAATTATCTGTGAAGTTATCAAATGCGAAAGTGGATTTTGGGCAAGCACGTTAGCAGACTTTCTTTCTGTCTGATACACGCATACTAGGACAGACCTTGAGACTACAAGTCACATAGTTTGGAGCTCATCCAAGCTCCTCTTCCTCCTGCCCTTGTCTGAGTTTTGCTTCTTTTCTTTTAGCAAATGTAATTTCCAACTTCTCATCTTTTCTGAAGCATGTGACATTAATCAGTAATAATACCTCAGGCTAAGTCACGCTCTTTGCTGGTATGGGTGGAGGGGCTTTTGTAAACCTGCTGAAATTCATAAACTGGAGCTGGCCAGAATGATCTGCTGAGGAACATTGTGGGTGGAGCATGCTTGGGACTCGTGGCACAGACATGGCTCTCTACATCTAGAGCAGTGGTGGCTAACTTGTGATCCACACAGCCATCAAGAAGCAGCCATCAAACCCCTCCCCCAGCCCCCCCCCCCCCCCCCCCCACCCCCACCCCGCCGCCGCGAACATTCGCACAAGTCTAGCTAAGTCTGTTGATTTCTTGCATAGATCAAGAAATATTCAATCAAGAACATTTACTTATTTTGTTGGCCAGCCATAAAGGTTGGCCCCCACTGATCTAGATGACAGTGTTGTTTATTTGTTGGGCTGCTCTTCTGAAAAGGCTGAGTGACTCACGCTGTTGTTCTGTTTCCCAAGGCATCAGCTGGCGAATCGGCACACAGAACCCTCTGTTGGGTAATCTTGGAACTGTATGCGGTGCGGAGGTTTGGTCCTTTTGACCCGTTTTCATTGAGTCTAGACTGACACCGGGGAGCACTGCATTGTTGGGAGGTGCTGTATTTCAAATCAAACCTTAAATTGAAATCCTTGGGATGTCCTCCCGACTTGAAAGGCACTTTACAAATGTAATTTTGTTGTTGTGGCTACTGTTGACGTCCAATCTGGCTATTAGATGGGCATTAAATAGCGTTGCTCAAAGAGGAGAGATTTCGTCCAGTGTTTTGGCCCCAAATAAATTGATCATTCTCCTCCTATCTGTGTGTGGCACCAAGAAAAATAGCTACTTGGCTCTTGTCAACCTGCACCAAATATTTCCCGGAATTAGGTAAGCAGGATGTGTCCCTCCAGGAAGAGAGTGCGCATTCCATTCCAACAATTTATCCCTGGGATTTCCATGTGTAGGTGGGATGCATGGAAGTCTCAGTTTGGTTTGGATACTCTTAAGCATGGTGATGAGTTTTCGGAGGTGTTTGCCTTTTATATATCATCATATATCATATATATATATATTTATATATCATCTCATGCAAATTTACATTCACATTTACTTTCACATAAATAGAAATAGTGTGTCGTACTTTCACAACGTCCCAAAGAGTTTAACACAATTGGCTGAGCACCTAAGTCAAAGGTAGGAGCTGAGAGGGGTGGGCAGGGGAAAGATGACCGAAAGTGCGGTCAAAGAAGTAGGTCTTGAGACCTTCATCCAAAGATCCAGAACTCCAACAATGATTAGAAAGAGCAGGGCAGACTGGGGACAATCACCACCTCACTCCCCGTCTCTTCATCGAATGAATAGAATTTTATTGGCGATTTTTGCTTCATTTTTCTCGCAGAGCTTTTGCTTTGATGGGAGGGGGATGAGAGTACCTCAGAACCACCACAGCATGGTGCTGTTAAGCACGAAGCAGTGGATTCCAAGCCTTGTGGGCAGACAAAGATTGGACTGTGGGATACTGTACTATTAATTCTTCTCTCCTCCTCTCCTGAAAGAAGTAACATGGGTTGGGGAGAGACTCCACAATTACCATCAGTCAAGCCACCAGTACGTCATCCATGCAGCCATACAGTGCTTTGCGGGCCTGTGGTTGGTTGCTCTCCTCAGGAGGTTGAGTGGATTGGGTGGAATCCAAGATTCCAGTCTGTAGAGAGAATGGGCTGTTCCCATATTCTGTTATAACATGGTCAAAACCATGAATGTTTGTACTTATCAGTGAACTGACAGATTTGCAGAAGCTACACTCTGGAGGAGACCTCAGTAGTTGGAGTGATACACATGTTCTCGGTTTTGGGGATGCTATTTGCTTCTCCAGTGACAAACAGCACACTGTTAGACCCCAGACATGAATAAAGGCAACTCCCTGAGGTACTAGAGGGAAACCATGGCATCACAAGATAAAAACGATTTTCCTCGCCCTACAGACCTCTCTCTTTGACTGCACCTATGGCCACCTCCACCCCCCCTGTTCCGTGCCTGACCTTGAATACAAATGCAATTTGTTGTATTTGAAAAACATTTAGCAATGGGTTGAGTGTTTGGGCGGGAAGGGCTGGGGTCGAAGGTTGGATTGGGTTGAGGTGAGGGTTTTAGGCGGAAAATTGGGCTAGGTGGGGTTTGGGGGGGAGCAGTGAGTTGGGGCTGAGGCTGAGTGGGTAACATGCGCATAAATAGAAATAGAGTGTCGTACCTGAAGCGGTCTAACCGCGATGATAGTTTACTGGACAACTTTTTTTCAAAAATAGAGAGAGATTTGGTGTTGAGTTGGGAGTTTTGGCAGGAAAGGCTGGCTGGGTTGGGGAGGTTGGGAGTTGGGGTGGGTGGGTTTGGGTTTGAGATGGGGGTTGAGGTTGAGGTAGGGGTTGAGATGGGGGTTGGGGTTGAGGTAGGGGTTGAAATGGGGGTTGGGGTTGAAATGAGGGTTGGGGTGGGGGTTGAGAGGAGGGTTTGGGTTGAGGTAGGGGTTGAGATGGGGGTTGGAGTTGAGAAGAGGGTTGGGGTAGGGGTTGAGGTGGGGTTGAGATGAGAGTTGAGGTGGGGGTTGAGGTGAGCGTTGAGGTAGGGGTTGAGATGGGGGTTGGGGTTGAGGAGGATGACTTTGGGGTTGGGGTTGAGATGGGGGTTGGGGTTGAGGAGGATGACTTTGGGGTTGGGGTTGAGATGGGGGTTGGGTTTGAGGAGGATGACTTTGGGGTTGGGGTTGAGATGGGGCTACCACCCAGTCGTCCATTCGTGGGGCAGCTTTCGGGTTTGTTTGTGGGGGGGGGGGGCTCCACGGGGTCTCCCGCGCGGGGGGGGGGGGGGGGGGCGGGGTATATAATGGTGATGATTGACAGGTACAGACACACCGGGAGCTCGCGCTGGGCTGAGAGGCTGAGTAACATGAGGTAGACTTTCCTGGGGAGACTTTTCCTGAGGGAGACTTTTTTCTCCTGAGAGAGACTTTTTCTCCTGAGGGAGACTTTTTTTTCCTGACTGAGACTTTTTCTCCTGAGGGAGACCTTTTTTTTCCTGAGGGAGACTTTTTCTCCTGAGGGAGACCTTTTTTCTCCTGAGAGAGACTTTTTCTCCTGAGGGAGACTTTTTTTTCCTGACTGAGACTTTTTCTCCTGAGGGAGACTTTTTTTTCCTGACTGAGATTTTTTCTCCTGAGGGAGACCTTTTTTTTCCTGAGGGAGACTTTTTTTCCTGAGGGAGACTTTTTTTCTCCTGAGAGAGACTTTTTCTCCTGAGGGAGACTTTTTTTCTCCTGAGAGAGACTTTTTCTCCTGAGGGAGACTTTTTTTTCCTGAGGGAGACTTTTTTCTCCTGAGGGAGACTTTTTTCTCCTGAGGAAGACTTTTTTGCTGAGGGAGACTTTTTTTCCTGAGGGAGACCATTTTACATGTGTGTCCACATACCCTAAGAGGTGGATTGTGCTCTTGAGAGATGGAGACGTGAAATAGTGTGAACAGAGACCGAGTTAGCGGGGACCACACTGGAATAGATTCACTTTGTGTGGACGAAAGCGCAAAGTACATTTTTGTCGCGTCTACCGTGTCAAAATTGCTCTGAAGCATTTGATGTACCTCGTTGCAGGCGCGGCAGACATTTTTGCCTTCGGCACAGTCCAACAAACAGCTCGTGAGATAACGCAGGGGCAGCTGGCCAGGGAACACTCGGTGACTGGAGGTGGATGGGAAGAAAGAATACATCTAAGACAGGATTGAATGTCAGTGGAAACGCTGGCTGGAACATTCCGTTTCCTTCCACTTTCCGGTTTGTCTGCCCGAATGAAAGAAACAAAGACGTTTTAAGGGCGGTGTCAACATAAGCTAGTACCAGCTTTATCCTCTCCTGCACCTTTCCACGCTCAGAGCTGGATCAACACTATGTGGAGAAAATGCAGGTTGCTCAGCAATCGAACACATATGAGGCGAAGCTCTAACTTGTCGTAGGTGGGATAGCTAAGAGGGAAGGTAGGCTGAGCTCCGGTTCATAGGGCTTGAGGTGTCCTTGCTTGGCACGTGAGTTGGGATGAGGAGGGAAAAAAATGACTGAAGGCATGGTTTCAGGAGATTACCTTGAAAGAGGTGATGGAGTGGAGGGGTTGAGTTGAAGGACTCTGAGATAGAGTTCTAGAATTGGGGAGTTCTATGAGTGTGAGAAGAGTGGATAGATATTTGGGGAGGACAAATTTGTAAGGCTATGGGGAGAGGACAGAAGAGTGGGCTTAATTTGGATAGCTCTTTCAAAGAGCCGGCAAGTGCACGATGGGCCGAATGAACTCCTTCTGTCCTGTATAATAATATACTTCTAGGTAGAGGATGTCAGGAGGACGTCCCAGGGAGTTTGAGGGGTCCTTGCTTGGCACCCGAGCTAGGAGTGAGGAGGGGAAAGATGGTGGAAGCCATGGTTGGAGAGAACCTTCAATGAGGTGAGGGAGGAGTGGGTAAATTGGAGGGATTGAGCTTTAGAGAGAGGGGCTGATCTTGTAGAGGTTGGATACAATACAAATTTACATTTATATAGTGTCTTTCATGTTGGGAGGACATTTCAAGGTGTTTGAGGTGTTTTTGCTTGGCACCTGAGCTGAGAGCAGGGAGGGCAAGGTGACTAAAGCATAGTGAACAAGAAAGGTATTGAGACAGACCTTGAAAGAGGTGAGGGAGAGGTGAGTTGGAAGGACTCCAGGATGGAGTTCCAGAGTTGGGCTGATTACCTAGAGGTAGACTAACGTTTCCTTTCAGCCTCCAAAGAAGAAATTAGCCACCAAAACGTAGCAAAGTCCAGCAAATGGACGTCAAAGAGGGTCAGTGACTGGAGTGAAGGACAGATGGAGCCAGCAAAGGAAGGAAGAGCACCTTGTCCAAGTAGAAAAAAATGGTTTATTTTCAGTTTCCAAAGAAGAATAAAGTGAGATTTTCTGCAGAGGATTTTCAGACTGAATGTCGGGGGTATCGGCCTTCTCGTCCAGTCTTGTGGGATCTATAATGTCTACCTGGAAACAAACGATTTGATCTTGGTTTGACGTGATAGTTCTGGACTGTCAGCCAAAGTGCTGACACGGGGTTTGAAACCACAGCCTTCTGACTAAGAGTTCAGCATTGTCCAGGAAAGGGTTCGGCAATGGGAGTGAAGGAACGACTAAAAGAAAGAAGACGTCTAAAGGTTGGACTGGCAGGTACTAGCGGAAACCTTACGGTGTCAACGTAAGCTAGTGCCATCTTTTTCCTCTCCTGCACCTTTCCACACCCAGAGCAGGACCAACACTATGTGGCTTGCCCAAGCTCTGGTTTTGTTGCAGCCTTCAAATTCGAGCTACATTTGTCAAGTTCCAGGTAAGTTCACTATGGACTGACTGTATAAGGTGAGTAAAGCAGGTAAGTGAGTTAAGTATTAGTTTTGTAGGTATCAGGTTAGGTTAGGGCTGCCCATCAGTCACTTGTGTGAATGTGCGACAGTTGGTTCTGAGTCCAGTTTATAATCTATTTCTCATGTCTCTGAGGTTGATTGTGGACGGGCTTACGCACGAGGGAGCTTCATCACCACATTCACCAGCAAAACAGCCGTGAGGCGAGAGATTCACTCCAGAGGAGCATCCGCCAGAACATCAAGAGAAGCTACATTCTCCACTTGTGATTGCATATGGATCATCGGTCCAATTCTCCAAACGTGTCTGTATTGTGGGATCTACAATGTCTACCCGGAAACAAACTACTTGATCTTGTTTTTTATGACGAGTCGTCTGAAGGTTGGATTGTCTGCCCATGCAAAGTTTCCCCCCACCCCCCCCCCCAGTTCTGGACTGAATGGTCAACCAAATTGTTGAAACAGGGTTTGAAACCGCAATCTTCTGACTAAGGTCTCAGTGGAAACTGGAATGACAGCACCGTCCAGGAAAGGGCTCAGCAATAGGAGTGAAGGACCAACTAAAAGAAAGAGACGTCTAAAGGTAGGACTAGCAGGTAACAGTGGAAACCTTACGATGTCAACGTAAGCTAGTCCTGTCGATTTCTTTCCACAGCCGGGTTGTCTGGCTGTGCGGAGTTTTCCCCCCGGTTGTGATACGGGGTTTGAAACTGCAACTTGTTGACTGAACCTTGCCGGACCAAGGTCAATAAAAGAAAACATCTAAAGGGAGGATTGGTAATTACTAGCGGAAACCTTACTCTGCCAACATAAGCTAATACCAAAGTAAGCTAGTGCCATCTTTATCCTCTCCTGCACCTTTCTACACCCAGAGCTGGACCAACACTAGGTGGGGGAAATGCACTCAGCAACCGAACATATTTGAGGCGAAGCTCTGGTGTCCTTGCTTGGCACCTGAGCTGGGGTGGGGAAGGAGTAAGATGATTGAGGGCTCAGTCAAAGAGGAAGGTATTGAGACCGACTTTAAATGAGGTGAGGGAGGGGAGTTGAGTTGGAGGGACTCCGGGATGGAGCTTCGCATAAAGTTACTAAAAGTTAACTTGTGGTCTAATAAGTTTTTCAGCAGTTATCTGAATAATCCCTTAAAAAGATACAAATTTATAAATAAATTAAAAAATGATTTGGTCACTTAATCCACACTGTTATGCGCAATCAGGTGCCGCATTTCACCCACAAAATATACAGTCGATTGATTTTTGCGATATATTCTGTGAAAAGCTTTGAAACATCTCGAAGACGTGATAAATGCAAGGAATATTATTATTATCTTCCTCCTGGAATACCCAGGCTTTAAGACCCAGTAGAGCTATAGCTCCAGAGCAGCCAGTTCGTTACCATCTGGAGTTAGTTTCAAGAGCAGTTGCTGGAGAGCAGTTCAGCAAGTTCCACTGAAGAATCTGGTAAGAACAAATATCTATTCAATTTTCCGTGCGTACAAATCCGTTACGAAGGGACTCCAGCATTCTCTAACCCTGAAACCCGTCTGAGCTTCTCCTAACAACTTTAAAGTGTGATTTTTATATGTACGTTTAATGCATATGTAAAATATATACTTTGTTTTAAATGTAAAGACTCTCAAAGGATTGTAAACTGGAAGGTAATCTGTGACTTGCCTTCAGTTGCTTCTGGCAAGAGATTGTAGGGCTGTAGAGGTGAGACATTAGACTGATGCACGGAGGAGCATTGGATTATTAGAGAGAGGGAGAGAAAGTGAGACAGAGAAAGAGAGAGAGAAAGTGTGCATTTAGAAAATGTGCACTTTACCCTAAATACTGTACTGAGTGGAAAGTATGAAGAGTGGCCTCCAACAGCAGAAGCCATGTGGTTCAAATAACAATCAGCCAAGCAGCCTTATTGTTCATGTTCCAGTGAATATTCCTTCAGGGAAAATCCCAGAACCACATACTTGGAGCAATTTTAATCTCTGTTTACTGTGAATCATCTCTGTTTACTCTTGGAACAAAACTTTTTTTTTCTCTTAATGTATGAAGTAATGTTAATTGTACCTTAAAAATTCTAAAGCTAGTCTCTTGTGCTTGGTGGGGTAGGGGGTGGTGGGGGGGGGGGGTGGGTGGTGGTGTAAGAAAACCCTTTGTTCTCCAGAGTTTGATTCTTGGAGACGAGAGCAGTGGGGGAGGTGTTGGGAGGGTTTAATTACACCCAGATGTCTGGGTTAGATTGGAGCAACTACATGCACACTTCCAACCCGAGCACCAGCAGAGAAGGTTTGCAAAAGGACTGGCTTGTAGCCTGAAAGGACTGGGACCTCAGCCAAGCCACCAACCCCACAGGACCAGCTTAGACTTTGCCAATGCAGCCACTGACCGATCTGAAACTTCCTCTAACCCTGAATTGTGATGTGCCTCACTGCTGTCTGTCTACTGAGGGGAAGGGGCTCCTGAAAAGAAAGAGGGGCACCAGTTATAACTCGAAATTTCACTTTGTTTTGGCCTCTGAGACACACCGTTTGGTCTTAGAAATTCAAGATCACTGTATAAATATCACTAATAATTTGGTCACTCAATCCATGTCTGTCTGTAGGATACTGCTGTACACAATTGGCTGCTACGTTTTGCCCACAAATAGTCAATTCACTTTATTGTATATTCTGTGAAGCGCTTTGAGATGTCTTGAAGATGTGATAAAGTGCTATATCAAATGCAAGTATTATAGAATTGTGAAAAATTCTTATTTAGATATGTGAGGTCTTAAAAAGAAAAATAGCTCCCTCATTAAGGCTGACATTATAAATATACTGTAAAGTGTAGTGACCATGTGGTTTGTTGGTGAAACGGATCAGCCAATTGTGTACTACATTTCAGACTCTCAAACTAATTAAAAGTACCCTCTACACTGCAATCATCCCCCGCGCACTGCACCACAAACTCAATCCATGAGGATGGAACTGGACTGAAGATACAATGACAAGTTGTACTTATATAGCACCCTCCACACAGGGTAGCATCTCCGAGCGCTTAGAAGATGGAGCTGGGGACAGAGCCATGTTCCCACTGACTGCATTTACAGCAGGCTGTAACCACAACCAACGGAAACCATGAAAGCAGGAACATTATGTCTCATCTCTTCTTGGATCCTGAAGGGATTTCACTGCTTGTATAATGTAAATGAACAGTTTATGGGCACACAGTAAACCCTTCACTCTGTCTAAGATATTGTGATATAATCGCAGGGTTACTGACATTATCTTGGAGCTTTGTGAAGGATCACCCCAATGGCTCCTAGCAGCTGAGCCACCAGAAGAGGACGGTCCCAGGTCTACGTTGTGTTAGCTCAGCGGTCGGTGGTCAATCTTTTTGGTTGGCCAATAAAATAAATTTACTTGATTGAATATTGTGGAGTCCTGTAGCTCAGTGGTTAGAGCACTCGCTTGCAAGCGAGACACCTGGGTTCAATTGCAGGCAGGACGAAACCTTGGGCAAGTTTCCTTACTCCACACGCCTGATAATAATCCCTCCAAAAACAAAAAACGATAATAAATTGGTCATTTTCAATCCATGACTGTTTGTGGGACACTGCTGTGCGCAATTGGCTGCTGCGTTTCGCCCACAAATATATGGTCAATTCACTTTACAGTATATTCTGTGAAGTGCTTTGAGACGTCGAGAAGACGTGAAAAGGGCTATATCAAATGCAAGGATTATTATTTCTTGATTTATGACATAAATGTATTTTGTCAGTCGGCCAGACAGGTTGGCTGCCACTGTTCTAGGGCACTGACTGGAGGACAATGAAGCTAGAGCGAGGGCTAAAGACCAGGGAATTTGGATGATTCAAGGAGCAAACACTGACGAGTCAAATGGCCTCCTACTGTACCATAGATTTCTATGGATCGAATGGCATCATCATGAAAGTGCTCCCGTGAGAGTATACATCAACAGAACTGTCACAACTATCTCCGTGTATATATGTGTCTCTGTATGTAGGTAGTGCATTACCCATTCATATGAATTCACTGCAGACTTGTGACTGTTCCTTATGAATGTGTTATTAGTTGGGCTCAGCATGCCCTGGTCTGTTGGTCATGCATCAGAAGGTCTCCCACTCTGGCTTACATTGATCCAACTCAGCAGCTCAGCCTCCCCTCTCTCCGAGAGGAAAGTACAGCGTCTCGACAAGCTCGGATGTTTGACAGACTAATTAAAAGAGAACAAGAAATTGGGCAATGTGCGTTTGGGAGCAATTCCAGCTCCTGTCCTAACTGAGCTGCCTGGCGGGCTGACAAAACGTGCCGCTGACATCTCACAACTAACTACAATAATAAATGACATTTACACAGTGCCTTTCGTGTCAGGAGGATGGCCCAAGGCACTGGACAGTCAGGGATTTGGACCCGAGCAGGGGGTTGGAATCAGGAGAGGTGGAGACTACTGGTAGGAGGGTGACCGAAGGTGGGGTTGAAGAGGAAGGGCTTGAAGGAGGCAAGGGAAGAAGCGAGGCGAAGGGACTGTGGGATGGAGTTCCAAAGGCCAGGGGCAGAGAAGCTGAAGGCCCGACTATTGATGGTGGGGCAGGCTGGGCGGAGGACATGGAGTAAGTTTATAAACAATTAACAACAAATTACATTTGTATAGCGCCTTTCACAGCAGGAGGACGTCCCAAGGCCCCAAAACTCTTCATTTCAGAGCAGGGAGCAGGGAGGCTCCAGCTCCTATTAGTTTACTTAATGATTATCTTCCTTGTCTGCCGTGTGAGGAATCCCAGAGATCTGGAATTGCTCAGTCTTGATTTGGAAGCTGTTTTACTTCAGTTCTTTAAAAAGGGATCTTGTGGCTGGCTTCCACATTCAGGAATTTTCAAAAATACTTTTGCTCATCTTAAATTTTTTAAGCCATTGGTTTAGAGGCTAACACCACGAAGAATTTCTGCCACCCCTGGTGTCCAATTCAATAGATTGCCTGCCCACACCATCCCCCCCAAACCCTGCACATCCCCCAGCGGCTATTGTGTCTGTGAAAACCATTAGCCTCGAGGCCTCATTGTGCGATCTGATCTGAACCTTGTGCTTTCAGATATTTTTTACTAATTGGAGTCTGTTTGTTCTGTAGGTTTGTTTGTAACTTCCCCGAACACGTCTGGGTTCTAGCCATGGCTGTCAGAGCCGTATGCCTCATCCTGCTCTGTCTACCTGGTGAGTACGAAGCTGCGAGAGCCGGCTGGCCCTTGGGACAGAGACTTTGTAATCTTGTTAATTAATCCTGGCTCTCTATGGAGGCCCGGTCGCATAGTGCTTAGCGTGCTTGCCTCGCAAGCGAGTGGACCCGGGTTTGATTCCCATGCGGGCAAAAGCTTAGGCAAGTTACTTTACTCCACGTGCCTCTGTTTACCTAGCAGTAAGTAGGAACCTGGTTGTTCGTCAATTGGTGGATCACTTTCCAGGGGAAATAATCTCTGCTTCCTTCCCGCGCCCCCCCCAAAAAAAATTAGTCACTGAATCCACGACTGTTTGTGGGACACTGTTGTGTGCAATTATGCTGCTGCGTTTCACCCACAAATAATAATAATAATAATCCTTTGCATTTGTTATAGCGCTTTTCACGTCGGGAGGACGTCCCAAAGCGCTTCACAGAAGACACTGTAAAGTGAATTGACTGTATATTTGTGGGCGAACGCGGCAGCCAATTGCGCACAGCAATGTCCCACAAACAGTCGTAGATTGAAAATGACCAATTTATTATTGTTTGGTTTTGGAGGGATTATTATTAGGCTTTGTGTGGAGTAAGGAAACTTGCCCAAGGTTTCGCCCTCTGCCTGGAATTGAACTCAGGTCTCTCGCTTGCAAAGCGAGTGCTCTAACCACTGAGCTACAGGACTCCAAACTCCAAACTCCAAACTACAGTCACTACACTTTACAATATATTCTGTGAAGTGCATTAAGAAATCCCAACGATTTGATAAGGCACTATATCAACAACAACTTGTATTTGTATAATACCCTTCACACCGGATGTTTGGATACGCTTAAGCATTGTCAAGTATTTCCACGTGTATCAGATACCCAGTTGACCCAAACCCCCCAAAAAATTCTAAATAATCTTATTGTAGGTAAAGAGTTTGAGACATTCTAATTGTCGTGGTAAAGGCGCTGTGTAAATGTGTATAAGGTTGATATGGTCGTTGGCTCACTCGTCTTTTCTGTTTGCAGCTTTGCTCGAAGGTCAATATGGGAACTTCTACCAAGAGCAATCACAATACGCACAGTATGAAAATCCTGATGGTAGGTCCCACACCACTGTAGGTAGGAAAAGGAGTAGACCATTCAGCCCCTTGAGCCCGTTCCACCATTCTTTTATGGCTGATCTGCCTCAACTCCAATTACCCGCTTGATATCCTGACTTCACAAATATCTATCTACCTACCTCAGTTTTGAAGATGTGAATGAATCCAGCATCCACAGCCTTTTGGGGGAGAGAGTTCCGGATTTCCACTATCATTTTCATGAAAAAATGCTTCCCGATTTCACTCCTAAATGGCCTAGCTCTGATGTTAAGATGATGCCTCCTTGTTCTGGATTCCACCACCAGAGGAAATAGTTTCTCTGTATCTACCCTATTGAATCCATTTATCAGATAAGTAGAGGTTTCAGCTTGCAGTTAACCTATAGACTAGACTCCCCACAGTATTGAAATCCCAGCATTTATTCATTCATCTGCATCTTCACCTCGGCACAGCTGAAACACGGACCTGATCTTATCGAGTCTCGTAATGAAATAACAAAATTAAAATAGAATGCCTCGATGATCTATAGCTGAGACCGCAATCCACGATTGTTTGTGGTTGCCGCATTTCACCCACAAAATACACAGTCAACCTGCTTTGCAATATATTCTGTGAAGCGCTTTGAGATGTCTCAGCGACATGACATGGGGCTATATGAAATGCAAGGATTATTATTATTATAATACAATTTTAGATACTTTTTTTTAAACCAGTGTTTTAACATGTCAAAAGTCTGCAACTGAAGATTGTTGCTTTTCTGCTCCCCCAGGTATAGATTATAACTACAACGGTGAGTTTCTTTATTGCTCTTGCTCTCTTTGATTTGTACCTGGCTGGACGCTGTCCTTCAGGATTGTGCTGAGAAGAGGCAAAGGTGGTCGTAATATTTTTTTATTTCTTTTAAGCTAATGGGGTAGATATCACAAACTTTTGGTCACTCTGTATATTGGAAGACCATTTTTGTTCACAAAGCCAGAAAAATATCACGACCACCATGGCACTCTACGCATCACTACCTTTCCCCAATCCTGTTTTCCTGCTATACCGTCGCATTCATTAATAATTCTGCTTCCCACGGATTAATCTATCTCTCACTTGAATGCTTCAAATGATTTCTAATCAATCTCAAATTCCCAATCTGTGCAGCCAGGGCAGAATTGGTGGTGGTGCTTCTGATCTCACATTCCCCACTACCACTCTGATAATCTGATTAACCCCTCCCGCCACCAATTACCTTATTGATTCTGTGCAACTGATTTGCTCTTGTTCTGTTACAGATCCATCAAACTTCCAACCCGATTTAGGTAATAAAGTGTTGTATAACTGTACATTGTCACATTTGATACATCCACATTTATATTCTATATTTTTTTTTGCTCAGCCACATGACACATGTGGAAACCCACCCACCGTGGTTAAAGCTATCCAAACCCAACCGAGACTTCCACACATGGAAAATCCAGAGGTAGATTATTGGAATGGAATGCGCACTCTCTGCCTGGGGACACACATCCTGCTTACCTGATTCCAGAAAGTATAAGGCACAGGTTGGCAAGAGTCGAGGCACCCAGAGTGTGCGTTGGGGTACTGCTGGAGTTTAACCAGCTAAAACCGCATAGCTTGCCATTGGTATCGCTGGCTGGCAAGCTTTCCTACTACTTGTCCAGGTAGCACCTTACCCGTTAACCCCTGTTAACATTGCAAAATAAAACCCTGAGTGGGCTGACTCCCTGCCCTCAGTGACTGATCTGCCTTTCCAGGTCCTGTCAGTGAGCCAGGCTGGCTGTGCTGTCATCAGCAGTGCCCTGGTATATTCTATACAATCTATAAAGTGACTTGATACAACGTTATGTGCATTGTGCATATGTTAGTAACACAATAAATAGCCTGCCAATTGGCTTGGTTTGGAAGCACTCCTGCCTTAACGTGGATTCAAACCCCACGTTGAAACTTGAGCTCATTAACTTTCAGATGAGACATTAGACTGAGGTCCCGTCAGGCTTTTTAGGTGGTCACTTTTCAAAAGGAGAATGTAGTTTCTCCCAATGCCTGGTAAATAATCCTCTACATTAACTGGCCATTTGTGATGTCTTGTGGGTGTAAATAGCTGCCATCTTCTCTACAAAACAGTCGCTACACTTGACAGCAATTAACTTCTAAATGTTGGGAATGTGTTGAGGAACTATTAACTGCAAGTCTCTTTATGAAGGCAATCGTGCAATTAAAATAGCTTTCATCTGGTGTGTATAACACAGGGGCTTCCTGTTTGAGGGCTGCAGGTGCTGCTCCAACTGTGATGACTAAAATTGTTTCCTGTTTTGTCAGAAACAAATCCTCCATCAGACCTGACAGAACCAACAGAGCCTGGCCCTCTTGGTAAGTGATTTATAATTATCATTCCTGTCCAACAATCCCCCAAATAAAACTGAACACTCACCTCATCACTCTATGTGGGACTTCTTTGGGAGTGCAATATTGCTGCTCCTTTTGCCCACAAAAAATAAGTCACTACGCACAACAATAATTACTCTGAAACACTTTGAGGCATTTCTATGGCGCTATAAAACATTGCAAAAGGAACAGAATGGATTGCTCTTTCAGAGAGATAACAGACACACAATGAGCCAAATGGCCTTCTTCTGTATAGTAAATTCCTATAGCTATAAATGCACAAGTTCTTTGTTTTATATGGTTGTGTTTTCATTGGTATAATCAACTGCACCCTTATTCACCTTCCTGAAAGCTGAGATAATAAAGAGATGGAAAGATTCTCTGAAATCCAACTGAAGAAATGTGTTATTGACATCAATACATGGGAGGAAAGCTCCAAAGACCACAAACTGTGGAGGTCTATACGTAGGCAACGAGTAAGCTATTTTGAACAGGCTAGGATTGTCAAGCAAGAAGAGAAACGTAGACAGAGAAAAGAGCGTCAGTCTGTTTGTGGAACATGCTGTGCGCAATTGGCTGTTGTGTTGCTCCCACACAATACAGTCAATTCACTTCACAGTGTATTCTGTGAAGTGCTTTCAGATGTCTCAATGATGTAATAAGGCACTGTATCATTTGCAAGTATTATTATCTCGCTTACACACATTTGTCACATTTGTCATTTGTTTGACTCTCTCTCCGATTGAAATGGGAGGCATGCATTCTGGATAAGTGAGCACAGTTTAAATGGAAGGGTTTGCCAGGGGTGTGTGGAGCCAGCCACTTAGCTTGCTGGATTTATGATGTTTAAACAGCTGCTTTCTATATTTCACTCCTTACTCATAACTTGTATAATTTGGCTCCTTGTGCTTTGGACAGGAGCCTTGTGTAAAGAAATGCCTTCAGTTTGGCCTTGGAATTAACAAGTCTAGTCACCTGGCCTATTCTGGTGTAATGTTGTTCCTGGCATAGCTGAAGGTTTGGCCCAGGCCTGACCTGGGACAATGTGTCTGACTGTCCGTCTGTCCCACCATCACAGCCATCTTGTCCCACTGGCCCTCAAAGACACTTGAGCCTGCCAGCAGTCAATGTTTCACAAACCTAATTTGCAGTATGCTAATGATAGTCGCCGCCCACAAAATAATCATTCTTGTATTTGATTTAATGGCTTATTGTGTCGCCAAGACATCTCAAATCTCCCACACAGCTGAGTTTTTTTTTACTTCTTTGTTACTTGTCAAGTTTTGTTTTTCAAGTAGTCGGATTCAAAGCAATGTCTCATTAATGAGGTGAGGGGTTGGGGGTGGGGGGGGCAGTGAAACGGAGGGTGTTCCAAAGGGTAGGGTCTGTCAACCTGACCTGAATTTGAACCCATGGCCTAGTAATTGGACTGTTCAGTCCCAATCCTGCTGTTGTATTCAGGCAGTTTTGAGATGATTGACGTGATTATCACCAGCAATAATTAAGGAACATGATCTGGAAGAGCAAGCTTTTAAACCCGTAGTAATTTATCAATGAAATAATGAACGTTAATGTTGAAACCGGGCTACGCAACGTGGGTCTAATGCCATAGCCTGGTAATGTTTGCTCTCCACTGTGTCTTTCAGATTGTCGAGAGGAGCAGTATCCGTGCACCAGACTGTACTCTGTACACAAACCATGCAAACAGTGCCTCAAGAGCCTCTGTTTTTACAGGTAACCTCTGACCACCCCCATTGTCATTCAACTTTTGTGCACAATCTTTTTTTTTAAAAAAAAGTCAAAATACCTTTACTTCATCGTCTATTGGAACATCTCCTACGTCTGGGGTAGTGAGGCATTTAATGCCAGAGATGTTTCATGAAATCTCCCTCCCCCTATACTGGGCCAGAAGTGACGAGTCTATGTGCAGACTTGTTACCCTGTGATAGGCCTCAGCTATATGTAACGTAGGAGCTTCAGGCTTCTTATTCTGTGTTGGGCCGCAAGTCTGTGTGTCAGAGTGAAGGCTCCTCACCTCAAGTTAGGCCAAGTATCATAAGTAACTGATATTTTTAAGGTGGACTAAAATGGTAGATAAGGGAGCACTTTGCTAATAATCCCTCCAAAAAACAAAACAATAATAAATTGGTCATTTTCAATCCATGACTGTTTATGGGACACTGCTGTGCGCAATTGGCTGCCACGTTCGCCAACAAATCTACAGTCAATTCACTTTACAGTATATTCTGTGAAGTGCTTTGGGATGTCTACAAGACGTGAAAAGCGCTATATCAAATGCAAGGATTATTATTATTATTATTTGCTGTTCTGAAGCTTTTTTGGTCATTAATCACAATGATCTGTGCTTGCAGCCTTCGCAGGGTCTATGTGATTAACAAGGAGGTCTGTATCCGCACTGTCTGTGCACATGAGGAATTAATGAGAGGTGAGTCTTAACAGCTTGGAGTCACCTGAGGCCAATTATACAATAGCTATGTAAACAGGTTCCTGAATTTTATCAGCCAGCAATTTTTAAAATAAGTATATATTAAAACAGAGGTCAGTCAAGCTTGCCTCTGCCTGTCTCCTGGGGTTACATGTTGCAGTGTGGAGAGTTCACTGTCTTGTTATTACCCTCTGTTTATCTAGCAGTGAGTACGAACCCGGTTGCTTTTCCAAGGGTAATAATTCCTTCAGAAAATACTAATTTATAATACAATAGTGGGACATTGCTGTGTACAATCAGCTGCTGCATTTCACCCACAAAATACAGTCGATCCACTTTGCAATATATTCTGTGAAGCGCTTTGAGACATCTCAATGCCGTGATAAGGCGCTATATCAAATACAAGAATTATTATTAAGTCCTTGGTTTGGGAGCTGTATCCAATGCCGTGTTTCCTCTCTCTCCTATCTCCTGCAGCTGACCTGTGCCGGGATAAGTACTCCAAATGCGGTGTGATGGCCAGTAGTGGATTGTGTACACAGATGGCCTCATCGTGTGTCAAGAGTTGTGGATCATGTTGAGGGGAGATCAGAGGGGGAACGTGAGGAGCATATGGTGTGGGAGGGAGATGGGGAATCTCCACATATATCAACAGTATTTGCATTAAGCAATGTAGAGGGATTTTTTTTGTTATTCCCATAATTGATGGTGCTGAGGGATTATCCGTATAAACCTCGAGATAAGATGTGCACACAATGTACTGGACTATTACTGTATGGAGCGGGTGGAGGAATACATTATAACACGTCTTTTTGGGGGGGGGGGGGGGCAAAATCTTTGGATTACATTCGAAGCCCAATCCATTCCAGCCGTCTTACATAGTGGAATGTAGTTGTGGCGCCAGTGACAATTAGTGAAGCAAACCTGTAACTTTTGCTGTCACTCATTGCGTTAGATAAGCTGTAATATTAACTAACCTACTCACAAGGTACTGATAGCCTTTAGTCGTACAACCACACAGTACCACCTAGCACTGGTAGTATCTTTGACACACGGACAATATAAGCCTGGTTGAAAGTGGTCAAAAACACACACACACACACACACACACACACACTTCAAATAAATATGGTGCAAATTCTACATGAAGGACAAATACTTGAGAAATATCATCCTGAGGTTCAGATGTTGACAAATTGCTGGAACTTTGCTGTTGCCTTAACAGAGTCATGATCACTTTGCAAACAACGTCAAATTGAATTTATACTGTAGAGCGCCCCTTTCATGTCAGGAGGATGTCTCAAGGCGCTGGTGCTTACCCCTAAGTTTCCATTTTTATTTTCAGTCTCTGAACTCCAGTAAGTCTGTAACCTCAAAACTCATTCTTGGGCAGCTTTCCATGAACAAACAAGGATACCTTTTTAAACCATTCCTTGCCAGTCTAAGTGATAGATTTAATTCTGCCCTGTACATCTGGGTGATGTTGGCAATAAACGTTAACTAAACAAAGAGAAAAACTGAAGAGACTTGAGATGTTGCTTTGCTCAGAATTTCCAACTGAAATTCGCTTGAATTAGCCGCTGAGCACCATATTTCTGTGTAATCTGCAGCTGTGTGCTTCGTTACTCTAATCAATATATTCTGTTTTTTTTTAACAAAGGAATAAAGTGCACTTAAACTTTTAAAAAAAAAGCTGTTGTTTTAGTTACTAACTTCCTTCGGCAAGATTCATTGAGCAAGAAGAATCTGCCAGATTTTTTTGTCTTGCGCCTCAGCGCTCAACAATAATTTCGCCAGTTTGGAAACATTCAGACTGGCAGAGAGCTCTGTCTGTCCATCCATCCATACTCCACACAGAGCCTAAGAGTAATCCCTCCAAAACAAAAAACAATAATAAATTGGTCATTTTCAATCTACGACTGTTTGTGGGACACTGCTGTGCGCAATTGGCTGCCGCGTTCGCCCACAAATATACAGTCAATTCACTTTACAGAATATTCTGTGAAGCGCTTTGGGACGTATAGAAGTCGTGAAAAGCACTATATCAAATGCAAGGATTATTATTATTACATCTCGATTGCACAGTGCATTACTGATACAGCTCCAAGTGCTTGAGTGTGAAGGGTGTTAACCATTCATTAGCTCGTCTTTTCATCTACTTTTTTGTGTTGGAAAGCAATTTGAATGTTGTGTTTATGAGGGGAAATTATTTTTGTACACAGGTGGGATGAACCCCAAATTTGAAAAAAACAAGAATTCACTTACGATACAAATGGTCACTCCGCTTTCTTTTGATCCTTTATTCTCTCTGTACCACAAAACACTTCGTATCACACACCGTGAAGTACCTGCTGCCCAATGCCGTTGCTCTCTCAGTGGTTAATAACATAAACTTCAGTAGAAAAATAATACTGAGCTGTTGCACGTAACAGGTGAAAATGCAGGAAATTGCAAAGAGAAGTAAGAGTTTTCTTTTTTAAAACACATTGATACACCTACAAAAATATCTATTGGAATCACATCTGCCACACGGATTATTGCAAATATATCACACGGCTCAGACACGGCAAACGCTCGAGGAAACAAATACAAAAATGAGGCCAGAATGGGTTTTGCAACATTGGACATAGAACAGGACGATAAAGGGGAGAGGTGACTGCTCGGGGGCGGAAGGACTTCACACCTGTAGCTGCCACGCATTTGAGGGTTCCCGCATTACCTCCCTCTACCCCTCCCCTCCCAAACAGCTGATAAATCAATATCACACAAGATAACGGTTTCCAAGTCTCCAGGCTCGTCACTGTTGCTGTTGCGATGCTGGCAGGTATTGCTATTGTTGGTGAGTTTCGCCCGCACTTTCAGAACGGCGATTAATCCCCATGGGTGGGGGGGGGAGGTCTCGAGAACAACTCGGTAGAAAAACCCTGCGTGAATCCAGAACGGCTGCACATGAGGTGCCAGAACAGCAGTCCTGTGATGCTCCGGAACAACTCGTCAGAGTCCACCCGCCTGCGCGGATCTAGGACAGTTAAATCCACATAGCACCTGCCAAGGCCCAGGGGAAAAGCGCCACAAACGTACAAAATGACAAAAAAAAAACTTTTGGAGTGATCTGGGCAACTGGACGAGGATCCACTGGGCTCTATGAAAAAGAACAGCTGGAACCAAACATCATAAAACACACACGCGCACACTCAGAAACAAAGTGGTTACTTTTAAGCCCAGTTTGATTTCTTCTTTACTATGATTAAAAGACTTATTTAAAAAAAATTAAGACTTCAGCTATTTCTGAAACACAAAATGATTGCTGGGTGGGGTGAGTTGCTGAGCAGGAGACACATTAAAGCTTGTGCACATATCTTACGCACACATTCGTACACAATCACAATCCTGACACAACTTAAAAGCTGTTACTTCAAGCAGGAGGCCTCCAAGGGAAGGTTGATGTAACCTGGCCTACGTTTTTGATGTTATATATATAAAAAATAATCATTGTACACGGTAAAAGTTGTCAAAAGACTAATTAGCTGCCTAAACACCGCCCACGGTGACTGTTTGTTTGGTCTCATCAACCGGGCTGTTATCACGACACGTTGAATTAAGATTGGGAAATTCTACCTGGGTCTAGGGTTACTTTACTACCATTTCGGAGTGTACAGAATTTGGCAAATTGTTGAACCAACCGCAGTCTTAATTTTCGAGCTGTTTTGTTTCTGTAAGGACTGTTGGGGCGGGAGAGGGGTGGCTTCGGAGTTGAGACTTAATTTTGCACACTCTCCGAAACCCTAAGGAAATAACGTCAGTCCAGACCCGGGTGGAGTGAGTCTCCCTGTTGCCAGCCGTCTCCTGATACTATAGAAAGCCATGAGCCTTGGATTCACTGGACACTGCCAAATCTCTCCAGCCGGGTGGCTTGGCTCCGACAAGTGATTCACGAGCAGCAAAGTACAAAAAGAATGGCACAAACAAACAACAGTCCTAGCAAGAAAGCTCAGTTTCTGCTCTGCTTAATTAGCGCTGGGAGATGATTCATTATTTCTTGTTTACAGGACTGTCCAGGCTCCTGGTATCCACAGCTTTAACAGATGGGATTTTCCACCCCCGCCAATAACTCATTATCATTACTTTTGTTTTGCACAACAACTTTCCCAGGGATGCTCACTGCTGCTGTTAAAAGCATTAATGTCCTCCTCAAACTTGCTTGCTTGTTAAAGACCAAAGGATCCGCCGGCTCGAAAAAACATGGCCCTTTCCAGTATTGTGCGGCATCACCTGCGTCGGTCACTGTGGTTCACGTGCAATCACTGCCATGTACCACAGTGTGCAATCACTGTCACACACGCGCATAATCAACAACAACTTGCATTGATATAGCGGCCTTCCCATGTGTCACACAGCACACAATCACTGTCACACACACACACACACACAACGCGTGCAATCGAGATACTGGAAAGGTGTTTGTGTATTAACCACCAGCTGAAATGTGGCGATTCTTTCAACGGTCCCCATTGGCTTCCCCCCACCACACCACTACCACAGCAGGGGAGAAACAGCAAGGGGTACCCAGAAAGAACCAACACTCCAGCAAGGTGAAGGGTGAGACTCTATCTAACCTTCTCACACCTGCACTTGGGTGTGGAGGTGGGGGGGGAGGAGGGAGCTCTCTAACCTATTTCATCTAATATATTTTGGGGGGCTGCAAAGCTGACAACGTGACATCTAAAGGGACAACTTCTGAAACTCCGCTTATTTTTGCTGCTGACGAATACAAGGAATCTCAGAAACGAGGGGAACCAAAGCGAGGACCGAGATCGTTAATCTGAAGCCTGGTTCGGCTGCAATAATTCGGGGAAAAGTTGGGACTCTTTCAGCAACTCAGCAAATCTCTCCCCTCCCCACTGCCATCCCCCAAGGTATAAAGTGCCGGCAATGTGCGAAAGGGACAAAAGACTTGCAAAGGAGGAAAGTCTGGGAGACAGCCCACACCTGAGGGATGCAGTAGGACGGAGAAGGTTAGTGTTTGGCCCGTTCCGCCGGCTGCATCCAGACCCCAGGCTCGGGAGCTGCATTGTCGGATGGGATCAGATACACGTAGCAGTTGATGGGTGCTGAGGAAGGCCACACCGCACAGGCCGATCTTCAATGTCCTGCCGTCACCCGGACTAGTTCCCCGAAATGACGGAACGGTTGTACTGAGGCTGGTGTCTCCGCAGCTCCTGCTGCAGCTGATCCTTCAACGTAGATACCTGCTGGGCGGGCAGACGCATGGAGTCAACAACCACACGGGGGCGGGGGACGCTGCCGAGTGCGCAATCGGGGTGGAGGGGGCCTGCCATGCTATGCCCACAAAATACACTCACAGTCACTCCACTTTACAGTATATTCAGTGAAGCGCTTTGAGATGTCTCGACGATGTGATGAGGCACTAAATCAAATGCAAGGATTATTATTATTATTAAGATTGATCGTTTATACACACTATTTGTAGCTATTGGAGTCCTGTAACTCAGTGATTAGAGCACTCGCCTTGCAAGCGAGACACCTGGGTTCAACTCCAGGCAGAGGGCGAAACCTTGGGCAAGTTTCCTTACTCCACACAGAGCCAAATAATAATCCCTCCAAAAGAAAACAATAATAAATTGGTCATTTTCATTCCACGACTGTTTGTGGGACGCTGCTGTGCACAATTGGCTGCCGCGTTTCGCCCACAAATATACGCTCAATTCACTTTACAGTCTATTCTGTGAAGCGCTTTGAGACGTCGAGAAGACGTGAAAAGCGCTACATCAAATGCAAGGATTATTAATATTATTGTATTTGTTTACAAGAAGCTGCTCCGGTCAGAAAACCTTGCGTCACCTCTGGGAACGCAAAGCAACAACAACAACAACAACTTTCATTTATACAGCGCCCCAATGGTGGAGGGGATGAGGGACAAGCAGGAGGCCAGAACCAGGGATAGAAGCATTCTACCCTGCTGGGACCAGCCGCTGGTCAGCGCTGATGACGGCGACGGCTTACCTGCTCCTCCAGTCCCTTCACTCGCTGACGATGAGCCTTCTCACGGGCCTCCAGCGTGCGCTCCGTCTGTGACTGACCGGACCGAAGCCTCTCCGTCTCCAACAGCAGCTGCTGGCGATGGCGGGCGGTCGCCTCAATCAGGCTCTGCTCCTGACTCTGCTCCAGCTCCGCCATCTGTGCCTGAGGAGGAACAACAGTCAACAGGGGCTGGTGGCTGGTGGGGGGGGACGGCGGGTAGAGGAGGAGGAAAGGGCAACAAAGATTTAATCTGACTGCTCAGAGAACGGTGTGGAAATCTATCTACTGAGGCACCACATCAAATGAAAGAAATCTTTCTTATGATTATTACAGGAGAAGTTGTCTATTCAGGTACGTTGAAACTGTCTAAGCTGCTGAATCTCTTTACAGGAGGGGTGGGGTGTGAGGCGGAGGTTGTTGTGGAAGAGAGGGGGTGGGGGAAGAGAGAAAGGCAACCAAATGCTATATTATTATTATTATTATAGTACATAAATCACACTACACTAGACAAGCTAGAGTGCGTGGCAGTTTACTGCAGAGGACAGGCCACGCTGAGCACCAGCTTTGCTCCGAAAAGGGATGTTCCACATCAGGCTCAGCTCCACACGCCGCTCAGTTACAAGATAACTGAAACCTCATAAATCACACTGTTTACAGCCAACGGAATTCAGCTTAGATTTAACCTAGCGATTAAAGCTGGTTACAGTAGCGAGTACTGTACTGACGGACTCAGTGCCACATCTGGATGACATTTCCCATTTGGCAGGAAAGGGACATCGCTCTCCCAGAGATTCCCAGCTCCACTTCCTCAGTGACTCAACCAGACAACCATTCAGCTGAATGGAGTGGAGTCCTGCAGCTTAGTGGTTAGAGCACTTGCCGTGCAGGCGAGAGGATCTGGGTTCGATTCCCGGGCAGGGCGAAACGTTGGGCAAGTTTCCTTGCTCTACATGCCTCTGTTTACCAGCAGTATGTAGGAACCCGGTTGTTAGTCAACCCCCAGAAAGCGATCTGCCAATCGACTAACAACCAGGTTCTTACTTACTGCTAGGTAAGCAGGCGTGTGTGTGGAGTGAGGAAACTTGCCTAAGGTTTCGCCCTGCCCAGGAATCGAATCGCTTGTGAGGCCAGTGCTCTAACCACTACGCTACGAAGATGCCACTTAAGTCGATTTGCCTGAGAGCTGGGTGTCAGTGGGGGGCCTGGCAAGCAGGAGGGGAATGGTGAGCAGTGGGGGAATGGGCGTGCAGGACAGAAGAGGAACCAGCCTGAGGAAGTCTCTCGGAGCTGGAGATTTTTGAAGGGCGGAATGAGGGAGGGCGGAACAAGGAACAGCGCTGGAGCAATGTCTGAACAACAAAACATTTGTTCCAACGCCTTTCACAGAAAAGAAACATCTTGAAGCGCTTTAGAGAATGGGATGAATTAGAAATGAATTGAATGCTGTTGTTGCAAACGCGGCAGCTAATTTGCCTCAGCAAGAAACACCCCTACAAACAAACACTGAGACCAGATGCCAATTCATTGGGAATTGTACTGAATTCTGGATGAGAGAAACCTCAGGAATGACAGTTTGGGTGGAAAGAGCAGGTTCCCCAAATGTCCACTGAACCTTAGGGCTTAAATGAATGACTCAAACGTATTTTGTTTTGATGATTTGGAAATATGAATGATAAATAATAAACTTTCAAATCATATAGAATTAATGTCCAACAAACAAGATATACAGTCGTACGTGTGTGTGCGGTGTGTAGGGGGGGATGTGTGTGTCAGTGCGCGTGTGTGTATATTTGCGTGTGTGAGTGGGGGGTGGGGGGGAGGGTATTGAGAAGGGTGCGTGCCAAGGGTAAGTCCTGGCGTTGGACGATAGTGGGACCACATGTTGAGGATTGAGCTCCAGATATTGAGTCTCACCTGCAGCTGCTGTGTCTGCCTCTGGGCCTCCACCAGCTCCTGCTCCACTGTGGTGAGGGAACGGTCCAGGCGGGCTTTCTCCGCGGACAGACGCATCGAATCCTCCTCAGATCTCAGCTTCTCGCGCTCCACCTGCAAACCAGCAGAGGCCCTTGGTGGCCGTCATCTTTACGCAACAATATAAGCCCACAGAATACACGGTGTTAGGCGCAGGTTGGCAATGAGTCAAAGCTCGGGGAGTGTGCGTTGGGGTAACTGTTGGAATCTAAGCAGCTAAAACCATATAACTTGCCATCGGTAGCACTGTAGCAAGACACAATGGAGTGTGTTACACAGCACTTCAAAATGGCCTTCTTCTGCGCTGTAATGCTCAAGGGTCTCTATGCTGCAGCTTCTTATAGCATCAGAACGTCACAGTGCTTCACACTTATGAAGTGTGGCGACTCTTAAGGTCGGCAAACGGGAGGGTGGGGGGCGGAGAGGCGGGGGCTCAACAGCACTGTACAGTTCTCACGGAATCACACTCCCTTGTGCTCAGCACACCCAAGTGAACAGCAACACCGAGGCCGGGACACAGCTGGGAACCTCCCACCACGCACCCAACCTCTCCCCCACCCCACCCTACAACCGCCGACACGGAGCTGGCATCGGGGAAAGGGGTTCGCGGTCCAGGAGCGCCCGACCCACTCTGTCCAGCGTCTTCTTCAAAGCATTTTTGTCCTTCTCCAGGCGCACGGCCGAGCGCTCTGCTTCCCGCTTCTCGTTCTCCAGCTGTGCGACGGCTCGCTGCAGGGCAGCCATGCGCTCCTGTGCCCCCGCCTTCTCTTCCTGCAGCTTCTGAATGTTGCGGAGCGCGAACTCGTCTCCTTCCTGTCGCTGGCGTAACATCTGGGGGGGGGGGGGTTTGGGATGGGGGTGGGGGGTTGCGGGGAGAAGATATGGCGAGTGAGTCAGACAGAACCAACGATAGAGGAGGCGAGGTGGGCTGTTCGCTAGGTGAAGTGAAAGGCTTCTGTACCGCATCAGGCTCCCCACCCCCACGGATTTTTCCCTCCCCACCTCCCCCAATATCGACCAGACTGACAGTCAACGACGACGACGACAACTTGCATTCACCTAGCGCCCTTCATCGCAGGAGAGCGTCTCGGAGCGCTTAGTAGGAGTGGGTATTTACTGAGCCCGGCCGCTCACCTCCTGGTGTTTCCTCAGTTGCCCCTGGGCCTCGGCTCGGTGCAGCTCCAGGTCCTGCTGCTCGTTCTGCAATCCCTGGAGCCGCTCGGCCAGCCCCGAGCTCTGCTTCTTGGCCTCGACGACGGCCTGGCGGGCCACATCCAGCCGCTCCTGCCACGGTTAGAAGAGAGAGACATTAGCCTTTGACCAGGCTCCCGCTGTAACCCCGACTCTCATAATAACATAATAATAATAATAATAATGGCGAAGGTACACCAAAGTCCATCTGGTTCGCCTTCCACCATCCTGGCAATCGCTTGACATGTTGTGTCCCAAACTATATACTATATCTGTGTGTGTCTGTGTCTATATACTGTATGCCCAGATATTATGTTCCAGCAGAAATCTAATTTGTTCCTGAAACGAACAAGATCTTCTGCTTTCACTGGTCACTCAATCCAAGACTGTGTTCGAGGACGCTGCTGTGCACAATTTGTCCGTCGCGTTTTGCCCGCAAAGCGCGCACGCAGTCACCACACTTCACGGTATATACTGTCAAGAGCTTTGAGACGTCTTGAAGACGCGATAAAAAGCGCTGTTATCAAATGCAAGGATTATTATTACTGCGATCGTTGCTTATAAAGGTGTGAGTGAGCGGGGCCCGGGCTGCAGGCTGACCTGAAGGATGCGGCGGTCGTGCTCGCTGGAGGTCAGCGCCTTCTGCAGCTGGAGCAGCTTGTCCTGGAGGGTGGAGCAGCTGGCGTTCCGGCTGGACAGCGTCACCGACAGGTTCTGCACCTTGTCCTTCAGCTGGCTCTCCTCCTCCTCGGCCTTGGCCAGCGAGTCGCTCAGCCGGTCCGTGCTGAGCTGCAGGCTGTTGGCTCGAGTCTGACCGTCGGCCACTTGCCTCTGCAGGGTCTCGGCGCGTTCCCGCAGCGCCTGGATCTCCACCTCGCGGTCTCCCAGCGCCAGCCTGGCGCGCTGTAGCTCCCCCTCCAGCGAGCGCCGGGACAGCTCCAGCTTGGTGCCCCGCGTGTCAGCGGCCTCCAGGCTCTCCCGCAGTCTCCGCTTGTCCGTCTCCAGCTTGGCCTCGTTCACTTTCATCTTGTTTATCTTGTCCTGGAGTGGAAAGACGGGGCGTAAATGCATAGCGAGGAGACACAACGCGTGCGTTACAACCTCCTGTGCCTGTGTTAGCGGGATGTTACTCCCCCATCCTTCCCCTCTTTTAGACTGAAGCTGGCAAAGGCTCAGCGCCGTTCTGACCTGCATCGTCCTCTTGTCGCCTTCGGCCGACTGCAGGCCTCTCTCCAGGGCGGCCACCTTGTCCAGCAGGGTCTTGCGCTCTCTCTCCCCCCGGCGCATCGTCTCCTCCTGCAGCATTAGCGACGTCTGAGCCCCGCTGAGCCGCCCACCAACGTCCCGCTTGCCTGGCAACACCAAGGATGGTTTGGAGTCAGCACAGGCCGCACAGAGGGGGGACTTGCAAGTAGCCCACTAGCCATCGCATTCTCCATCCCACCACAGGACCCAGGTTTGACTTACCCTCCTCACACTCAGCCAGTGACTTCTGGAGCTGCTCCAGCCGGCTGTTGGCGCTGTCCCTCTCGCCCTCCACCTCGCCCAGTCGTCGGCACAGGTTGGTGACCTGAACGCGGGTTTCATCCTGATGGGAAGATGGCAGAATTCCATGGAGAGCCTCAGCGCTGAGCTTCCTTACCCCATCCTATCCCTAGCCCCACCAGCCGCCCACTCACCCCACACCCCCACCCCTCCACCACCCAGCCACTCACCCCCCACCTGTCCGCCACTGAACCCCCCCTACAACCCCCGTCCATCCGCAACACACACACGCGCTAGGATGCTATAGAAGAGGATATTCTTCTTTACTTCTGCCCTCGCTCAGCTGCTGTGGGGAAACAACATCAGTTATTGGTGACATCACTCACCCGCGCTCTCTGAGCATCTCTCAGTTCCTGAAGGAAGTTGCGGAGCGCTAATCGAACCACCTCCGGGTCAATGTCGGCCACGCCCTGCTCGCTGCGGGACGGGGAGAAGGCGCGGTCAGGCGAGGCGGTGCGTGACCCCAGCCCACCCTCCGGTGTTGCCGTCGCTGGGATCGGGCTACCCTGGCCTTCGGTCCCAGTGGCGAAGCTGGTGTCCAAGCCTGGAATGAACACGGCCACAATTGATGACAGTAATAATAAATAATAATCCCTGCGTTTGAATACAGCGCTTTATCATGTCGTCTGAAAGCGCTTTACGGAATATACTGTAAAGTGTGGAGACTGTGTGTTTTGTGGGAGAAACACAGCAGCCAATTGCACACGGCAGTGTCCCACAAACAGCCGTGGATTGAGCGACCAAATGACTATAATTTATTTATTTATTTATTGAAGGGATTATCTCCCCCGGAAAAGTGAATGAAATCGTGTAAAAAAAAAGAAACGCACGTGAGAACGTGGAGCTTTTCCCTACCTTTAGCCGGGGACCGGGGGAGCTGGGGGGAGATGCTGCGGCCACGCCCGGCTGGGCTGGGTGTACGTCCGGCTCGGCTGATACCCAGGGTGCGTCGCAGCGCGGAGTGCAGGCTGCCCAGCTTGAACTCCGTGTCTCGCTTCAGCCCCTCCACTCGGGCCAGCTCGGCCTCCAGCCCGTCCAGCCGGCCCTCGGCAGCGCTCAGACTCAGGCCCAGGGCCTGGGTCTCCAGCCGGGCGCTCTCCAGCTTCAGCTCCAGGTTGCGGGTGTTGTCCAGCAGCTTCTTTTCGTTGCCGTGAGCCTCCTCCAGGCCGCCCAACAGCTCCTTCTCTTGCAATCGCCATCCGCCCTCCATCTCCGTCAGCTTCCGCCGGAGGCTCACCAACTGCCAATGCACCAGACATTCAGCCGTGAGAGACTGTCGCTCCCAGACACCCCGGAAGCCAACTCCCCCCTCGTCCCAGCAACCGCGGGGGGGATGAGAAACAAAACAAGAAATGCTAGACGACAAAAAGACCAAGGTCCATCTAGTTCGCCTTCCACCTTCCTGGTGGTCACTTGCACATATGTCCCAAATTACCTGTACACTATATCCCATGATGTTATTTCCTAAAAGAAAAGCTGATCTGTGTTTGAAGGAATCAACACTTCCTACTTAAACCGTCTCCCTGGAGAGCCTGTTCCACAGGTCTATTATTCGCTCACTGAAATAGTGTTTCTGTAGATTTGTTCTGAATTTACCCGCCTTCAATCGCAGGCCGTGTCCTCTGATTTCTCTATTTCCGACGAGTTGAAACAGCCTGTCATCATCCACATTGTCTAACCCCTCTACAATCTTAGGCCGCAATCATATCACTTCTCAATCGCCTCTTTTCCAAGGAGTGGAATTACAGCCTGAAATATTGAACCCATTCTCTCGAACCCCCACCCCCGACCCCTCCCCTCCCCCAACCAACCACTACCACCACCGCCGCCAAGCTGTGGACCGGGATGAAAACCCTTTGTTCACCTCTTTCCGAGTGGCCTCCCTTTCGGCTTCCGTCTCCATTACTCTCTGTTTGAGTCCGAACGCCTCGCGCCGACCTTCCTCCTCTCTCTGCTCATTCAGCTCCACACGAGTCTGCAGCCCAGCCACCTCCTTACTCTTCTTCCTGTTCTCATCATCCAGCGTCTTCACCTGCCACACGTCAGCAGCAGCAGCAACAACAACAACAACTTGCATTTATTTATAGCGCCCTTCACGCAGGGTAGCGTCCCGGAGAGCTTGACGTTATCAACGACGCGGTAAGGCGCTATCTCAAGTGGAACGATTATTATTGTTGTTATTATTATTATTACAGAGTGCACTGTGCGGGCGGGCCTGGGGGGAAGGGGGACATGTTGTCGGACATTATACATTGCCGCAATCATCGTTCCCCCATGTTACCTGGCGTCGCAGGTCTTGCAGCTCACGGCGGGCGTCCAGTCGGGATTTCTCGACCTCGCGCAGACTCGCCCTCAGGTCAGACGACTCCTTCTCACTGGCCGACCTGGCCTCCTCCAGCACACTCAGCCGCTGCTCCTTCTCCTCGCTCGCTCGCTTCAGGCTGAGGGGCGACAGAGTGACGGAGCCGATCAGTGGGACACAGGGCCCCCGGGCAGTGGGGGAGTGGGTGGGGGGTGGGGGGCGGGGAAGACAGGAAGACACGGAAGGAACAGCACACTCACCCGCCTCCCCTCCTCTCCTAGTGCTGCTTGCTCACCTTCAGCCACTTCACCCCGAAACTCTGGAACTCTCTCCCTCACTGACACCCCCGCCACCCACCGCGTGCCTCTAACCTCTCCAGTCTCTACCACCCCCCCACCACCCCCACTGACTCTCCCCAATCCCCCGCACCTGATTCTTTCGCCCTCGACTCTCTTGATACCGGCTCTGAGCTCCTCGTTGGATTTCTGAACCTCTTCCTTCTCCTTCACCTCGTCGCTCAGCATCCGTTTCAGCTCCAGCATCTCCTTCCGCTGCAGCTCCTGGGCCTCCTGGTTCTCCCGGACCTCGCGATGAGCCTCGATCAGGTCCCTACGGACAGCGTCACGGTCGTCCTCCGCCACCCGCAGCCCGACCTTCAGCTCCTCCACCTGCAACGGGCCGTTCGTTCCCCTCAGCTCAGCGCCTCTCATTAACACTCACTCCCCTCAGGGTCGGTCTCTCTGTTACTCACGCCACAGCGCTGCCGTCCGTTGCCGTCATTCACACCGGCGGCACCAGCGTCAGACCGCGACTGAACCACATTTCACAGTCACTCTCGCACACTCAGGCACTCAACACACACACCGCAGACACCGCGCACTTATACAACCACCACCCACACGGTTGCACGCGCACTTACATACACTTCCATACACGGGTGTACCTACACACCTGCTTATACACACTCACTTAACACACACTCACTTACACGAACGCGCAAGGACCCGGTAGCACACACACACACACGCACTTAACACAGACATTCTCTCAAGATACCCGTTTTCGCACACACACACACACACACTTTCCTACGCACTCTTAGTCACTCACGTGCACACCAGAACTCACATACATCTGCACGTTTCCAGAAAGGCCGAACTAAAGGACCCATAACTACTGCTCCCCACCACACTGACCTCTCGGAGCGCCCCTTCCCGCTGTTTGGTCAGGTCGCGGAGCTGCTCGTTCTGGCTCTTCACTTCCCGCTCGTGGGTGGCGACGCTCTCCTCGAACTCAGCTCGGAAATTCTTCAGCTCTGACGCCAACTCGTTAATTTGGTTCTGCCGAGACGACACCGCGCGGCTCGCGTCAAAACAGCGGCAACTGATCTCCCACCCCATCACCTCCCCGCCCACCGGTGACCTCCCCGCCATCCTCACTCACCCACCCCACCCAGCCGTCGTGATAACCGTCCCCCCCCCCCACCACCCACACCCAGCGAGTGTGAGTGGGCGACAACACGCGGGCTCGAAGCGCCCTGGGATCCTACCCCCACCCCCATATAAATGCAAGTTGTTGTTGTTGTGCGTGTGATCTCTCTCTAGGCTGTGCGTGTACAGACCTTGCCCGGACGCCGGAACCTATCGGTTGGGGGATGGGGTGGGGGTGGGTGGCGGTGGGGGGGTGGTGGTGGGGGGGTAGATTGTTTGGGGAGGGGGGAGTTACACACTCTGTCCTGCTCGTGTTTGGTGGCGGTGTCGCGCCGCAGCTGCTCGGTTTCCATGGACATATTGACCATCTCCCGCTGAGCGTTCGCCAGCTTCTCCCCCAGGATCGCCTTCTCGGATTCCTTTAGTGACAGAGCCTGTGACACACACACACACACAGGCAGAGAGACAAAGAGATAAAATATTTATTATCGGGGGGGGGGGGGGTGTGTGGGGGGTGCAGGAGGTGGGGGTGTTGCCAGTACCCACAGGAGGTGCGTGTGGACGTCCTCCAGACGTGAAAGGCGCTATACAAATGTAATTTGTTGTCGTCGTTGTTGTTGGGTGCAAGAGAGCGAGAGAGCATGGGGAAGGGTGGGTGAGGTGGTGTCTGGGCCGAGAAGGTGTGGATGGCTGGTGTGGTTGGGGTACAGGAGAGGACGGGGGAAGGGAGTTGGGATACAGAAGGGGGTGCGGTTGAGGTATGGGGATCGGGGTACCTGCTGTTTCTGGTTCTCGGCCAGCAGCAGGCTGTGGTCGCGCTCCTGCTGGAGGCAGGCGATGGCCTCGCTCAGCTCTTCCTTCTCGGCCTCGGAGCGAGCGAGCAGCTCCTCCCGCTCCTGCGTCAGCTGGTGTAGCAGTTCTGCCCTCTCGTCCTCCAGCCCCATCCGCAAGCTCTCCTGCCGCAAGAGAGCCACGACGTCCATCACTGACATCCACACGCTCCCGCTCGGCAATATCCGGCTTGTCCCCTTCCTTCCCCACCTTCTTCTTCGACCATGCCTACGGTCACCTTCCACCTTCCCCCCCCCCTCCCACCTCGCTCCTTCCCCCCAGCTCGATGTTGTGCTCCTCCACTGTCAAGTGCTCTGGGACGCTACCCTGCATGAGGGGCGCTGAGTAAACGCAAGTTGTTGTTGTTATCCGCAAACGTGAGGCTCACTTCCACATGTATGCGGATGACACCCAACTCTATCTCCTTCACCCCCTGCCCCTGGTACCTTCTCCCGCTGCAGGCGATCCACGTCCTCCTCGTGCGCTGCCTGTTCGTTCCTCAGCGACACCTGAGCCTCACGCTCCGCCTGCGACAGCCTCTGTGTCAGCTGCTCCCTGTCCCGCTCCGCCCGGCCCAGCCCGGTCTCCAGCTCCCTCTGAGCCCGGGAAACCTCGGCTGCGAAGAGAAGGTTCACCTTTATTATAATAATAACAATCCTTTGCGTTTGATACAGCGCCTCATCACGTCTTCGAGACGTCTCAAAGCGCTTCACAGGATACACTGTAAAGTACAGTGACTGTGTATTTTGTGGGCGAAATGCGGCAGCCAATTGCGCACAGCTGGGTCCCCACAAACAGTCGTGGATTGAGCGACCATTTCTTTTGAGGGATTATTATCCTCGGAGAGCGATCCCCCAATCGACTGACAAGCGGTTCCTACTAACTGGTAAAAATCTTTTGAAGGGATTATTACCCTTGGTACATATGTGAGGTGGAAGGGAACACCATTATATTCTCCCCCACCCCCCCACCCCGCACCCCACCATTTTTCTGAGATGCCGATTGCTCCTTTTCCCCTTTCCCTTCCCCACACTGACGCTCTCACCCTGCAGCGTCTCTCTGGCCAGAAGCAGTGTCTGGTTCTCTGCCTCTAGCTGCTCCTTCCGTGTCTCCAGCTGAGTGATCAACTGCTGGGTGTCAAACAGGCTGGTCTCCAGGGCTTCCCTCTCCGACCTGGCACAGCCGAGAGAGAGAGAGGGAGAGAGAGAGGGAGGGAGGTGCCGGTCACATTCAAAGCATTTCAAGCACAAAGCAATAATTAGTGTAGCTGGAGAGCGTCGATGATTCTATAGAGCGGGCGAGTGGGACTGATTGGGTAGCTCTTCCAAAGAGCTGGCACAGGCGGGAGGGGGTTGGTGGGCGCAGTAAGGTGTATCAGTGAGTGCTGTTATGACCAGGTGCTGGCTGGAGTACGACGCCGTGTCTCCTGGTGGGTTCCTACCTGAGCCTCGCGCTCTCCTCTCCCAGGGTCCGGCTGGCCCGCTCGGCCGCCGTCAGCTGCACCTCGAGACCCGCCTTCTCCTTGGCCAGCTCCTCCTTCTCTTTGCCGGCCCTGAGCAGGGAATCACCGTGCCGGCCAGCCTCGAGCCGGCAGGCGCTCAGCTCCTCGGTCAGACTGTTCTTGTGTCTCGTGGCCTGCAGGGAGAACAACAACAACAACAACAACAATAATACTAATAATCCTGGCATTTGATACAGTGCCTTATCACGTCTTTAAGACGTCTCTAAGCGTTTCACAGGATACACTGTACAGTGAGTTGACTGTATTTGTGGACGAAACGTGGCAGCCAATTGCGCACAGTTGTATGATTCTTTTTTTTTGAAGGGATTCTTATCCCCGGAAATGCCATCCGCCAATTGACTAACAACCGGTTTCCTACTTACTACCAAGTAAACAGAGGCGTGCGTGTGGAGTAAGGACACTTGCCCAGCGTTTCTCTCTGCCGGGGATCGAATCGCTTGAGAGGCAAGTGCTCTGACCGCTGAGCTACAGGATTCCACAAGGTGAGAGCGTCCAGAGGCGAGAACCCTACCAACTGGGCCAGACTGACTGACGCGCAGCGTCCGCTGCAGGAGGCTCTATACCTGGCCCAGCTGTTCCTGAAGCTCTGCCTTGTCCCGCTGGCTGGTCAGGAGCTCCTGCTCCAGCCTGTCGCGGCTGGTCTCGGAGCCGTGCAGCGATCGCTCCAGCCCGTCTCGCTCCGCCCCCAGGTCCAGCTTCTCCTGCTCCAGACGCACCAACTCGTCGCGGATCGAGCTCTTCTCCAGCTCCACTCCTTCTTCTGCCCCAGCAGACCCCCGTGCTCCTCCTCCAGCTGCAACACACACCGCAGGGAAGAGAAGCAGCTCCGACGCGACCTTCGATGAAGTAATTCACGAGAGGTCCCTCGGCTGAACTGATGTCAGTGGGCATCACGAGTTAGACGCAGGTGTGGATTATTAACTGGCTACGGGGAGGGTATTTGTAAAAGCCCGCGTTACCTGCAGGATGATCTTATTGAGTTGGGCCTTGTCCTGAGCCAGACCCTCATTGAAGGCGCTCAGCTTGGTCAGGGTGTCCCTCAGTGACGCTTCCTCCGTCCTCAGTTTGTTCAGCATCAGCTCCATCTCCGCATTCCCGCTCTCCGCCTGGTGGTGGTGGTGGTATTGGGGGGGGGGGAGTGGGAGGTAGGGGGAGTGGGAGGGGGGTGTGGTGGGTGGGGGAGAGGAGGAAGAACAGGAAGAGAAACGGCAGTAACAGAGCGGCCCGATCTCACTGAAGTGTTTCTTCCCGTCCCCAACAACAACAACTTAAATTTATATTACACCCTATATCGGTGGGGTTGGGCCTGTGTGCGTGTGGAGTGTATGTGGGGGGCTGGGGAGGGGGGTGTGGGGGGGGGGAAGGGGGGAGGGGGGTACCTTGCACAGAGCCTCCTGTATACCAGCTCTCTCGGTCTCCAGCACTTCCTTGTCCAGCCAGGCTTTGCTCAGCGCCTCCTTCGTCAACACCAGCTCCTTCTTCAGGCTCGAGTTCTTGGTCTCCAGCTGCTTGGTGACCTTGTGGCTGATGGATAGAAACGGAGAGGATTCGTCACCGGGCTGCACACACACACAGAGCCGGGAGTGCGGGGGACGACGGTGACGGTAAGCACCGTCGAAGAGGAAGGTCTTCAGGTGTGACCCCAAGATGGGGGAAGGAAGAGGGCAAGGTGTCAACCCCACCCTCCGCCCCACCACCACTCACCCCCGCTCCACTTCTCGCTGTGCTCGCTCCTTGTCCTTGGCCGTGTCCTCTCTCTCGGCTGCCAGCTTGTGGCTCTGTCGCTGCAGGTCGCTATTGGCCCCTCGGACCTTCTCGATCTCCTGCTGCAACGTCTCCAGTTGCTGCTGCTGCGATTCCGTCAGCTTCTCCAGGGTCAGCCGTTCACTGGGGAGGGGGAGAGCGTAAGACACAGAGAGAGAGAGAGAGAGAGAGACACACACGCACACACACACACACACACAGAGCGAAAGAGAGAGATAAAGGGTGAAAGAACGTCAGAGACAGACACACAGCAGGAGCAAAAGAAGGGGAAGGGACAAACAGAGAAAAAAAGGGAGAGTGAAATAGAGTGAGAGCGGACGTGAGAAAGAAAAAGAGCAAGAGAGGGAAAGTGAGAGAGAGGGAGCGAGGGAGGGAGAGCAAGAGCGATGAACAGGACGGGTAAGTAACGTGTCCACTGACCCGCTCATCAAGTCCGCGGAGGCCTGGAGGCGGCTGGCGCTGCGCTTGGCGTCCTGCTCGGCTCGGGCCGAGCGGCCGAACTCCTCCTTCAGCTGCTGGAGGCGTCTCTCCAGCGCGTGTCGCTCGCTCTCGCTCTCCACCAGCCGCTTCTTGATCGCGGCCAACAGCTCCTGGCTTGCTCCGTACTTGGCTCGGAGATCCTGGAATGCAACACCACACAGCCCCAGGTATCACACCGGATCCCGGCATCTTCCCTGCCCCCACTCTGCACGCTCACACACTTGCACACCCCCCCCACCACCTCCTACCCCTGCACACTCACCCACTCACTCACTCGCGCACGCACTCACACTCACTCGCTCACACACGCACACGCTTTCCGCGGTGTCAGACAGGCTCTGTACCTGGATGAGTAGCTGCCGGCTCTGCACAGCGCCCTGCACGGCCGAGCGCATGGAGTCGGTGACGCCGGGAGACAGAGCACGGCCCGGAGACCGGCTGCGTCGCGGGGATATCCGGCGTCGTGGTGACGGCGGCCGCAAGCTGGCCGAGAGCCCCCCGCAGCTGAACACGGAGCAGTCCCCCTCCCCCGTCTGCTCCGGGGACGTGAGCTGCCCCTCGCTGTTAGCGTCCCACAGCACAACCTGCGGGAGGGGAGAGAGAGTCAGTGTAGAGTCAGTGCACAGAAAGAGAAAGTGAGTGAGTGAGTGAGTGAGAGAGAGACAGACAGACCATTAGACAGACAGATAGAGAGAGCCAGAGAGAGTGAGCGAATGAGGCAGAGAGTCAGGGCGAGAGAGTGAGTGTCAGTCAGTGCAGAGAGGAAGACATTGACTGTATTTGTAGGCAAACGCGGCAGCACAATTGCGCACAGCAACGTCCCACAAACGGTCGTGAAATGAGTCACCAATTTTTTACATGAGGGGATCGTTGGCCAGGAGAGACAGAGAGAGAGAGAGAGAGAAACTCCCTTTTCTTTTCTAATAGCGCCATGGGATCTTTAACGTCCACGTGAACAGGCAGACCGGGAGCTCGGTTTAAAGTCTCATCTGAAGGACGGAACCTCTGACAATGCAGCCCCCCCACCCACCCACCCACCGCATCCCCCCCCACCCGCCCCAGGCGTCCCACTGGAGCGCTAGCCTAGACTATGTACCTGTGTGATCTCTCTCAGTGCTTGCTGCATGGATTCCAGCTCCGCTATCAGTGTCTCCATCTCCGGCCGGTCCTGTCCCTCTGCACGGCTAGACTCCTGCACAACAAGACAGCCGGTCACCGGCAGCCAGCTCAGGGCACCAGCTCCTGCTATAATCCCCCCACCCTCACTCCCCCCCAGCCCCCCATTCCCAGCCCTCACACCCCCATTTTCCCAACCCCCGCCCCTTATTCCCAGCACTCAACTTCTCCCACTCCCTCACAGCAGCTCAGGGTTGGGGGTGAGTGTCACGCTAACCAGCCCCCACCCCCTCACCCACCAGGGTCTGGGTCAGGTTGGCCACCGCCTGCTCCTTCTCCCTGTGCTGAGCTCTCAGCCGCTCCATCTCCCCCGTCACCTCCACAATCCTGCCGGGGTAGAAACACAGAGCTGGAAACAACGACTTGCATTTACACAGCGCCCACACCCCCCCCCCCATTCGCGCGGATCCCTTGACAATGTCAGAGTCTTGACACCGAGCCAGGGGGGAGAGGGATGGGGGAGGTGACCGTAGGGACGATCAACACAGAAGGTCTTTAGGCGGGACTTGAAAGTGGGGAGTTGGTGGGTGGTGGTGGGGTGGGGTGGGGGGGTGGGGAGAGTTCCAGAGTTACCACTCGCATCTTCACCGCGGGCGAATCACGTCGGAACGGCTCAAACTCGTCACCAACAACTGCTGCTAAGCGAGGCGGACGCGAGATTTGCGAGCGGGGGCGTCAGAGCCCTTGGAGACGTCGCGACGGTGTGTAAAAAGACACTCTACCGAATGCAAAGGTTATTATTATTATTATTACTGTTATGATGATGATGATGATTTATTGCACAAATTGTGCAGTTTTGACCTTTCTCTGAATGAGGAGCAGTGAGTTTGGGCACCGACAAGAGCTGGGAGAGGGAGCGACACACGCACACACACGCACGTACGCACACACACACACATACACGCACACACACACAAGCACGCACACACACACAAGCACGCACACACACGCATACACGCACACACACACGCACACATACACGCACACACGCACACACACAGACAGCCCTCTGGCTCCCCCCACAGGCCAGGTGTGGTAATATATAACAATACAGGAATTGCACGAGAAAAAAGACCAAGTTTGCCTTCTGCCATCCTGTTAGTCGCGTGATACAGTAATGATGGCAATTCATTCTGCGAGGGGTTGGTCTACCACACAGTGAAATAACCCCTCCCCTCCTCTCTCCCCGCCTGCCCGCCCGGGAGGGGCCAAGAGAGCAGGCATGGGGCTGACGGCACGAGCCTTGGGGTGTGAGAGCACAAGAGGGGAGAGGGGGCAGAGAGCGGGCCTTACCTGGCGGCGTGCTCTGCCTTCTCGCGGTCAGCCTGGGCCTGAAGCCGCAGCATGTCCCGCACCTGGTGCCGAAGCTGCTCCTCCAGCCGCTCCCGCTCGGCTGCCTGCTGCCCCAGCGACATCACTGAGCTGCTCTCCGTCACCCGCAGGTGAGAGCCCAGCGTCACCAACGAAGCGTGGATGGTGCGCGACGACTTGGCCAGATCACTGCGCATCACCGATAGGTCCCTGGAAAAACACAGACAATAATGATAATAATCCTTGCATTTGATACAGCGCCTTATCAAGTTGTTGAGACGTCTCAAAGCGCTTCACAGAACATACTGTAAAGTGAATTGACGGCAGATTTTGTGGGCGAAAAGCAACAGCCAATTGTGCAGAGCAGTGTCCCACAAACAGTCGTGGATTGAGTGACCAAATTATTATTATTATTATTAAAAAAAATTCCCCGAAGCAATCCGCCAGTCGACTAACAACCGGGTTCCTACTTACTGCTGGGTAAACAGAGGCGTGCGTGTGAAGCAAGGAGACTTACCTAACGTTTCTCCCTGCCCGGGATCGAACCCGGATCCTCTCGCTTGTGAGGCGAGTGCTCTTACCACTATACTACAGGACTCCACTCCCTTCTGATCTCTCTCCCCCACCCCCCACCCACCCCGAAGCCGTGCAGCCCCTCCCCAGGACTCACCGCTCACTGGCCGTCTTCATCTCACAGAATTGCCGTCGGAATCCCACCACTTGCCTCCAAAGGCTCAGCAGCCGACTGTGTTCGTGGCTGAAGTATGTGTTGAAGGACTGTGGTTGGGGGGGTGGGGTGGGGTTGGGGTGGGGTTCGGGGGAGGAGCGAGGGAGGGGGCAGGTAGAGGGGGCGAGAGGGAATTAAAAGTTTAGATTGAGAACAAACAAGATATCTATTCAAAGAAACGAAATATTGTTTCTCTGCTGAAAAAACCTACAAGAACACAAAAAGCCAATGTACATTAAAAATAGTGTCACGGCACGGAGTGTATCAGAGCATTCCAGAGAGGGTATATCAGTTACGAGGAGGGGTGTGGGCTGTCTCAGTATTATAGGGAGGGGGTGGGAGTTATATCAGACCGTTACCTCCTCCTCTCGCCGCCATTCCACCTCCTTCTGCTCCAGCTCATCCCTGGCTTTGGTCCAGTCGGTGGAGAGCTTGCGGATATCCTCGCTCAGCGCCTGGTTGGCGGAGTTGGCCTGGTCCAGTTGCTCTCTCAGCATCGCGTTCACCTGGGCCAGCCCCGTACTCCTGCCACACACACACACACAGCGCTGTAAGGTACAGTCACTGACCAACCCACCCACACACAACCCAACCACGGTCGCCGTCCCCCACCCACACACATCATGGGGGGGAGATGGACGAGCGGCATAATTAGTTCTTAAAGTGTCAATTATTCCCCACTTCCCACCCCCCTAACAAAGCAGGGATGAGGGGCCATTTGCGTTACCGTGATGTTGAGCTTCCCATTTCATCCACAAAAGTCAGAACCACTTAACAATAAACTTCAGTGAAGTGCTTTGAGACGTCTCGGTGACGTGACAAGGCTCTGTACCGAATGCAGGGACGATTAGGATTACGATGTACCTCTGTTGTTCCTCTTCCAGCCGGATGAGGGCATTCTCCAGGTCGTTGCTTTGTTCTTGGTCCAAGTGCCGGTCTCGGGAGTCAGTGAGGTCCAGTGAGCTCTGTGGACACAACGATCACGGTTGCAGTCCTTTGCTGGTGTTTCAGTGGGAGCGCTGCTTTGTCAGAGATGAGCCATTAAGGCCGAGCTCCCTCCCGCAGTAAGGCGCAGACGCTTCACGGCGGTTCGCACTCTTGCTCGCTCGCACTCGCGCGCAGACAAGCACGTCCAAATGTCGGGTAACTCGTCCACGTGATATGACGTTACAAAAGCAACAATAACTTACCCGCATACAGCGCCTCTTACCTGGGTCACCGTCTGAGCACTGAGCGCACGCCAGCCCCTCACTTACCGACAGCCGGTGCTCCTCCAGCTCCGTGGCCTTCTCTATCAGCTGCTGCTCCACCTCTCCACATTTCTTTTTGTACTGAATAACCTGCCATTCAGAGCAGAGCCACAGCGTGAGTCCCGCATTCACCCACTCACCCAGCCAACTCACTCACTCAGCCTTCTTGCCATCACCCCCAACAACTGCCTCACAAGAAGGTTCCGAGTGTAATCCACCCCTCTCCCAGTTCACCTACAAATCACAGTCACTACACTCCACGTTAAGTCCTGTGAAGCACGTTGCGTCGCCTCGACAACTGCTGTGCACAATCGGCTGCCCCGTTCTGCCCACAAAATACAGTCAATTCACTTCACAGTGTATCCTGTCAAGCACTTTGAGACGTCTCGGTGATGTAATAAGGCGCTGTATCAAATGCAAGGATAATTATTTTATTATTAATATTATTATTATTATTACTACCCCGGTTGAGGCTGAGGACTGTTACCTTGGCTTGAAGCTTCTGCACGAGCTGCGCCTGGCGCTGCTGGCCCTCCTGATAGGCCTGGAGTTTGCGCTTGTACGACGACTGCTCCTCCTCCAGCCTCCGCCTCAGCTCCACGTTCTGCTGGCCCAGGCTCTTGTTCTCCAGACATTCTCGCTCCCTCTCTCCCGTCTCCAGCCTCAGCGCCTGTTCCAGCTGTGGGCAGAGGTGATCAGTGCCGGGTGACCGGGGACAGCCACGCAGCACAGACTCGAGAAAAACACCCCGACAAGTAGATGTGGCGTTTCGCCCACACAAAATACCCAGTCACTTCGCTTTACAGTATATCCTGTGAAGTGCTTGAGACGTCACGGAGACGTGACAAGGCGCTTTATCAAATGCAAGGATTATTATTAATATTTACAAAGAACGTACAGCACGGAAACAGCCCTTTAGCCCAATTAACCCCTGGTGATGTTTGTACTCCTCCACTTGAGTCTCCAACAACTTCCTACTCCCTCCTTCTACAGGGTGTGGTTCACAAAGTCCTGTTACACACCCCCCCCATCCCACCCACCCTGTGTTTTCTTTCTTACAATAACTTTCTATTTTATTTTCTGTTGCAGGTGAGTCGACCGCAACAATGTCCGACACCTGCCTCCTCGGTCACTCCGTCCACGTTACGGAAGATGTCGCTTGCGAGACGAGCTCTCCAACCACCGCGCTTTGGGAATCTCCTGTATGCAATACCAGGCACAGAGCACGTTGCTGTAACTAGAGGTGCGGAATCAGTCCTTGAACCTTGAACTGAATAGGAAGCTGCGGACAACCCCTGACACTGACTGAGACATTGCTTACCAGCTGACACCTCCTCCTGAGCTCCGCCTCGCTCACGTGTATGCCATCGGACCCCTCAGGGCTCCAGCTGATAGGCTGTTCCAGCTTGTGCCAAAGAAACACTCAACGTTAACTCAACCAATTGGCCACTGGGCACCAATATATTGAATATACATTATATATATATATATATAATATATATTTATATATACCGTATATTCCGCCTACAAAATAATATACAGTCACTCAACTTTACAGGATGTCCTGTGAAGCGCTTTTGAGACGTGTCAATCACGTGATAAGGCGCTATATCAAATGTAAGGATTTACTATCATTATTATTATTATTATTATTATTACTGAAATCCTGTGAAGCGACTTGGGATGTTTATCGCAACGGGACAAGGCGACAAAAGTCGATGCACGTCGACAAAGCTGATCTGTTGTTCAATCGAACGTCACAATTTGTCCCATTTTTCGGTAAATTTCAGCACAAATCCCATTGCGGCGCCTTCTCCGGGCCAGGCAGTGCACGCACAGCAGTTGTGTGCAACTGAGTATACCCCCCCCCCCCCACCCCGACTGCAGGATCAATAGAAGTGCCGGCAAGTGCGACAGCAGTGACAATGGCCGCTGTGGCAGCACATTTCACCAGCAGGAGGCGCTGTGTGGCGGTATTACAATAATACTCAAGGGTGGGGCATTGGCAGACAGGGGGGGGGGGGGGGAGGGAGGCGGGGAGAATACCCACATCAGTGTTGGTCACGGCCTCTTTGCCCTTCACGCGCAGGGACTCCTCCAACTGTGACAGAGAAACGAGAGGGAGGTCAGAGGGAGTTTAACACAGAGAGCCTTCAACCTCTGCCCCCACCCTTTGGAACTCCATCCCACTGCCCCTTCGCCTCGCCCCCTCCCTCGCCTCCTTCAAGGCCCGTCTCAAGACCCTCTTCTTCGACCGCGCCTTTGGTCACCTTCCTACCCCCACCCTCCCTGCCCTCCACCCCTCCTGATCCCAACCCGCAGCTCGGGTCCAAATCCCTGACTGTCCAACGCCTTGGGACGTCCTCCCAACATGAAAGGCGCTGTGTAAATGTAATTTGTTGTTCTTGTTTTCGTTAAACAGCCTCCCTCCCCCCCCCCCGTACCCGCTGCACACCAGCCACCGAAACAAAATTCGGACTTTACTGGGGTCCGAATTCGGATTTAAGACCAAAGCCTTGAAGTTCAAGATTGGGAAAAATTTTCAATTCAGCCTCAGTTCGGAAGTTCTCCGGCGAGTCCTTCAAAAGAGACCAGGAAGTTTTCCAAATTAAGACGGAATTAGGAAACTTTCCCCCCAAATCCTGCGCCATCTTCTTAAATCTTAAGACAAGAGACAGCCTCGGGGCGAAGGAAGACTGAAAGAAAGTTCCCCTCCCCCTTCCTCCCCCTTCCCCCCTCAGTGAACTTTATGAGGCTGAATTCACTGCACATTCCAGCCTTTTCTACTTAAAAGAGGCAAATGCTACAATAGGAGGTTGTTGGTTGGTCGGAGGGGGAGTTCATTCCAGTCAGGCTTCCTTCCAGTCTCTTTGTCTTGACGTCCTCATTCCAGCAAACTCCCGATTTCCATGGCAACATTCATCAACACATTCTCCGTTCCCAGGACCCAGCCCCCCCCCACCCACCCCGAACACCCATCTAACCTCCATCCCTTCCCCCACCCCTGGCGACTTGCCCGCTCCACTCTCCTCTTCACAAAGTCCCCAATCTTGCCGGGAGGCTGATCAAGGCCATGCTTGGGGGCAGCCGACATGTTGTAACTTTGCGCGTTTCCTGGGTCTCGTTTATAACTTGAGCAAACTCCGGGAGTCTCCGTGGCAATGGGAAAGCGTCCCACACTGGACACTCAGAGAAGCTGGTAGCCAAGAGCAGCTGACAGCCCCAGTGTAGGGCCAGACTTGCCCACAGCCTCTGACTGTCCCACTGGCCTGAGTCTAAACCTGCCCAGTCCAGCTCATTACAATAATAATAGGAAGAATGCTTGCATCTGACACAGCGTCTCATCACGTCGTCGAGACATCTCACAGTGCCTCACAGAGTTTATTAATAATACTAATAATCCTTGCATTTGATACAGCTCCTTATCACGTCTGCAAGTCTCAAAGCCCTTCACAAAATATCTACTGTAAAGTGGATTGACTGTGTATTTTGTGGCCGAAGTGCAACAGCAAATTGCGTACAGCAGCGTCCCACAAACAGTCGTGGATTGACTAAATCATTAATATTTATTATTTATTTATAATTTTTTTTGAAATGGAGGAATCCATTCAGACCTGGTTACCTACCTCCCCCCTCCCTCTCCACCCCCCCCCCCCCCCCCCCCTCCCTTCCCGCTCTCCGTACACTTGCAAATGGCTCCTTTTTGGATATTTATCTAGTGCGTTCTTGAAGGATGTTGAGGGCAGGGCATTCCGCATCCTAACAACTCTCAGTTTGTAAGATAAACACTGCTCCTCAATGGAGGCTCCCCTTTGATAGTTATCAAAAATTGAGGCCAACAACAGAAAAGCTCCGATAGAGAAAAGAGAGAGAGCGCAGTGGGAGGAGGAGAAAAGAAATGAATACGTGAAGTAAGCAGCGAGCGAGTGAGAGGGTTGGCTGTGCAGGGAGGAGACACATGAGAGAGCGAGATCAAGCCTGGCCTCCTGCAGACACTCATCACTTTTGTTCTCCGCTCAAACACGTGTGAGAAGCCCATTCACCAGCTTAATACTTAACTATAAGCCCGCTCTAACTCTCCGGCATGTATAGAAAGCAACGTACACCCGAGGAGCCCCACACAACAAAGAGGCACCGACGGAGAAATCTGGAGAGGAAAATAATGGGGTCCTTACTGTTATTGTTACTGTTGTCTCCATGTCTAGTCCTGCTTCCCATTTCACCCCCCACCCCTTGCCTCAGGCCTTCCCCCCCACCCCCACAGTTACAATGCCTCTGCTATAACATAACTGACCCTAGCAACTGTAGTCATAGCGGCCAAAATTCCACTGGTTAACGTGAGCTGCGGTTTGGGTGGACAGGAGGACACAGGCCCCATAGTGGAGAGACAGAGAGAGAGAGAGAGAGAGGTACACAGGTTTATATATTGTTTGTTTCAAGAACAATTTAGATAGATTTCTACTAGAAAATAATATCTGGGGAAGCAGCATATAGTTTGGGACACGACATGTCAAGCGACCGCCAAACTATGTCAAAGCCAACGGCCTGGACACCGGGCGGAAGACACTCCCTTCTCTTTTCAAAATCGTGCCGCTGGATCTTTAATGTCCACCTGAGCAGCCTTGACGGAAGCTCGGTTTAAAATCTCGCCCGAGGGACAGCACCTCTGCCTCCCCCAGTGCTGCACTGGAGCGTCAGCCTAACCTGTCAGCCCTGCTTCACAATACGCCACGTGAACCAGCGATCTCACCTGACCCGCCAAGCGAGAGCACGGCTGACTGAGCCAAGCTGATACCTACACGTCCGACGCCTCAGACCCAGGAGGTAAGTAATCCCTAGGACCCCGCAGCTTAACTCGATTTCAGGGCAGGTTGGAACACGTTAGCGCACAATGCTAATCCGGGACGTGTTTGGACACAGCTCTTTGGGCGCCTGCCACCACTTCCTTTGTCACTGAAGCTGAGCCTTTGTGAATCCCCACCGTGTCTTGACCACAGTGTTGGACTCTGCCCGTGTGTGCCTGCAGTCGGCTCCTGGGACAGTCGCTGTTGGAAGGTTCTCTTGGCAATGACGTGCGGAGAGCAGCGCAGCACCTCTACTGCCTCAGCAATGCCCTCCATCATCTCCTGCCCGGACCCTCCACTCCTCCACTCAGCTCTCCTGCCCCTTCCTTCTGCTCGGTTGAATTTGTAAGCTCAGCCCAACAAGGTCCAGTGCTAAACAGTGAGCCAGAGAGTGATCCTCACCAACACCATCACAACAACAACTACTCCCATTAAACACAGTGCCCTTCACACAGGATTAGCAAAGGATAAAACCATGTTAGTTGCCATTCTCACAAAGTCTCCCAACACACAGTTATCCTCTCAGGCTCTTGCTAGTTTGTTCTCAATGCTTTCTTTATCTGCGCCTCCTGTTACACACAGCCTGTGTATCTCACCCCACTGTGAGACATCATGTCCGGGGACGAGGCTGTGAACACGGGACAAATGTCAACATTTGCTCCCAAGAGAGCTTGGATGAAGAAGGTCCTTCTGCCCATTTGTTCTCATCCTTCCAGACACAGCCACCCTAACACCCTCCCATCACGTCGTCCAGAAAACAATGACTCCAACAGTTACGTCAACACACACTCTGGGGTCTCCAAACCTTGGCTTTTGCCAACCTGTGCCTAATGCTTTCTGGAATTAATGTGTCCCTCCAGGGGAGAGAGTGCAAATTCCATTCCAACAGTCCATCTCTGGGATTTCCATGAAGGGGAGGGGAGCGGGGAAGGAGGAGAAGGAGAGGGGAATCACCTACCCGCTCACTGATGGCGTTGTATTTAATGGCGAGCTCATCTCTCTCGGCTCGGCTTTGAGCCAGAAGGTCCTCGACCCGAGAGAGCTCCTGCTGCAGGATCCGATTCTCTTCCTGAAGTGGCAGCACGGACGTCATATTCGGAGACGAGGCTGTGAACACGGGAAGATGTCAACAACTTAACTGCCCGAGTTCAGCGAGAGAGGAGAAAAGAACTTACAATCCTCGCGGCTCCCACAACATCAGAAAGTTCTGACATCGTAGAAGCGATACGAACTGCAACCGTTTACATTGTTTCATAGACAATTATTGCCAAGTGATCACTACCAGAGATTCTGTAAGCAAAGGCAACAGACACTTCGCTCAAAGCTACCCTGAGTGAGGGAGGGGGCTATAGAAATGCAAGTTGTTGTTGTGACGGGAGGATTGCCGGCCAGGACACTGGGCGTAATGTCCTTTCCCCACCCCCAATATCGTCATATATATGAATGACCAATGGCTATTTTTCAGTCATCTGAAATAGGAGGTCCTTGTCTTATGTCTACTTACTTACTCTCCCCTCCACCACACTCCGCTCCTCTTCCCCTTCCCTCCATACTCCCCCTCCTATCCCAAGCTCCCCCAACCCCACGCTCCCACCCCATGCTCCCCCTCACCTGTGCTTTGATCCTCTGTTAAGTTCCTGGTGACGATTTCTCGGATTTTGGCGGAGAGACAGGTCGGTGTCGAATCCTCAGCGTCACCACGAATCCTGAAGCCCCCCTGGCTGCCCGCACTCCTCACCGTCTCCTCTAGCGTCTGTCGGGGGAGAGAGAGAAAGCGAGAGACGCAAATCAATTCCAAGCTCAGTGTCTTCCCCGCAGATTGGAACGCCAGAGCCCTGGTCCTTTCCAAAATCTCCCACCTTCCCAACAGACACTGGTTCCCTCCCCAGTGCCGGCCAGCTTCCATCTCAGATCTGTCGCTGTATTGATTCTGCGCCAATTCATAGGAACAGGAATTGGCCATTCAGGACCTCGAGCCTGTTCCACCACTCTGCGATATCATGGTTGATCTGTACCTTAAATATAAATACCCACCGTATGTATCCCTGGATACCCTGACCTAACAAATATCTATCCACCTCAGTTCTTGAACATTTGAATGGATTCAGCATCCACAGCCTTTTGGGGGAAGGAGTTCCAGATTTCCACTGACCTTTGTGTGAAAAACTGCCTCCTGATTTCATTCCTAAATGGCCTGGCTCCGAGGTTAAGGTGATGCCCCCTTGTTCTGGATTCCCCCACCAGAGGAAATAGTTTCTCTGTAGGTACCCTATGGAATCTCGTTATCATGTTAACCACCTCAAATCAGATCACCCTCAGCCTTCTAAACTCAAGGGAATAGAAGCCAAGTTTACGCTACTTGTCCTCAGAATTTAACCCTTTAAGACCTGGGTCGTTCCCCCTTCCCCATCACCCGAACCACGGAGAAAGGATTAAAAAAAAAATCTGATTTGGGGGATTAATCATACATCACGTGGAAAATGTGCGCCAACAGAGTTGAATTGTGAACCGTTGTGTAAACGCGTGTGTTAGGAAGGAACTCCAGGTGGTTTGAATTATGTAATTAACAACCCAGTAAAGGGATTTATTAATCAAGTTATTGACAACCGATCCCTCTCACTGATTAATGGCGCAATCAAAGGCACCTGTTATTTTGTTTGTACGCACAAGATTACACATGGAGCATAATACATCCCGTGTTTGCACAACGGCCTCCGGTTTCCCCTGACTTACTCCTGGGTCCTCGCTCCAGATTAGTGTGTAGAAATTGCCCCGTACCTGGAAACGGAATGCGCACTCTCTCCCCCCGGAGGGATGCACCCTGCTTACCGGGTTTCGGAGATTATAAAAGCGCAAGTCGGCGAGAGCCAAGGCTCGGGGCGGGGGTACCCCAGAGTGTGCGTTAGGGAGAATTGCTGGAGGCTAACCAGCTAAAACCGCGTAGCTTGCCATTGAGGCCATTCCAGGCAGAGGGCGAAACCTTGGGCAAGTTTCCTTACTCCACACAGAGCCTAATAATAATCCCTCCAAAACCAAAAACAATAATAAATTGGTCATTTTCAATCTACGACTGTTTGTGGGACATTGCTGTGCGCAATTGGCTGCCGCGTTCGCCCACAAATATACAGTCAATTCACTTTACAGTGTGTACTGTGAAGCGCTTTGGGACGTCCTCCCGACGTGAAAAGCGCTATATCAAATGCAAGGATTATTATTATTATTATTATTATTATTATTGAGAGTACTGCCTGGCAAGCTATCCATTGCTTGTCCAGCTAGGACCACCCTTGTGGTATATGGAGACGATGACCTGGGAAAGGATGAAAGATTTTAATTGCTCAAATGCCCTAAATTCCATTCAGTCCATTCTCTGGGGCGATGGGGTGCAATGACTATGACTATAAAGCCGTTTGGCACTGGTGCTTTTACCTGGATCACGGCTTCCAGCTTGCCCTCGCCCTCAGCCGCAATCTCCCCTGAAGAGCTCATCGCGAAACCATTGACGGGCGGAGGGGAAACACAGCCAACGGAGGTATCTCTCTCCGAGCAGCCCCACCAGCAATCGATCAGCTCCTCCAGGGATCAATACACTTTGACCGACCACAACTTGGTCAGGTGCCTCCAAAAGTACATTTTGCAGTAACCGAGAAGCGCTTTGAGACAGTTCGATGTTATAGGACTGTAAAAATGCACATCCTTATGCCTTATCTCCCTGTCTGTCTGTCTGTACTCTCGCTCTCTCTCTCCTCATCAGGACCCAGCGCCTTGGGCTGTCCTCCCGCCGTGAAAGGTGCTATACAAATGCAATTTGTCGGCGTTGTTGTATCAGATCTGCTAGTTGCAGAAGTTCCCTTCTTCTCTGCCTTTTGTTCCTTTCTCTTTCTGACCCTCTCCTTCTCCCCACTCCTGATTGCAGCTGCTCAGCCTGCAGGAGGCAAGAGACGGAGAAATCCTCCCCTCCTTCAGCACTCTCTCTCTCTCGCTCTTTCTCTTTCTCTGACTCGCCCACTTCACCAAGGATTAACTTAAATCCCCCCAGAGCAGAAGGGAGATACAAGACCCTGTCCTCTTGCAATTTGCGGGGTCCTAGTGCTCATTGCTTACCAGCTCAGATAACGTAAGCATTTGCTGGTGAAAGAAGACCAAGGTCCACCTAGTTTGCCTTCCACCATCCTGGCAGTCACTTGACATGTGGCCCAAACTATACACTGTATCCCCGGATATTATTTTCTAGCAGAATTCTATGTAATTTGGTTCTTGAAACAAACAACACTTTTTGCTCCCACTGTCTGTTCCACACACTCACTCACTGAAGTTGTGTTTCCACAGATTTTGTTCTGAATTTATATAATAATCCTTGCATTTGATATAGCGCCCCATCATGTCTTTGAGACGTGATAGGTCAGACACTGTGCCTGTCCAACGCCTCGAGGCGTCCTCCCGACGTGAAAGGCGCTATAACAAATGTAATTTTTTTGTTGTTGTTGTTGAGACGTCTCAAAGAGCTTCACAGAGTATATTGCAAAGCGAATTCACTGTACATTTTGTGGGCGAGTCGCAGCAGTGAACCGCGCACTGCAGAGCCCCACAAACAGTCGTGGATTGAGTGACCCGATTTTAAAAATATATTTTTATGAGGGATTATTACCCCGGAAAAGCAACCCGCCAATCGACTAACATCCAGGTTCCTAGGTACTGCTGGAGCAAACAGGTGTGTGGAGGTAGGAAACTTGCTGAGGGTTTCGCCGTGCCCAGGAATCAAACCCAGGGTCCTCTCGCTTGCGAGGTAAGCGTGTTAACCACTGCACAACGGGACTCCACGATATACACACACGGATATACCAGACGCACAGACTCTTTTGTTTCTGTGGCTCTGGGGATGGGCACTAGTCGCTACACACCTGGCAAAACCGAGCTGTAAAAACACAAATATTCCCCCCCCACTTCCACCCAAATATCCCCAAGCTCCCACTTAGTTCTTCGTCCGCGCTTTCAATGAGCATTAGGACCCTGGTTGAGAGGCGAGAGAGAGAGACATGCCACTTGTACCTCCCTCCCTCGCCCCAACAACCTCATGCATCTGTCTCCTTGGTAACCCTACTCCATAATGTTCCTCGCTTCCTGCCAACTGCAGCCCTCACTGTTACTGTCAGGTGGACGGGGACACCCCCGGTGATGGCGTATGGCATTGTTCGGATGGAACAGCTTCCTAACTCCAGGAGATTTGTCCCGAAACTCTGCAAAGGCAGATGAAGCATTTCGCCCACAAAATACACCGTCGATTCACTGCACAGTATATTCTGTGGAGTCCCTTTGAGACGTCTGGAAGACATGATAAGACGCTACATCAAACACAAGGGTTATTTATCTTTATGTATTCTGTCTACCGTGATTTACAGATCATTTGGATTTCAGTACCTACATGAAGAAACCTCTCTTCGATGTTCTCTTACCTTGGATCTCAGTCAAGCTCTCCTCCCCGCCTCCCCCAAACATTCGCCCTGAGGTAGATTACTGAGGCTTCTTTATCAAAGACTCCTACAGTTTCTGGTGATATATTGATGAAGTAATTCTATGTACATGTGGAGGATGTTTGATATCCCAGAGCGAGGTCACCCCGGACTTTATGGTAGCAGTCAGTCAGCATGCGCTGTGTTGCCCGTTACCAACAGCGACTGCTACCGTTAACAATAGGGGCTCTAGAATAATAATAATATTTATAATAATAATAATCCTTGCATTTGATGTAGCGCCTTATCGCCTCAATTGGCTGCCGTGTTTCTCCCACAAAATACAGTCACTACGCTTTGCAGTATTTCCTGCGAAGTGCTTTGAGAGACATCTCAAAACCTCTCCCCACCCCTCTCGGCTCTCTCCCCCAGTTGGGTGCCCATTCAGCACTGTGGAAGCACGTTAAGACATCCTCCCAATATGAAAGGCGCTATATAAATGTAAAGTCTTCCTTCCTTCCTGTGACTCTAAGTTTCCAAAGTGCCATTGACTTTAACTTTTCCCATTTTCCCTTTTATCTTCCGGGGACCAAACAAAAAAAGCTCACTTCCCTGCTGCTTGTGCGGCATTGCTGTGCGCAAATCGGCTGCCGCATTCACCCACAAGACCCACAGTAACTGCACTTCACAGTAAAATCCTGCGAGAGGTCTCAAAGCTGCGATAAGGCCCTGGTATCAAACGCACGTATTATTATTATTATCGTAAACCTCCACCAGACAGAACGAGGCAGAAAAGGATCTCAGTTTTGTCAGACAGAGCTCCCCCGACAACAACAACTTGTATTTATATAGCACCCTTCGACCCAGCGCAGCATCTCGTAGCGCTTACTAGCTACTGTAGCTGTTAAGCGTGTGGAGTCGCGTAGCTTAGTGGTTAGCATACTCGCCTCGCAAGCAAGAGGACCTGGGTTCGATTCCTGGGCAGGGCGAAACGTTGGGCAAGTTTCCTTACTCCGCAGGCCTCTGTTCACCCAGCAGTATACAGCAAACAAAAACAGAAGTCACCGGGAACAGTCAGCAGGTCAGGCAGCATCTATGGAGAAAGAAAAGTGAGTCAACGTTTCGGGTCCACGACCCTTTGTCAGAACATGTAGGAACCCGGTTGTTAGTCGATTGGCGGGTCGGCTTTTCCGAGGGTAATAATGCCGTAGGAAAAGAATTGGGTCACTCAATCCACGACTGTTCGTGGGACGCTACCGTGCGCAATTGGCTGCCGCGTTTCGCCCACAAAGTAGACAGTCAATTCACTTTACGGTATGTACTGCGAAGGGCTTTGAGACGTCTCGAAGATTTGAAAAGGCGTTATATTAAATGCAAGTATTATTAGTTCAACAGTTAAACTTAACAGTTCCCTTCAGTGCTGCAGAACTCAGTGAGTCAGTATAGAGCCACGAACTCAAAGTTCCTACCCTTGGGGGCTTGAACCCACAACCTTCAATCCTCACAGGCCTGCAGGGGCAACAGAGTGCAACCAACTGAGTCAAGGCTGACATTCAACACAGAGAAATACTGTTCGTCTCTCTCTTTCTCTCTGCTCCCTCCCTCCCCCCCTTCCTGCTCACTGATTTTTCAGGTCGTTTCTCCAATTGCAAAACAACTTACTGTTTCCAGGTCACTTGCGTTTGGTTTTCAGGAGGTTTAAGTGAAGGCTCTTTTCCTACTGCTGCGTGGCTAGGAGTAGCCCTGCGATGTTGCCTTCATTCGGGGTGGTGTGGGGGGGGTAAGAGGCTGCGAGGCTCTGATGGTCAGTTAGCCGTATGTTTTCTTCCCAGTTGTGTTTAATCCCAGCTATTTCCTGCCTTTCTCCCGGGAGGGAGGGGGGTGGAGGTTGGTCTGTCTCAAGCTCTGGCTGGAATTGGGCTTTTGCCACTAAATCTCGACCCTACACACACCCACACACACACAGATACACACTTACGTTAAGAGTTGAGTGAGATCGTTTTGCATTGCATCCACGCACACAGTGAAGGGAGATGCGGGGCAAAAAAAACCCACAGTGCTCTTATAGGGAGGGCAGGGGAAATCATTTGCAGTTGAATGAGCAACAAGCAAGACTTACATTTGTGCTTTTTCACGTAGGATGCACCAGTCAAAGCGTTGCACAAATAACAGTGGGGATTCCTGAGCAGTAGTAGGAGGAGTGTGTGTGGTGGGGTGGGGGAGGTAGAGGAATTTAAGGGTGTTGACCAAATGCACAGTCCAAAAGGTGTTTTCAAGAGGGATTTTCAAGGCAGCAGAGAAGGGAGCAAGGGCAGGGTGGGGGAGAGGGTAGGGTGTAGTGACTGAGAGGGCAGGCACGGATGGAGGGAGCGAGGAACAAGCAATTGGTTGACTGCTGAGAGGGCATTGGAAGGAGACAGCAATGGCGAGCGGTGGCAAGATTATGGACTGGATTTAATCATCATAATAATCCTTGGATTTGATAATAGCTCTTTATCACGTCATCACCACATCTCAAAGCGCTTCACAGGATATACTGTAAAGTGAATATCCAGTGGGTGAAACGTGGCAGCTCTTTTCAAATAACATCCACCTGAACAGGCAGATGGGACCTTGGTTTAACGTCTCCTCCGAAGGACGGCACCTCTGACAATGCAACACACCCAATGCCACGTTGGGAGAGTCAGCTGAGGTGACATGATTCCAAGTCCCGACATGGGGCTTGAACCCACAGCCTTCTGATTCAGCGAGTGTGCTACCACTGAGCCAGGCCGACACACCTGTACTGTGTGGTGACTGTGTATTTTCCAGGCGAAATTGCAGGTTGAGCTCAAGTCGGGGCCATTCATTAATGGGGGAAGGAAATCTGAGAATAAGAGATCTTTGAGAAGGTTGAAACCAAATCCATTAGCTAATCAGTGTCCCGAGGTTAAGGATTCTGTACCAAGGGCTGAGCGCGATGATCTACATTATAATGGGTTGAATTTGACACTTCAGTGTGCCGGGAGAGTGCTGAGGTGTGAACAGAAGGTCGGGTGTTGGAATGTGACCAACATCGATCGGATTGACAAAGGGAGAAGTCTAAAGGGAAAGTAATATTTTACACATCTATGAACGACAAGACAATAGTCACCGGGTTTATGAGGCGATTTTGATGAATAGATTCCATTGGCAACCAATGAAAGGGGAGGGGAAAATCACTGCATTGGGGTCAGTTCAGTTATTCGAGGCTGATTCTTCCAAGTGCAAAAAAAATCATTCAATAAAACTTTTGTCTTAAAGAATGCCATTGTAGCCATAAAAAACATTAACCGTAGACCAGGTAGAGAGCAGCAGTACTCACCTCCTCAGGCGACAAGCAGTGGGCAGTGCCTGGCCGGAGCAGCCGACAGCAGCAATCTCCCTGCGCGTCCTTCACGGCTCTGCCTGATCCCTCTGCTTTATTCAGGCCTCGTCACCTGAGCCAACGTGGGGGTCAGACTTGGCTCGAGGTGGCTGGCGGCTTTATCCTTTCACTTCGGTGCTAGGTAACCGACGGGAGAACTACTCCCATGACGCTTGAATTGCAACACGCCCTTTGCTTAAACAGCACCAAAAGATTTAGCAAACAATTATTTGTTATGTCCTTCCGTCACATTGTGCTGCTAAACAAACCGGGGATCCTCAGGGAGGTACATTACCACGGTGACGGTTGCGTTTCTCTTCTCTTCTCGGCGCATTCAACGAGGAAGACCCTGAGATCCCAGCAGTCGGGGGGGGTCTTTTGTGTTTTGTTAAACGTTACAGTCAATGACATTGCAACACACCTGGCCTCTGTGTGATCGCTTCAACACAGGTGTCCAATACAGCTTGGAATAGAATCACTCTCGCCCTCGGGTCAGTTAAGTTGTGGTTTTAAGACTCAATTTGGGAATTGAGTTCACAGCCTGGGACTGACACTCCAGGGCAATGACGAGGTGCGCCTTATGGTGTCGGAGAAATTAAACTAAGTTCCAATCTGCTACGTCCTCAGGAGACATTAAAGATCTCGGAATACTACTTGAAAAGAAAAGGGAGTTTCTTCTGGTGTCCTGACCACCGATCTTCCAGATCAATCTGTCATTCACATCAACAACACATTACATTTGTACAGTGCCTTTCACGTTGGGAGGACGTCCCAAGGTTCAATCATGGCTGTTTGGGGACTTTGCTGCACGCAAAATACTGCCGCGCACAAAAAGCTCCCTCTGCTAATGTGATGGCAGAGCCCTCCAGCATTGTAACGGCTGGAATTTGGCACCAGTGAACTACACCTGGGTTTAATGGTCTAAAATTGCAATGTTTATAGTGACGGAGAGAAGCCGAATCAGCCGTGTCCTGACAATTTGTTCTCTTGTGCCGGTAAATGAGAAACGATAAGTAAGTTCCACATTCGTTTTAACTGACGGGAATCTTTATAAAATGGCTGGATTTCAGCGTTTTGAGAATTTTCCATCGTTTAGATGAGACGTTAAACCGAGATACTGTTCAGGCAGACGTTAAAGATCCCGTGGCGCTATTCGGGGGTAGAGAGGGTAAGTTTCTCCAACAATCCCCCAAATGAATATTGGTCACTCACTCCATGGCTGTGTGTGGAACACTGCCCTGTGCAACTGGTTGCCACGTTTCACCCACAAAATACAGTCAATCCACTTTACAGGATATCCTGTGAATCTCTTTGAGATGTCTCGACGACTCTATAAGGCACTATATCAAATGCAAGGCTTATTATTACAGTAAACCTCACTTAAAGGATCATACATTTAATCAGTCGGGACCATACATTTAATGTGCCTTCTACAAAGTGTGAGTTATGTCAAACTTGCATAGAATATAAACTCTTGAACAGGACTTGAGCAGATGTACGATTTAGGCAATTATACAATTTATACAGATCAGAATTATGCGAGTTTTACTGTGTAAGTGACACGGTGAATCAGGGTACACGGAAACCACTGTAATTTCCATTAACCCTTTGGACCAGTAGACCCACTCCCCCCAGGGCAGTGTGCAAAGTCTGTGGCTTTTGGAATGCACGGAGGTTTCTCTTTCGTGAAGTCCCTGATCTGCAGAGGGTCGTGTCTTGGTCGCAGCCTCAAGTCACAGGGACGGGACCCCGGGTGCCAGGGAACAGCACTTCTTTTCCAGTCACCGGCCTCACCCCCCCTCCTCCAAGACCCCACCCTGCCGTGATCACCCACAGAAAGCTTGCGACACATAAACCCAAATGATTTCGATAGACATTTTTATTGATTGTGTACATTTTAAACGTCTTCCAAATCTAAAAAAAAAGCCCAGATTTTAAACCCAGCACAAATTTACAGCTTCCAGAAATTACCCTAAAACATAATCCCCCTCCCCTCCCAAAACGATGTCACACGGGAGCCTACAGACCTGTATAAATACTGTAATAATAGACAAACTCTTATTTACAGACACAGAAAGTTCACAGGTTAGCCCCAAAGTTTTAAAGGTCAGCTTCTGAAACAGACCAAAACATTTCAGGGGGGAAAAGCTTGAGATTGTTTTAAATCCCCGTCCTTCCATTACCGGGGCAGTCACTCCGCAATAAATCCACATTAACTGGGCCCTAGTCAGAAACACAACAACTGATTGGTCGTGTGTGAATTTGCAGGGCTCCAGCGAGTTATCACAACTATTACTTGTCGCGTGGCTCATCTCCCAGCCGCTCAGCCCCCCTTTCCCATTCCCCCCCTCCCCCCCCCACCCCCGCGCTGCATGATTGAAGATACACCAAATGGAATGACAATCTACCGAACACACCGCTGAACCAACAGTTGATGTGTTTTTTTTTATATAAGAAATATTCCAGAGTTAAGACCATTATTTATTAACACTTTTACTCTATGACGAGCACAAAGAATTTGAAGACAGGATTCCTTTTTTTTTGTTTGTTTGTTTGTTGTTTGTTTGACGATATGCATTTGTGATCCATTTTGCCCTTATGAAATTAAAAAGTCTGATCACTGAGGGACAAAAAAAAAACCCTGTGGTTACAGTAACGAACACTATGGTTTCCAGACAGAAACACCATGGGCACAAGGATGGAATGGATGTCTCTGTACGAGTGCACAGTTGAATAGAAATGAAGATATTTCAAGGCTATATAATCCGAGGGTTACTGTCCTCCCGGGTCCAGGAGCCACGGACTCTCCCCCAAGAGGGTCTCGTCTCCCAAGATCTCGCCCAGCCGGGTCGGGAGAAGAAGCGTCACTCGCTCATGGTTTGTCATTTCGAAACGAGGAGAAGGAAAAGAACCAAACTCAGAACTGAACCCACTTAGTGCTGTTGGGCACTTGGCTCGGAGCAGAGCTGAAGAAACAAGAAATACAGTTAAATGCTCCAGATCATCAGTGATAGACCACGTGCACAGAAGTTGGAGTAGAGTTTCAATGGCAAGTTACGTGGTTTTAGCTGGTTAAACCCTAGCAGTATCCCCCATGCACATTCCGCAAGCCCTGACTCTCTCCAACCTGTGCCTAATGCTTCATCTAATCCCACTCTTCCACTTGCTCCGCATTCTCAACATACCTCTTCTTTAAGCATTCACCCAATTCCATTTAACCTCTGCTTCAACCAGAGAATTCAACATTCTAATCTCCCCTTCACTTATTTTGGTGATAAACCTTAAACTTGTGCCTTAAACAAATTCTGTATTTGGTTGGAGAGTCATTCTGTCTTTCTCATTCACATATTTTTTTCACAAACGGCACAAGGTTTAAAGAGCACATCTGACTGACCTGGGTGCCGTGGCGAAGTCTCCCCAGAGATCTCCTGTGGGGGCCAGGGGCTGGGGAGGGTCTGGAGCAAAGCTGTCCATGTCTCCCAGTAATTCATCCGAGACTGTAGATTCATCAATAAAAAGTGAGTACAAGATCAATCAATGAAACCAACGACAGTGCAAAGTGCATCGACATGAGGCTTCAATATCCGACTGATACACTGGACACAACACAAAACTAGACCTGCTGCAATGCAGCACCTCTGCACATTACCAGGCCTTCTGATTATAAACCACACTTAAATAAAGGCAAGACAACTGTAGTTTTCTGGGCTCAGTGGCAGCTGTGATTTGCAGTCAGTGCCCTCCCTACCTGTAGTGGTTGGCTGAGCCAGCTGTGAGTTCACTGGGTTCTGGATGACCTGTGACCCTGGAGGAGGGAGCAGGACTGGGGTCTTGCCCCCCGGGGGAGGGGGGAGCAGGGCGATTCCACCACCACTCGAAGATCGAGGCTTGGCCGACGAACTTTCCTTCTTCTTCACATGCTGAAAACAGGCAACGGGAATCATAGAAAGAAATCGAACTTTCAAAGCACCTTATGCTGAAATGTCTCAGACCTTTACGATAATTATTTTCAAGTGTAGATTTTTGTAGGTAAACAACCACACAAGAGCCCACGAATAATCAAGAGGTGAATGGCCAACTTTATCTTAACGATTCGCTAACCAAGAGATTGGGAGTAGTTTAAGAGGTAGTGAAGACCAAGGATAGACTTGTTGAGAAGGTGGAGGGGAAGTGGTGATGACACCAGTTTCAAGGTGGCAAGGAATGTAGTGGAGAGGATGAGATTGAGAATTAATTAGAAGATCAGCCATGATTGAATGGCGGAACAGGCTCGAAGGGCCGAATGGCCTACTCCTGCTCTTACGTGTTATGTTATGTTATGTTAGAATGATGGGAAGGAAATGCCTCACCCCAATATTAAGCTTGATGGTTTGTCCCTCTTTAAATCCTAAATCCAGTTTGGGTCCAGTGTCTGGGTTCTGAGCCTGTTTGGCGAGCTCAGTTTGCTGTTTGACCCACCTGCATGATAAAAGAAAATAACTTGAAAAAGCAAAACGTTTTGCAGCTCCTTAGAAAGTTCTCAAAACATTCCACAGTAATTAGTCCAATGTTGTGATTAATTCTGTGGACCAACGCAGCCACCATTTTAATCACTTCAAGATCTGACCAACAATCACGACATAAATGATCAATTTATCTGAAGGCCAGGACACGGGGAGAACCCTCTTCTCATTTCAAATAAGGACACTGGACCTTTATGTTCACCTGAAGAACAGGCAGATGGACCTCCAACAATACAGAGTGAGGAGGACTAGACTCTGTGGCTCAAGTCCCAGCGCAGGTTTCAACCCACAACCTTCTGACCCTGAGATGAGTGACTTAATAAACATCTGGAAACACGTGCCAAGTATGACAGGGAGCATCGAGCAGGAAGAAAGGGAGAGAGATGGGAATGTTGACTGAAAAGCATGGTTTCAGGAGGGCTTCGAGGGGAGGGAGTAAGAGAAAAGGTGGCGAATAAATCACACTTACCCCAGAATCCCAGAATTCTGTGGTGAAAATCAGACTTCACAATGAATGTAGGGAAACAGAGAAATGCCTTTTTCCTCAGGGATTGATTCCTCCAGAACAACGGGTAAGAACAGGTCAGATTCTGGTCCCAGTTTGTGCCAGTGGATTCCGGCTCCCTCTAGTGGCAGCAGACGGTTCTAGCCCCCCCCCCACCCCCCCCCACAAAAAAAACCCCAGCTCACGCCTGCCACTCACCAGCCCCGTCTTGGAGACCTGTGTTTCTAACGCGTCTCAAAGACTTTTTGGCCACATCAATTCACTCAACACAGATTGGAGGTGGCCTGAAGCTGAACACTTACTTGAAGTGGTCCTGGAGGGCGACGTTAAAGTCAAAGGCGTCTCCTCGGTCAACAAAGCCAATTCCAATAAATGCTCGGCGCCCTGGGAACGCAGACAGACATTTTAATGTCAAATATCACATCGTATCATTTCCTTTCAGATTTTACAAATTCCTTTGCCGGCTGGTAACTCTTTAACACTTGTGGGTCTGCATCCAGTCTATGGCTCCCTCCACCATTATTACTGGGCGACTGCTGATTCAACAGAGAAATTGATGCCAGCTGACGAGAATCAATGCTGATATTGCCCCTGTACATTAGGAGAGCTTCAGATTTAATATAAACACTTGGTTTGTGTGCACAAAGGAAATTTGCATTTTTATACAGCTTTATGTGTAACTATCTCAAAGTGGTCAGAACTACATTAAATTTAGTGATTATTTTTGTAGGCAACTATAGGCAGTTCCCTTGTGGCAGGAATGGTACAAAGGTGAGGTGCATGACTATTGCTCAGGATTGTTGGTCAGGGAGAAATTCTCTTCCCTTTTCAAAAAGTATCAGAAGAACAGGCAAACAGACTTGGGTTTTAATATCTTGTCTGACGGATGGCAACTCTGAAAATGTAAGGCTTCTCCAGTACAGTACTGCAGTGTGAGCCTAGACATTGTTCAAGGCTCACAACAACAACAAGATTACATTTGTATAGCACCTTTCACGTCAGGAGGACATTCCAATGCGCTGAGGGCTGCTATGCAATACAACGAATCTACACCAGCCTTCTTAGGCTACAATCACCACTTCCCGTTTACATTTCCAAGCCCTGTGTCTCAACCTATATAATGAAAGAATTCTACGATCGACACTAATGCAAACAACACCGTCATTTAACTTTGTTTTGACAGCAAACAGCAAGGGAAACACAAGCTCCAGTCAAATAGTAAATCAGATTCTGATTCATTCGATCACAATTTCCTTTCTGACAAAAGCTTTACAAACACAAAACATTTCTCTTTCAAATGTAACATTTAAAAACTTAGCGCACGTCAAGATTTTACAATGGAGCTTCTTGAAGAACAAAACTTTTCAAATTACATCCTGATGTCTCAGCAAGCTTATCTGTTGACCAGGTAATACACCCAAGAGCTTCAGCATGGGGCAGGGCAAAGGAAAATGACTATCCTCATGGCTGTACAGCCCGCTGACACTCAAGGTTCACACTTAAACACATGGGTAAGGAAGGAGAGGGTACCTAGTCTATGTGACGGTATTGTGTTAGGAGGAAGGTGGCCTGATGGCTGCAAATTAAAGGAAGAAAACAATTCTTTGAAATGCTTTAAAGCAAGGAAGATTAATGGCCCAGCAGAAATATTAACAGCTGAAGAAACCAAAATTCCAACCTCAAGGTACAATTACCATTTCCATCTTCAATGCGAATGACAAAGTATCGGCTGGAGTCAACGACACTCTCCACAGCGACGCCTGGAAACTGGTCTACAGGTGCCTGTGCAAACAGCTCGCCTGAGGGTCAGGAAAACAGCATCATAGATATCAAATAACTAGATATCACTAGACATCAACTGGGCATTTCAATCAGGCTAGTGTCAACAAACACTTATATAGTATCTTATAATCATATCACTTACATTGAGTTTAGTGCCTGTCTGATGTATGATGGTGTATTTTGTAGGCAATGCAGCCAATTTGCTCACAGCAATGTCCTCCAAACAGCCATGAAATGAATGAGTGATTTTATTGGGGGAGGGGGCGGGGAGGAGGAGAATCGTGGGATTTTTAACATCTACTTGGGGAAGTAGACGGAACAACAACAACAACAACAACAAGATTCCATTTATAGAGCGCCTTTCACGTCAGGAGGACGTCCCAAGGCGCTGCACAGTTGGGTCATGACCCGAGCAGGGGGAAATGGTCAGGGTGAGGGGAGGGAAGGGAGGGAGAGAGGAGGGGGAAATGGTCAGGGTGAGGGAGGGAAGGGAGGGAGCGAGGAGGAGGAAGAGAGTCGAGAGGGGAGCTGAAGGCACGGTCAAAGAGAAAGGTTTTGAGACCGGCCTTGAAGGAGGAAAGGGAGGAAGCGGCGAAGGCACTGGGGGATGGAGTTCCAGAGCCTCGGGGCTGAGAGGCTGAAGGCCCGACCACCGATAGTAGGGCGGTTGGGGCGGGGGACGTGGAGCAGACCGGAGCCAGAGGAACGGAGGGTACGGGCAGGTAGGTAGGGGGATAGTAGGTTGGAGAGGTAGGAGGGAGCAAGGCCGTGAATGGCCTTGTAGGTGAGGATGAGGATCTTGAAATCAATCCTCTGGGGGATGGGGAGCCAGTGGAGGCGAGCGAGGGTAGGAGTGATGTGGTCCCGAAGCCTGGTGCGGGACAGTACACGAGCTGCAGAGTTCTGAATGACCTGCAGTGTGGAGGGAGGTGCCGGGAAGGCCGGCGAGGAGAGAGTTCCCATAGTCCAGCCTTGAGGTGACAAAGGCGTGAACCAGGGTTTCAGCGGCGTGAGGGGTGAACCCCAGTTTAACAGCTTATCTGAAGGACGGTACCGCTGACAATGTAACACACCAACTGCACCACGTTACAATTACAGCAGTTTGTGAAGATGAACAAAAGACCATTTAAAATACCAGTGGAGATGAGGTTCGAATGGCCTGTTTCTATGCTGCAGTAATCTGTAGCTTTACAACAACTAAAACCACTTTGTTGGCAAGTTAACAACAGACTGACTGCTGCTATTCATAGGCAGGAAGGATCTGGAGCATGTGGACTGCACAGCCATAAGCCTTTGTGTACACGTGGAAAAGAACAGCCAGGGCCAGGCAGCATGAGGCAGAATTAAACAGCTCCAGTATGAGCAGCACTGTGGGAGCGTCCTGTGGCCCGATAACTTGTGTGTTTACAGGAATTCAAGATCCTCATCCTCACCTACAAGGCCATTCACGGCCTCGCTCCCTCCTAACCCTCCGACCTACTAAACCCCTACTTACCTGCCTGTACCCTCCGTTCCTCTGACTCCGGTCTGCTCCACATCCCCCGCCTTAACCGCCCTACCATCGGTGGCCGGGCTTTCAGCCTCTCAGCCTCTGGAACTCTATTCCCCAGTGCCTTCGCCTTCTCCTCCCTTTCCTCCTTCAAGGCCGGTCTCAAGACCTTTCTCTCCAACCGTGCCTTCAGCTCCCCTCTCGACTCTCTACCCCCTCCTCGCTCCCTTCCTTCCCTCCCCTCACCCTGACCATTTCCCCCTTGCTCGGGTCCCGACCCAACTCTCCAGCGCCTTGGGGCGTCCTCCTGACGTGAAAGGCGCTCTATAAATGAAATCTTGTTGTTGTTGCTGTTGAATATTTTGGGGGGTGAGGTTGGCCTTTCAATTTCAGAAACAGTTTTATCATCTGGTACAGTATATGCAAAGGGAATTTTCAGGCTGGCTAGCATTCACCCAGATAAGACTTACCAGAATTTTTGTCTTCTAATTTAATGTAAGCGTTATTGCCCTTTGCTGTTATCCGGAGTCTCCCGGTCCAGTCAGGCTGGTCCAGTTTCCAATCGGCAGCTCTGAGCAGAGAAAGAGTTTACAATGACGCTTCTCGAAGAACAAAACTTTCCAACTTACATTTTTGAAGCTTAGCAGCCAAAGGAGGAGCACAGCCTTATCCACGACAGACCAGGGTGAGGCAAAGACCAGCTTATCATTCCCAGCTCCACAGCAGTAATGGGCGGGGAGGAGATGTGGTGTTAATCAGACACGCCTACAAGAGCAGATATGGAAGAATGAGACCAGCCCAAGCAGAAACACAGACACAAACGTGCAAATCTGGAATTCTCTGCTGCAAACTGTAAAGAAGCAATCATAAATCATTTGAAATGTGAAAAATGCTTTTAAAAAAAAGATTAAATGAAAGGATTAAAAGAAAGGACAGCACGGGGAGAGAGGGTTTAGATTATGTGGCTCACGTGGGGAAATACATCAGAGCAGGATTTATGGGCTGAATGGTCGTTTCCCTGATTTTGCAAAACACCAAATAAGAACAGGTTGAGAAACAATAGTCTAAACTGGCCCCAACTTGCTCCAGAGGTGGCTGAATGTTCATTGTTTAATAACTCAACAGTGTTATCTTCCTTAAAAAAAATCAGGTCCGGTGTTGGCAGCTCTTGCTCCAATAAGAGCAAAATCAGTGAAAAAAAAACTAACTACTCCAGACACAAGCACTTTAAGAAACAAACAGGGCGCAATAAAATGTTGCTCCACAGAATAGACAGGCTCTCACGTGGTTTGACTTCCCTTTTTCTAACAGAAAAATTCACAACAAGGGAGCTTCAAAGGAAGCCAACCTCCCACCCTCACAAGAAGTTAAGACTTCGAATCCAGCACAGCCCTGAGTCATTAACAAGAGTCCCAGGTGAAATAAAAACATCAAAACAACAAACTACCTGAAGAATAATTTAGTAATTCGATAAACGGGAGTCAGATTGCAGCCGGTCACTCTCTGCTTCGTTCAGGAGCAACCATTGGCCCTCACACACAGAGCAACGACTGCTGAAGTGTCTTTCAACGAAACAAGTACACGGCGTTCACAAAGCCCTGTTACCCCCATGTTGTTTTCCTACAGTGCATTGACCAACAACTGAAGTGTATGGAAGAATGATAATAATTGTATTTAGAAGTACTTAATTGTATTCAATACAAGTGTTTAACTGTATTTAGACGTCCAGAGGATCGGTGTGTGTGTGAGCGCCATCATTTTCATGGCAGATAATGATCCGTCGCCATGTTCGGCACATTTTCAGTAACATGGATGGAGTGAGGAGGCCAAATGCCTCTCTGACAGCTTGTTTCAGCTCCTCCGTTGATTCAAGTAAAGGCTTTCACTTGTGAAGCAGAGAAGTCAGGAGGGCAGTTTTCTTCTCTCCAAATTGAATTTTTCTGGACTTTTTCCTGCTTCCCCTGGGAGGGTTGAGTGACGAGCACTGGGAGAGAATTGCAGTTAGAATATTGGGCGCGGGGGCATAATCTTCTCAGAGGGTGGATTCCATTAGCCTCTGGGTGTTTTCCTGCCCTCTCTATTGTACGGTATCTACGCAATCTTCCTCTAATGGGGTGCACAAAATTGGATACCACATTGTGGCCTAACTTATCTTTGGTATAATTGGTTCCTTTGGTTTGTTGTTGGAAAGGGGTCTGTCAAAAAGTACTTTGTGCAGTGAATTCCTTGTCAACATTTTCTTCCTGTGTTGGTTCCTGTTTTTCCTCCTGGATCATGTGAAAGCCAGCAGATAAGAGAACAGACTTGAGTTACCAAACTGCTCTTGACCGGAGCATTTGTAAAAGGCATCACTCTTGTCTACAGATGCTCTTAATCTGCCACCTGATGTGAACCATTCATCCGGCAGCACGAACTGCACAACAACAGCTCAGATGTCCTTTGTAAGAAGAACAATGATGTGTAACCGGGAGACTGACGTGAAGAGGGAAACCACTGCAGATCACATACCTTACAGGAGGATGAAATCAAATAAACAACCCATCGGCTGCAACATTAATAAATAATAGGGGGAAGAGTCTCAAAGCTACTGTAGTTTCATTCTGTTAGCTTCTGATTGTAACGTGTCTGACTCTTCACAACAATCTTTGTAACTGTTTTATGAACTATTTCCTATGTTAGGCTGACACAATGCAGCTCATGAACAATCCAGCATCTGCTCTGTGCTTGTATCCACACACAGAGAATCCTCCTTGCTCAATATCACCATGTGGTGCTCCTGAGGAGGTCAAGCACTTGAAACATTACACTTGAACATCGCAAGACCTTGCTACTTTCTCCATTCCGCTCTCGAAGGCAATGGCTACGGTACTTACCAAGGTCAGCCGAGTGACCATTCCTCAAATGATCCCAGAGGGTGAACGACACATTACAGGAGAATGAGATGTATCATAGTTGAGAGTGATTCTGTCCTCATTCAACGTCAACACAAACGTTGATGCTGCTGGAGTTGAGCAGTTGAAACTGCTCAGCTTTTGCTCATAGCCATCGGCATTTTTTTTTCCTGAGCCTAAGGCAGTTTCTTACAATGACATTTTGAAATTGTAGCATCCCAACTGACGGAGGTGAGCTAACCCACCAGAGTGTGAAATCCATTCCAGCATTCTATCTATCAGAGGTGGTGTGCGTATGTCAAACTCTCAATCTGGTGTCGATACCCTTAAGCATAACCAAAACAAAAAAGGGCTCCATGAGGCAGTTTATTTTGAGTTTGTTTTTTTCCATTTTAGTGGGCTCTGAATAGGGTCAAACTCTAAATACGATACTTGCCTAATACCTGGAGGATCTGACGAATGCCACTTAGAAATGACATCTCTCGAAATACTGTACACACCCAGAATGGCCAGGAACAAAGTTACAAACTTCAGTCAGACATTCTGCAGGAATCACCTCCTGACTGACAATGTATCAGGGTTGATAAAGGGCTCAAGGTCAAATTCTGGGTTCACTAGTAAATATTTTTTAAAAATCAAGTGTATACAGAAGCTTCCTCTCTCTGACGGACAGCAAGTTCGTTTCCTATCTCTCCAGTGGACCCCTACACCAGTTCACCTCTGTAACCCATACTGGAGCACCTCCTTCCAACCCCCTAAACAAGCCCACTCTGATCCTTTCAGTGTCCCTCTAACCCACCCGCTCCAGACCAATAAAAAGGAAATGTTTGCACCAAAATCTTGAGATTTTTAAAATGAGCTAATTAGTCACGTCCTCTCTCTACAGTCAGCCAGCTTTGTTGGAAGATGCGAGAGTTAAACAACTGATGGAACTGATTTGAGTCATATGTTTAATAATAATAATAATCCTCCTTGCATTCACAGCCTCAAAGATATAGCGCTTGATCATGTCATGCAGATACGAACAGTGACTACGACAACCTGCCCTCTGCTCGTCGCTACTTTTCCACTAGAATCTCCCTGTACATACGAAGCAGTAAACCCTCCACAACTTGAAAGCCACTCTCAACGCAATTAATTCCCACCAAATACTGAAATCCGGGTGTGGTTTCTTTGAAAGAAACGTCTCAACGACACATTTGGCTCTTGAGCGAGTGTGGAGCGTTGGAGATCAGATCACCCACCAAATGACACGCTCTCAGTCGAGGGCTTCATTCAAGTGACCCCAGCAAACAGCCAGCGCGGCCGGCTGGTAGCCGCAGAGCCAGCCACAGCCGCGATGATCTTGCGTCGGTGCATCTGTTGGGAGATATCCCCCCCCCTTGGATCCCTGAGCGTCCTTTGACCAGGCAAGATCGGAGAGGTGCCCGTGGCGGGTTTCGAGACCCCGATTACCCCGAAGCTCACGATAGAAGAACATGACATACGATGTCAGCGGAAGCCACAAACACACATATATAATATGTATGTACACACACATAATATATATACACACATATATAATATATATACACACACATATATAATATATATACACACACATATGTAATATATATACACACATATATAATATATACACACACATATATATATTATATACACACATATATATATATATATACACACACACATGAAAGCCGCCAACTGCCAGATCTCAATGACGAGGCCCCGTCTCTTGCGGCGTTGGGGATGGGATTCGTATCCGCTGCGGGTGTACGCGCTGCGAGCGGAGCCGCCACTGAGGTAACCGAGCGGGAGGGAAAGCCACGGCGGCTCTCCGGGCCCCGGGGAACCGGACTGATCATCACCCCCCAGGACCCGCCCTTCCCTCCGGGGTTCATTGCCAGTGACGCCCCTAAACACCGCCTCCCGGGAGAGGACGCGCCCCGGACCCCTCCGCCTGTACCTGTATCCCCGGTTCGTGGCCCGCGGCGGGATCCTGAAGACATGAAGCTCCGGCTTCACACACAGCACCGACTCGTAGTCACTGTTCGCCATCTTACCGCCCGCGGCACCACGGGATACTGGAGGACCCGCCCACTCTCCCCGCGGCACCATGGGATACTGGAGGACCGGCCCACTCCCCCGCAGCACCATGGGATACTGGAGGACCGACAGGCCGTTCGCAGTCCCAGGCCCCCCACCCCCCGCCGCACCACGTGACGTTCAGCGGAGGCGAATGATGCCATTGGGCTACTTTTGGGCTACTGTTTGGTTGACATTACAGGCGATTGGGCTATGTTCTCTGCCTCCTGTTCCTCGAGAAATTCACAGAAGCAAATCACAGGAAAAGCATTTTATTTTGTGGTTGCAGATCATGATCGAGTGAGTGATGTAACCTTGTCCAGTTGAGAGGAAAAACATGATGTGAAATGCAAAAAAAATTTTTTTAAAAAAAAATCTCTTTCTAGAGAGCTGTGCCCCCCCCCACCCCAGACCCAAGTGTTTGGTCTTTTGTTTCCTTCTCCTCACACTAAGGCACGTTACGTGGTCATTTCGCGCGTCTGTGTTTGAGCATTTATAAAATGCAGCGTTATTTATAAAGTGATTTCAAGAGAGAGAGAGAGAGAGAAATCGTATTGGGGCCGAGACTCAAATGCTCCATCGCACCTGAATTTCTGGGTTATTTTCTCATTGCTCTCACTCACCCACTCAAGTTTTGAGTGATTTATGTTATGACGCAGGAAGAAAACTTTTAGCATTTTTATAGTGCCTTATGGTATACGTGGAAACAGCTCAAAGAGCTTAACAGCAATTGTCAAGCGTAGTGCATGTTTCTGTAGGCAAATGTGCCAGCAAAGTCCCACATACTGCCCTCAGTGAACAATCTGGAGGATTGTTGGGAAATAATAGCAATGTATCTTTGACATCCACCTGAAGACAGGCAGACAGGACTTCAGTTTCACATTTCATTCCCAAGGACAGCAACTCCATCAATGCAGAACTTCACCCAGTGCTTCACAGCCTACAGATGTGCGAAAGCCTCCAACTGTAGGACTTGAACCCACAACCTTCTGACTGAGAGGTGAGATAGCTGCCAATCGAGCCAAGCTCTGTCTATCACTTCACCACACCAGCCGGAGTCCTGGCAAATGAAATCTGGATAATTTGTAATGTGGCCCAAGCTGAACCAAATGGACCTCGTTGGGAGAAAGTAGGCTTTTCACATTGTGCCACGAGATCTAAATACTAATCGCAAGAAACCTATCCAGTATAATGTACAAGAGATTAGATCTCACAGCCTAAAGCCGGGTGCGTTGCAGAGTTTTCTTGTTGTTTAAAGCCTCACTGAACAAGTTAAGCAGGATAGCTGTTAATCCACAATAAACATGGACAGATGGGACAGAATAATTAGGTTGCTGCATGCCCTTAAATGGTTGGAGAAACAGCCCAATTGCAGAGATTCTCAAGATGGGAAGAGATTAAAAAAAAGGGAATTTGGAGAAAGAGGTCTTGTTCATCCATCGTTTCTCTTTCAAAACTATTCAGCCAACTTTCAGCCTCCTCCACCTTGCTGACATTCTAAATTTCCAAGTGTACGACTCCCAATCTTTTCTTCCAAAAGAACATTCGACTTGACAGTTCACAACAAGGTTTTTGTTGGCTTAAATGCTTCCTTCAAAAAAAAAAAATCGAGCAAAACACATCAGGTCTCACGTGAAAAAACAAAACCAAACTGTCGACGCCAAACTTATAAAATTTTACTCAAAATATAGTTAACTCTGCCAGTCAATTATAAACAGAAGTACAGATCATGCTCAGCCTTGGAGAGCCTTGGGGTTCCCTTTTCTGAGCGCTGGAACAAGATGTGGTTTCAAAAGAGTTTTGAACACTGCTTCAGGATTAGTTTTAAAAGAAAACAAAGAAAAGCAGTAGCATCCTTTTGTTGAAAGAGGTTACACAAGCTATCAAGACACTTAAAAACATTTCTCAGCTTTCTCGTGAATATAAAAGGATTAGAAATTTTTAATCAGAAATGGCAGATGGAACACTGAACCCTACAAGTTACAGGTTATGGAAACATGACCAACATATGAACACAGAATACAGTGATGAACGAGATTTCCGTTACTACCCGCTAAACACGATCGAGAATTTAGGTTTGCTTATATTGAGCTAACGTGATTGGTAACTTGCATCTGTTTACATCACCAACCAAATAGAACAAGACAATCTTATCACTTCCAGGGGGTGAGGAAGAAAGGACAAGGCATACAACTTCTAGTGATGAAACCTGCATTTCAAAAGCAGTCTTTATGAAGAGGAATTTTTTCCTTGGAGGTGAAGGAAGGGGGAAAATGGGGGCAATGAACAGAAAACCACATACAAACAAGCTTTGCACCTAAACAAACTACTTTACCCAAAACAAGTTTCTAGAGAAAGATTTTCTCCTCGACTCTCCCCCCACAAACTCACATGACAAATGGCAACAATAAGCGTAAGGCATTTCAGTTTAGAGCTCAAAACCACTCTAATCTCTCCACTGTGCAATTTTGCTTTCTCTCCAAATGCAATGTGCAGGCTCTATGCCAGTCTGTGTCCATATCAACTACTGTCTCTGCTCCCTGAGGAGATCAGTAGTGAAAAGCACACATCTGCATCCAGTAAGTCATTGGATCCTCAAAGCTCTCTAGGGTTCACAGATTTGTGTGCTAACAGGATTCTGGGTGGATGGGTGCAAGCTATAGCATCGACTGGGATTTGTGGCTCCAGCTATTTACTTGGTGCTTGTTTTTTCAACTTGAAAGGGCAGGTGACTGAGGGAACCCAGTGAGGTTTGATGTCAGAACCCTGTGCTTCCCAAAAAAACAATTAGGGCTCTCAAAACATGGAAGGCTGAAAATGCATTTTAATAAACACGTTCAGTAAGTGAGAGGGAAGAAATGGATTTGTACTGGTAAAGTGAAGAAACCCATTTAAAGCAAAAAAAAAGGAAAATTCCTTAACATATCTATCAAATCAGTAACAGAGCAGTTAACACATATCCTCGTTTTCATTCATATGTAAAAACATGAAGGAATAAGGGGAAAGATGCGGAAAGTGAGATTTAAAAGAAGAAATAACAGCTAACAGACACGATGGGCTAAATGGCCTCCTCTGTGCTGGAAATACGCATGTGATTCGAGGATTTGAGAGGGACCTGTGTGCCAATTTTGAATTTGTAAAAAAAAAAAGTTGCCGCACTTTCTTGCGTTAGGGAACCCAGTATTTAAAGGGACAGATGATCAAACCGAAAGCAGATGGTTTCACGTGTTTATTCACAGAAACTAACAGACATTATGATTGCACTAAGATAGCAGCATAAACCTGAACACAGGAGGCATTTGTACATTAGAGACTGAATGAAACCCAAGTTGTGGGAAAAGTAGTGTCCCCACCATTTGTAGCAAACCAGTTGTGAACCTTCTATTATCCCCCCACCCCACTTTCATTTATTTCTCTGCTCTTTCCTACTGTAATTGGTCAGGATGGTACAGTCCAGCCATTTCTATTATGGTGACTTTGTGTAACTGAAGTTGATTCAACAGGAGGTTCTGTGAGTGGTGTGGGACTTGCTGGCAAGTTTCCTGCAGATAAAGAGTGGCAACAGCCCCCACCACCCTCTCCCCCACATACACACAGAAGAAGCACAATCAGACTGAGACCCCAACCCCCTAACACCTTGCAGTGCAAGAGTCCTGTGTTTTAGTGTTGATGCTGTTTCCTACAGAGCAGAGTACAACAGCCATCTGCAGTGTAAAAGGAAACATTCAAAACATTTGTTGGTGAACTGCATAAACCATAATTCCATATTCAATAGGATATTTTAACATTGTGCAAATTGCAGAATCAAGACTGGTTTAATAAGCTGCAAACCCAATATAACAGCTAGCATTTGGCTGGTAAGTATTGTGCACTGAAAAGGGAAATGGTAATCTTACCAGCTGCTACTTCAGATCTTACATTCAGAATCGGCAGCCCAGGCAGGTCATGTTGGGCTCCAGAACTCAGAGGCCAAATTCCAGGTTCCACAAAAAGGTCCCATGAAAGTGTAGCAGAAAAGCATAAGTGTGCTCATCAACCAGAGTAGTTGATGTGTTGAGAAGGGTTTGGGCTGGACTGTCCCTGACTCCTCTAACTATTACTAATTACAGTGGCCTAATATTGATGAGATTGGGGGGGTGAGAGATTGAAATTAATGTTGAATTACATACAAATTCAGTCTTAGAAACTAAGGCCTTTCTCAGCTAACATGGATAAGGCACCCACTCCTTCACTTGTCCAGCAGGATACTCCTGTAACACGTTAAAGCGAGTTGACAGAGAATAAAATAAACATGTTTGGGAGTTACCAGCCTGCAGTCTAATCTAGGGTTCTTCTGAAGTTTTACTGAAAGCGCGAGGTTGTTTATAAATGTCCTCTGAAGCTCAAGATGGTCAATGATCTGCAAGTGCAGCTTCTGGTGTACAGTTCAATGGTTTTGTTCACACATTCATTCAGGTGCAGCATAATGATGACCAGAAAGGCATTCGGTCTCTTTTATGATTTTACTTTCACAAAGTTTGCAATGGATCACAGAGAAATTCAATCACACTCCCCGTTACGTAGCCAATAAATGGACCGTTTCCTCTAATTCCGATCTGGATCCAGTCTGAAACTCCACAGCTTTTTCAACATTAACTTAGGGGGCTATTAGCTGATTGCCACCGTTTGCCAAACCTTCCCAAAATTGAGCTAACTACTGTTACCCAGTAACTACACACACACACGGAGCACTAGAAGACAAGATCATTACAATTTCCTTCTTCCAAAGAAACAGGCAATTATATCCAAGCCACAAAACCTAGCAACCGAGAGATATAACTAGTCCAGAACTGCACCTACAGTACAATTGCGCTTGCAGTGCACATTACATGATATTCTAGTGTATTCAATGGCCCATATTCTGTGTCTGCAGTTGCTATCTAGGTTTTGCCAGTGTTAAAATGCAGATAAATGGGTACAGTGGTCAACATCTCCAGTCTCAATGCAATCTCTGCATTCTTGCTCACAAAGACTCCTTTAGACATTTTCTACTCGATTTCATTGAATCTATAGCATTCCAAAGTTTTTGAAACATTTCTCCCATCAAAAATCCTCAGGTCCAAGAGACTCCATGGTCCTCGCGCAAACACACACAAACACTTGAACTTCATACAATGCATAACATGCCAGGGCTAATGTTCTGCTGTGATCTAACTTGTAAAATCATCACTTCTTTTGGCTTACTGTTAGACAGAAGGGTTTTGAAGTTAATACCAGCAATAGAGATGCGCTTGGGGGAAAAAAAACTAGCCACCTGGTTGCAATCTGACAGGTAATTATAAAACTGCATTACTGGTTCAATTAAATGAACTAGATCTCTATGTACATAAATATACAGTTTCCCTTTCTCTTTTGTAAAGACATAAATTCCCCCACCTCCAATTTTTTTATACAGTATAACTGGTTTCTCCCAAAATGTTTTCCCCTTAACTCCTTCCTCTACTTGTGAAGACTTTCACTCAAAAAGCTGAGGCCATCAATCCTCAAGAACCCTTCCCATGTGGTCATTTTTGATGAACAATCCTGAACAGGAGACGCTGGGGAAGAGATTCCAGCTGAATGCAATCCTGCCCTCACCCCAATGCCACCTCTCGCAGTGGTCATTACACATTGATTGGGAGCAGGCAATTCAGCCTCTTTTCCTTCCCTAGGACTGAGGCCAACCACAGCAGCCTCCAGCTTGGCTGACTTAGCAGAGACGAGGGTCTGTGTAACTGGGACCATTCCAGTCTGTGTGGCTGAGTACCTGGGAGTGCATTAAAGCATTTATACACCGAGCCAACCACTTAGTATTGAAGAACAATTTTTTTTTTTTGAAAGAAAGAAACTCTCAACCGATTATTTTCATGGTGGAAGTTCAAAGACAATTTGAGATCAGGTTCAGTCAGCAAAGCAACCGTCATGACAGGCATGGAGGAAGCATCTCAATAGCCAACTGACCCAATAGCAAATCAGTGGGAAGTTATGCAAGTTTTTTTTATATAATAAAACGGTAATTTTTTTGTAAGCGAATTCTATTTGGCGTTAGCTTAAGTCTTACAACAGCTGCTAGATGAGCGCCTTAAATTGCTTGTTAAAGGTTAAAATACTAAAGAACTCTTCGATGCGGACAATCTCGCGGGCCTCATCACAACCACTGCTAATAGCGTTTGAATCCAGTTCGCGTCAATCACAACACTTGTCACGGCACAAAGTCAAAACGAACCGGATGGCTTGTGTGTTTCGAGGCTATGCCAGCAGCTGGTTAGGGGCACAGAGGCTAGTTGTTTCCACCACCTCCCCCCACCCCCTCAAGCACTGGTCGAAGTGTACCGAGCTTCAATCTTTTTTAAAAAAAGGAAATTCATACCTTTGTTCGCAGGCAGACACATAAAAACATACATGTACACAGACACGTATACATGCGCACGGGTACGCACGCACACACACACAGACACGAGAGACAGATGACTGCTTCAGCTTACGTGTGTGAGCAGCATACACACACACAAAAAGGAAATTACAGACATGCCCTTTAATTAATGATGGACCGAAAAAGGTTTGTTTTTGAAATTCTAGAAAACAAAGGCATCGCCTTGAAAAATAGAGTATGTACTAGCGATGGGCGACGCCTTGCTCCAGCAGTTTACGAGGATAAAGAATCCACATTTCTAAAAGTACTTGCAGGCCATCAAGTGAGCAGAAGGGGAAACATTATAAAAGAACAAAATGCTGGCTTTCGAATGGCTAGTCTCGACCCTTTCAGCGTCTCGAGACGACCTAGAATCTAACAGAAATACTTCTTAATTTACATTTATTTCCTATCCTCTCCTGCCTCACACTTCCTTCCCTCCACATCCCCCTATCCCCCGCCCCCCTTCTCGCCACCATCAGAGTGCACATCCATGCAATAGGGGGCGAGGACCCAGCTGCAAGCCCTACCGGCTTCTGTCGGCAATGCTGCTCTGCATATACCCAGCTGAGGGAGGTGTTAACGTGGGAAAGGGCTTTGGCCAATTCCTCCGTAGAAAGAATAACCCTCCACCTGGGCGGGAAGCACCCATCCAGCACATTGTTAAGTCAAAACCCAACCGGGCGCCACAAAGCGTGGCTAGTGGATTGGAGCCTAAGGCAGTGGTGGGGCCGCATCTCTCACAGCCACAGCAATGTGCAACGATCACCTCAATGCCACCCTAATCTGCCCGATATATATTTTCTCTCTCTCACTGCTTTATCAGTTTTGGATAAAACAACATTCTGGTCATCTGCAGCTATGCAGCCACTTCAGGCCGGTGAGATAAGTCACATTCATGGCCACCGGCAGAATTTTATTGTTCCACTTCCTCAATTCTGCCCACGCAGGGCCAGATTGCCATTGACTAACAAGCACGAGGATGGTAGCCTTAGAGGAACCAGCTGCACAACAGACCACTGGCACCACTGACGTGCCTCTCCCAGTCTGGGGTGCTACACAGCCCACGTCTACTGTCCGCATTTCTCTCCTAGAGCTTTTTTGTTCCGCTCTGTTACTCCAGTCAGGTGTTTTTTTGTGGGGGAAAAATTACTTGAAATAGAAATAATAAATAGCTAAAGACAAGCCAAACGTAAGATGGGCGCATTTCTGGAGGTTTTGCTGTATGTCACAGAACAAGAGGATTATTCTAAAGTTTACGATCTGCGGGAATAGACTGAATGGGAAAGAACCCGAATAAACCTGTGAAGTGTGGCATGAGGAGAGAAGAGCACCCATCACTGATACATAGTCATAATCTCTTCTGAAATTAAAAGACAAACTACTGAACATTCTCGAACAGTATTATTGCTGGAGCGAATTTCTGCTTAAGAAATGGCACACAATAGATTCTTGGCCAGTCTGATAGCAGGAAACCTTCCCCCTTCACGGTTTCCTCGGAGAGCTCACAGCAGTGGGCCAATCACAGTGGGCGGAGCAGGGGGGGTCACAGTGCGCAGCAAGGGTCACAGTGAGCGGAGCAAAGGGGATCACAGTGCAAGAGAAGCAGCTCAGTTCCTCTGCTCGAGTCCGTTATCTCTGTCCAACACTGCGCGCTCGGTCACGGAGAGTTCTGTTCTACAAAGCGCGCTCACTGCCCGTTTATCTGCGCTGCTTGAAGCCTTGTGTACCATCGGGGCCCAGGGGTTGCCGGATGATCCCGCTCTGCTGCTTGCTCTCCTCCAACTGTGTGATCCTGGCTGGCCTGCAAAATAATAATAATAATAATAATAATCCGTGCATTTGGTGCAGCGCCTTATCACGTCTGCGGGACGTCTCAAAGCCCTTCACAGGATACACTGTAAAGTGCAGTGACTGCGTGCTTTGTGCGCGAAACACGGCAAACAATTCCGCAAACAGTCGTGGATTGAGTGACCAAATTATTATTAATTTATTTATTTAAAATACAGGAGCGATTGAAGCCCATTCTGTGTTGGGACCTATTTCCCTCTTTCACTGTCACCTTTGAAAACAAAGGCAGCAAAGCGACTCTCAGGGTCTGTGAAATGTTAAGTTATCCTAAAGAACTCGGGGAATGGATTTTGAAAGCTATGATCCAGACATTTCAGGAGTCAAGGTGACGCCAAAAAAAAGGGCTCAAAACTAGACAGTTTTGTCAATATTATCACACACATTGATGCAGCGGTTATGAAAATCTCCCTCCCTCGCTCCCCAAATGCTTTTAGCACATTTTGTCAATCGAAGGAGATGATTAAATATATTTTGTAAGTGTGCAGTAATATAGCTGGTATTTTAACCTGCACTTCCAACCTTTTCCATAGTTTTGAATTGGAAAGCCAACTGCTCTTAGGCCTCCCGTTGTACTTGGATAAGTCTCAACATATTCCCCATCATTTGATCAAAAAAGGAGAGCACCTACTGGACTTCCCAACTCTTCCCTCCACAAACTGCAGATTATTCAGAACCCTGCAGCTCATGTCCTTTCCCGCACCAGGCTCCGGGAACCTATCACCCCCGTTCTTGCCCAGCTTCAATGGCTCCCCGTTCCTCAGGGAATTGAGTACAAAACTCTCGTTCTTACTTTCAAGGCCTTCCACGGTCTTGCTCCCCCACTACCTCCCTGACCTCATAACCCCATATCAGCCTGTCTGCTCAGCTGACACCAGCTGCTTCAGGTCCCCCGCACTTCCCGCCCCACCATTGATAGTCGGGCATTCAGCATCTCTGTCCCCACACTCTGGAACTCTATCCCACAATCCCTCCAGCTCACTCCCTCTCTTGCCTCCTTCAAGTCTTGTCTGAAGACCTTCCTCTTCGATCGTGCCTTCAGCCACCCTCTCACCCCCACCCTCTGCCCCTTCTGACCCCAACTCAGGTCCAAAACCTGATTTTCCAGCACCCTGGGACGTCTTTCCGACGTGAAGGGAGCTGCACAGGTGTAATTTGTTGTTGTAGAGGACACGAGCCTCCACCAACTCTTTTGTTAACTTGAGACACTAATTTTATCTCTAGGATTAGTATAGTTGGCCAGGCCAGCAGGAGAAACTCCTTTCTCTTTACAGATTGTGTTGTGAGATCTTTAACATCCATCAGAAAACAGGCAGATTGGGATCTCAGGTCATCGCTTGAACCAAACAACAGAACCTCTGATAATACAGGATGACCAACAAGATGCAATACCATTACAATGTCTAATAAGGCTTAAAGAAATTTTTTTTTTAGATAATAGGTTAAATATCATAACTTTTTGGTCACCCTCTATAAACAACCTGTTTCCAGGACTCTGCCAATGCCAAAACGTGGCCACGGACTTCATCTCACCTGGGTACCCCACTTTAAAAGAGTTTCCCCAAATCATTGGCCTCAACTCATTACCAAGACCAGTCCTTGAGATGGACCACGACACTGATTGATCAGGATGTTATTTGAATTGGCTCTCGGGTATCAGGGCTTTAGTCACTTATGTTTACCTCTCTGCGGTGCTTTTATCTTCTTCTTCTTCGGGACTCGCACTCCCCAGGATCCGTTTCCTCGCCTCAGCGTATTCCGCTTCTCTCTGGGCCAGAGATTTGACATGTGGTGGCGGCCGGTTGGCAGAGTGCGGCGTACTGATCACACCGTTGCTCGTGGGTCTCTTTAAAATGCGGATCTGTGGAGCGCAGGGCGTCGGGTGCGAGTCGTCCTGAATGACGATAGGAACCTTGGGCCCCAGTTTCGATTTTCTTCGTAAAACGAAAGTGCATCAAATAATTGACAATTGGATTCACTTCATGGACACAAGGTCAACAACAACTTGCATTTATAATAATGCCCTTGACATAGGGCAATGTCTCAAGAGCTAATATACAGGGGGTGGGGTTGGATGCTGAGCGGGAAAGGAGGATAGTTAGTAAGGATCAAGTGAGGTTAAAAAGAGTTTGGTCTCAAACTCTTTAATTCAAATTAGACAGATTAAAAGCATTTGCCCACCCCCCACCCACCGAAACCCCCTATAGCACCGGGCAGGTGCTCAGCGTTATTTTGCCCAGCTGTCTACTCTTTAATGGAACATCAGACAATGAAGACTGGCAAGCTCCTCCAAGATGAACTTGAAAGTAGCTTACCAGCCTGCATGGTCTAGATCTTCCAACCTTTCAAGTGAATCACGTCAGATTGAACTATGTGGATCCAGCAGATAAGACACCACAAAGCTCAGTCAGGATGCTCAATCACACTATCTGCCAGGAATCTAGCATCAGCATTCCTCTGCCTGCTGACCGGCGCTGGGAAGTTGAGACGCAGTTTTAGTGACATTCCAAAGCAATGCCGGTCCTTACTTTTCCTTCTGTTGAATCTTTAATTTCGCTTCCAGCCTTCGATCAATTTCCTGCAAGAAAGATACAAATACACATTTTATTACAGATGTAAATACACATTTTATAATACACTGTAAGCACTCATACTCAACAACACGTCAAATGTCCGGCCTGGGATGAGCTCAACTCTGTCCAATAATCAAGCAACTGCATTAATCAGATTTGAAATAGCTAAAAAATCTAGGTAACTCGAACCTCAATACAACAGTGTTAGAAAAATATAACAGCTGCATGAAAAATCAATTGCCCCAAATGAAGCCAGTTGGAAGAATTGGGATGTTGGCAGCACCATCTTATTTCCACCCATCATTCTGAGCCAGTACAATACAGCACAGTCCATCTTCATTCAGTCCTGTAGTTGCAAATATTGGCAATCAGACAAAATTACCTTAATGAAAACCTGTTTTACCACAGAAAATAAAAAAAGTAATGGGAGTGGTGAGAAGGTAACTCCCATTGGGCTGGTTGAAGGGCAGTGAAGCTTGTGAAGAGGCAGTGAACCTTCTTTTAAAAAGCAAACGTTCATCTCAAAGTGGATTTAATTTCTACATCAGAAGTTGGACTGTGATCAAATCACCTCAATAGTCAACAGTAAAATGGGGCCATTCCTGGTGTTGAACTGGCTTCAAGCGGTCATGCCAGACAGCTCAAAGTTCTTTTGATGGTTGACAGACCTCTCTGGCTCTTCAGCGAGATTGGAATTGTCCTCTTCCCTGTCAGTCAAAGCACCAACAAGTAGGCCTATCCTACCTGGATTACTATATTTAAGCTCATCAGTCAGTGCTTTGCATGGATGGGAGCCATACAGACTTAATCTTGTAGAAACTTAGAACCCATCCTGGACTTGATGTCTGACAATCAATCGATCGAACCAGCACACGCAGCAAAAGAGGCGCCCCGAGAGCACATGCTTAAATAAAAAAATTAAATTCCTAGGTGTTGGCTGAGTATCCTGGACTGGAACAACTTCAATTGCATTACTGGCCTGAGACCAAGCCAATCGAACGCGTGAGCGACAATCACAGGTCGCTGTTCTATGTGCGGGACAGGAAATGACGAACCATTAAACCACTTCTTAGCTTAATGCAAGTAAAATGCTCAGGATAATAAAGGCACAGTTATAAAGCATGAAGTAACCTTAAACTGCTCAGGCCTGCAGGATGACACAACACAGAAATCTAACACACAAAGTGGTGGGTGAAAACTATCAGCTAAACTTGCCACAAAGTGTCTGAAGATCAATTGATAGCTCATCTGTTATCTATTGGCGAGAGTGTGCACAGCACAAGAGGCTTAGAGTCTTGCCCACAAAAAGCTAAAAAAAAACTACCACAGAATTTAGAAAGTACTCTCCACAGAAGGGTATCGACCACTTTTACCTTCCGTTTCTAGAGATCCGAAGCCATGACACAATGCTTACACACAGCCTCCTGAGCTAACCTACGGCAAATTACATTCCCGTACGTGCAAAACAGCTTCCGAATATCGATGTTCTCACGTAGACAACCATTAGAATTTAGAGTGTGCGCCTTTCACACCAGGACGTGTCAAAGCAATTCACAGGGTCTACTGTATCGTGCAGTGACTGTGGATTTGTGGGCAACCCATTTGCAAAACAGCTATGTCTGTCATTTAGAAAAAAAAACTTTCTGTCCTTTTCTGCATTGGGGTTCCGCAGGGGGAAAAATTGCAAAAATGTTTTTTAAAAAAAATGCGTGATTTCTAAAGAGTGTCCCAACTACAAAGTACCTGGATAGGTTTTAATCAATACCTCAAATCATCAGCTTGTCTCCTTTTTGTTATTGGTAATAGACTTAAATATCATTAAATGGCACAACTTACATAAGTATGAAATATTTTTCATTCACAAAGCACAGAAACTTACATATACATTTAAACACACAAGAGAAATGACATAGCTCTCCAAACAGCAAGTTTGCCACTTTGACTTTAATATGCAACTGATCCATGGTTTCAAAGCTTTTCCTGACCCTCTCCCTCTTCATTCGATGTTCGTACAACCGAAGGATAGGGTCTTCTTTGAATACGGATTATTTTTTTTCAAATAAAGCCACACTTCCTTTGCTACGCTTCTTCCATTGCCACAATCCTACCGCCTTGAAAAAAACATTGCCAACCATTTACAACATTTAAATTACAGCTACACTGGAGGTGGAGAGCTTTCCAGAAAATTGGCCTCAAGCCCAGGAAAGTGTTGACTTAAAGCGACCAGGCCAGAAAGTCGCACTGGATTCTTGCTTTGCTTTTTTATACACATATATATACTACACACACACACACACGTATATATATATATATATATATAAATGTGACATAATAAATACCAACTGAATTGTAAATTGTGCCCCAATTGATATTTGAACCTGCTGCCTCGTGTTTGGGGGCTTTTTTTAAAAAATATATATATTTTAAAAAAAAGAAAGAAGCAACGCACGAACAACTTTGGCGTGGGAGGTGAGCGAGGCCAGGAATGTCCGGCCACCTGATGAAACAAACGCCCAATCATCCCAAACGGAGTGGAAAATAATAATTTTGTTTCCTTTCCTCCCCCCCCACCAAAAACACACACACACACACACACACACACAGCCCAGGACAGGAACTTGGCGAACTGAGGCAGGGCTTCTTTCGGCTTGTGCATCCCAGTGCAGTGGGATACATTACCTCCATCTCTCTGGAATCCGCACCACTCGTTGCCAATACCTTTTCTGGTCACGCTATTGACTTTATTTCTGTCAGTCACAGCCACAGCCACCACCGTCTGTGTGCGTGTGTGTGTCTGTCTGTCTCTGTGTGTGTGTGTGTGTGTCTGTCTGTGTGTGTGTCTGTCTGTCTGTGTGTCTGTCTGTCTGTCTCTGTGTGTGTGTGTGTGTGTCTGTCTGTGTGTGTGTCTGTCTGTCTGTGTGTCTGTCTGTGTGTGTGTGTGTACTACATGTGGCTATTCCATGCTGTCGCTGTTCATCTCAATAAATGAGGGGCTGTTGCAGCTTCTCCTGGTCACCCCCCACACCCCATCCCCTCCCCCCGCTGAGTCCCAAGGTCCCACTCCATTTTCCCCGGCCATCTTCCTTCCTCCCCCCCAACCCAAACCACACCACACTTGTGGCCGAGGCGACGCGCAGTCGGACCCCTTTAACTGTTGCACACACACACACACTCACTCTCCCTCCCTCCCTCTCCCTCTCAGGCCGTGTAAAGAGCTGAGAGGGGAACCCCTTCGAGCTGCTGTAATGGACCCGAGTGGGGGAGGAGGGGGTCGCGGTGCGGGGGGAGAGAGAAGGGGGAAGGGGGTCGCGGTGCGGGGCCTTAGGCCGCTTGCGGTACAGTGCAGCCCGGCCTCCTGGCGGTAGCGCTCTCCCGCCCGCCCGCGCCGCCTCGGCTCCTTACCCCACTGTCGGCCGCTTCCTCCCAGTTATCCGCGATTTCCTCATCTTCCATCTTAGCTGCTCGCACACTCTCCCCCCCCACCCCCAACCCCCGCCCGCCAGCCCCGGGGCGACCTCGCCTCCCGCTCCCGCCCTCCTCCTCCGCCGCCGCCGCCTCCTCCCTCCCTCCCGCCGCCGCCGCCGCTGCTGCTGGTAGTACTGGCGGCGCTGCGCACGCGCCAACTCCCGCGCGCGTATGGGCAGCGCGCATGCGCCCCTCTCCCCCCCCCCCCCGCGCGACCTCTCCCCCCCCCCCCCCCGACGGCCGCGGCGCGCGTGCGCACCTCGCGGCTGGGCGGGCGCCCAGGCCCCGGCCGCGGCATAGCCATAGCAATCGATCCGAGAGCGCCTGGGCAAGATGGCGGCGGCGGAGGCGGCGGCGGCGGCGGCTGGGCCCAGCTAAGCCCGAAGCAGCGGCTCGGCGAGCGGCAGCCAACCTCGATAGCAGAGCGCCCCCCCTCCCCCCACACACACACACACCCCTTCTTCCCCTCCCCTCAGGTGAGGCCGTCAAGCCGGACAACACCCCCCCCCACCCCACCACCACCAGCACCAGCCCCGCGCTCGGAGGGGGACCGGGAGGTGAGAGCTGTGTTAGTGTGTGTGTGTGGGGGGTGTGGGGAGGGGGTGTGTGTGGGGGGGGGGGTGTGAGGGGGGGGTTGGGCCGCTCCGGTGGGGATGGCAGACCGGGGCGCGCGCGCGCGCTGTCAGGGCTCAGGGCTCGCAGGGCCGCGCGCCCCGGGCTCCGGCCGCCATGACCGGGAGCTGAGGGCCGAGCCCCCGCCCGCCAGGCGCGCTCAAACAATACCCCGATCGATAGATACAGAGGGGGTGAATGGAGCACAGAGACACCAATACACACTGATCGATAGGCACAGAGTGACTTACACACTGCGCCCGGCGCGGGGGTGGGGGGAGGGGGGAGTGATGCCCCTCTCCCCCCACACACACACACACACACACACACACAGCGGGTGAGGGTGGTGAGGGGGGGTCTGAGCAGAGAGTCACAAACACCCACCCATCTGCGGGGCTGTTACTGCAGACCCCCAGGGGAGCAGCCAGGAGCAGAGCGCAGCAGGAACACGGGACGGGGGGTCAGAGGAACACGGGACGGGGGGGGTCAGAGGAACACGGGACGGGGGGGGGGTCAGAGGAACACGGGACGGGGGTCAGAGGAACACGGGACGGGGGGTCAGAGCAACACGGGACGGGGGGGTCAGAGGAACACGGGACGGGGGGTCAGAGGAACACGGGACGGGGGGGGGTCAGAGGAACACGGGACGGGGGTCAGAGGAACACGGGACGGGGGGTCAGAGGAACACGGGACGGGGGGGGTCAGAGGAACACGGGACGGGGGGGGGTCAGAGGAACACGGGACGGGGGGTCAGAGGAACACGGGACGGGGGGTCAGAGCAACACGGGACGGGGGGGTCAGAGGAACACGGGACGGGGGGGTCAGAGGAACACGGGACGGGGGGGGTCAGAGGAACACGGGACGGGGGGTCAGAGGTACACGAGTCGCGGGGGGGGTCAGAGGAACACGGGACGGGGGGTCAGAGGAACACGGGACGGGGGGGGTCAGAGGAACACGGGACGGGGGGTCAGAGGAACACGGGACGGGGGGGTCAGAGGAACACGGGACGGGGGGGGGGTCAGAGGAACACGGTACGGGGGGGTCAGAGGAACACGGGACGGGGGGTCAGAGGAACACGGGACGGGGGGGGGGGTCAGAGGAACACGGGACGGGGGGGTGGGAGGAACACGGGATCACAGTACAGGACACAGGGGCAACAGCTTAGTGATGCACCAAACACACGGCCAGGTTCGAAGCCGGGCCCAACGCTCTGAAGGAGTGCCTCGGAGATTGTTTCACTGCTGCTCAGGAAGATAGATGTTCAGGAGGTTGTTTGTGGGACGTTGCGGAGCTCAAATTGGCACCTGCGTATATATTTATACCCAAAGTATACACACACGCACTGTCACAGGATTTACAGTGAATCCCATGAAAAGCGTTTGAGATGATGATGATAATAATAATCCTCGCGTTTGATATAGCGCTTTTCACGTCTTCTCGACGTCCCAAAGCGCTTCACAGAATAGACTGTAAAGTGAATTGACTATATTTGTGGGCGAACGCGGCAGCCAATTGCGCACAGCAATGTCCCACAAACAGTCGTGGATTGAAAATGACTAATTTATTATTGTTTTGTTTGTTGGAGGGGATTATTATTAGGCTCTGTGTGGAGTAAGGAAACTTGCCCGGGGTTTCACCCTGGCTAAGGGCAATATCAGATGCAAGGCTTATTGCATTGCTGTTGTTATGCTAAGAATCCCTGCATTTTCATAGTACATTATCATGTGAAAAGTTGCAAAGTGGTTCACAAGTATTTACCGTTCAGTTTAGTGCCGTTTTAGAACACAAGTGCAGGGTCGTATGATCTTTAACGTCCATTGGTTAAACCAGCGTTCCATCTGCCAGTTCTCGGGAGCATGTCACAGATCTCATGACACAATTGGAAAAGAGGACAGATTATCTCAGTATCCTACCCAACAATCCTCCAGATTAATCAGTCATTCACCTCATGCTTATTTCTTAGGATCTTGCTGTATTCTGCCACATTTGCTCACCAAGACGTTCACTGCACTTGCAAAAGAATTACTTTGAGACACAAGAGTGTGTTGAGGTGTTTGGGAATTATAGGTGCAATAAAAATACTTTAACTAATACTAAACGTAATCAAGCAAAACCTCAATTTTCACCCATCTCCGCAATGCAACCCTGGTCTGATAACAACAACAATTTGTGCTTATATTGCGCCCTTCACGCAGGGTGGCATCCCTGAGTACCCTCCACAACACTTCTCCCTCTCTCCCTGTCTACCTGCCTTTGGTGGCCATTGACCAAGAATTTGACAGAGATCTTTAGCTAACCAAAATGTTCACTTTTCTTTGAAGTGTAAATATTTCTTCTTCCAGCAGAGCTGCTTTCCATGATTATATACACAAGGGGACACCATTGTCCCACTGGAATCCCCAGCTGCTGTCAGGCAGGGGAACACAACAGGCTAAAGTTAGTTCAGCTTGCGGAGTTGTTTCATAGCAAACACAGGTACTGACAGGAGATTCTGAGGCATTGCAACTTGTCATCCCGAGAGATATACTATTATGATCTATCCTGTAATCTGTAACTTGCGTGTTAGTACTTCTGTGTACAGGACTGTGGAGTCCTGTAGCTCAGTGGTTAGAGCACTCGCTTTGCAAGCGAGAGACCTGAGTTCAATTCCAGGCAGAGGGCGAAACCTTGGGCAAGTTTCCTTACTCCACACAGAGCCTAATAATAATCCCTCCAAAAAACCAAAAACAATAATTAAATTGGTCATTTTCAATCTACGACTGTTTGTGGGACATTGCTGTGCGCAATTGGCTGCCGCGTTCGCGCACAAATATACAGTCAGTTCACTTTACAGTGTGTTCTGTGAAGCGCTTTGGGACGTCCTCCCGACGTGAAAAGCGCTATATCAAATGCAAGGATTATTATTATTATTATTACTTCCATATGTGAATTGGGGTGGCGAGCCAAGCTTGACTCAATTTGCAGTGCATGCCTCGTGCTGGCTAATCCGTTGTGGGAAACGATGGAGAATGGTCAACGGCAGCTTCACAGCAATAGACAAAGACAGGAGATTGCATTTTCATAGTAGCTCACAGCGCATTGCAAAGTCCCACAAACAGCCGTGAGGCGATGAGCAAAAACGGCTGCACCAAACAATGCGCAGAAATTCTCATTTCCTTTTGAAACCATTTCATGGGATCTTCAACAATAAGTGTGGTGGGTTTCAAGGCTGAAAGCACTGAGAAATGTGGCCCTACATGAGATGTTGCACAGTCATGGCTGTGCGACTGTGGCTCAATGGCTTCTCGCTTCCCCCTCCAGGGATGGACTTCCCGCAGCACAGCCGGCAAGTACTGGAGCAGCTGAACCAGCAGCGACACCTGGGGCTGCTCTGTGACTGCACCTTCGTGGTGGACGGCATCGACTTCAAGGCCCACAAGGCAGTTCTGGCTGCGTGCAGCGAGTATTTCCGAACCTTGTTCCTGGACCAGAAAGACGTCGTTCATCTGGACATCAGCAATGCGGCCGGTGAGTCAGTGCCTTCTTACTTGGAAACCGGTTTCCACAGGACTCAAAGAGTACCGAGATTCCAATTGAGATTGAATTACCACATTGAAATGTCTCAAAAGAGTTTCACAGGTAAATACTATTGAGTGCAGTGACTGTCTCTCTCTTATTCTGTCTGTCAAGTGCAGTGACTTACTGACTGACTGACTCTCTGTCTCTGTCTCTCAGGCCTGGGCCAGGTGTTGGAGTTCATGTACACGGCCAAACTGAACCTGACCTCAGAGAATGTGCTGGATGTGCAGGCGGTGGCTGGCTTCCTGCAGATGCATGACATTGTGAAGGCCTGCGAGACATTCATCGATAGTAAACCCTGCACTTTACCAACACCCGTCAACAAGGAGGAGCCACCCCCGCCAAACACTGGTATGTGTGAGTGAAAGTGAGGTTCACAAGAAGCTTTGTGTTTGGATCTCTGTTCCTTCTATTATTCCAGAGACCTGGGGATAGAAATGATTAAATAGCAGAAAGTGTGCTGTGAGGAGCAGGGCACAAAGAAGTTGACCATTGGGCGGGACGTGGAGACTGGCCAAAATCTGTCTGTAGTTACTGTGTCCTTCGGCTGTCAATCATGCAGTTTTATAGCTGGGATTTCCTACAAGAGAGAAGGGGATAAAGGGATACAGGGCAGGGGAGTGGGAGGTGGTGTGGAGTATTAACGGCAGCACCAACCAAGATCATGGCTGTTTCATTGTGGTTATCGTTCCTGAAGAGCTTTAAAATGCCTTGACATTCTAGTTCCCTATTCTTTGCGCCTGTCTCAGACGCAGGCGCCGAGTCTCAGAGTAAGGAGGAGAAGGAGGAAAGTAAGCTGCCATCAGAACAGCCTGAGAAAGAGGAGTTGGACGGAGGAGGAGAAGGAGCAGGAGGCGGAGCAGGAGGAGGGGGGGGAGAGGGGAAAGGAGACTTGAAGGACGAAGGAGGAGTGGAGTCGGAAGATGATGAAGCGGCAATGGAGTTTGAAGACGATGAAGACGAAGATTACAAACCAGGTCAGCGTTTGCTCTTCAGTTTGTATCGCCAGCGACTTGCTATCTCACGCTTTTCCTTACGGGTTGCCCACGTTCTTTAAGCTCTGTCTGGTTGCGAAGTGGCTGGCGGGAGCATTAGGACAGGAGCCTATTGCCAGGCCCAGGTCTCAACAATGAGGCACAAACTGAACATGTAGGAGGGTGCCTCGGGGGGACCCTGTGTGAGGGACGCTATATAAATGCAAGTTGTTGTTGCATCCTCCCTGGTCGTGTTTCTCCAGGAGACAGTGTGAAAGACGCGATCTCGAAGACCTACGGCAAACGACGCCACATCCCTGCCAGGAAAAGCACGTTGAGCGACGCCAAAGACAGCAACGACGTGTCAGAGAATCTCAATCAAGGTAGCCTGACAGCTGTGATTAGTCGCTATATATTCGAGGGCTGGACGAGTCAGTCACAGGCTTGTTGCGTATTATTCCCAAGAAAAGCTGGGAGTGGGGGAAGGAGGGAGAAGGCCGGTGTGTGGAGAGACATGTAGATATAAAGAATACCGTTTCAGTAATATCTGATAATATCATGGTTTGGTCTCTCTTTAATCGACAGAGAAGATTAAGGGGTAATCTAATCGACAACAGCTGGGGATAGAGGATGCAACACAAACACACACACATCTGGTGTGTTAAATATCACGTGGGTTTTGGTCACGTTAACTTAACCCCAATATAGTTGAAAAAAGAATCACGTTCCCCAAAACCCAGAGTTTGACGTTTGGTTCTCACCTCCACAGCCACAGAGGAAAGCGAGTCCAAGAAGGAGCCTGAGGCAGATCCCAGTGACGGCAGCGAGGAAGATGAAGAGGAAGAGGAAGATGAGGAGGAGGAGGACGGGGAGCGGCCGCGGCGGATCCGCAGGGACAGCCTTACTCGGTCTGAGGACAGCGAGAAGCAAGACCCGGCCACGGAGTCCGATGCCGCGCTGGACGATCAGGACGGGGTCCACGACACCAGGCGGAGACGTTTCGGCCCCTACATCGACCGCACCGAGTCCAGGCCGTATGGATCCATCACGCACAAGTGCGAGGTAACGTCTCAACACAACGCGTTGAATTCCACCAGATGGTTTCCTTCCGCGGTCCCTTCAAGCGGAAGATGATTATTATTACCTGAGGGCGGCTGTACACTGTACCCCAGCAGCTCAGTGCTTTTGGAAGAAGAAAGGGGTGGGGGTGGAAATTGTCTTGAGTTGTTCCGCGTGGCTTTGCTCGCTGTCTCTCGCCGTTCTCAGCGATTGCCTGTGTGTGTGTGCTTCGTCACAGGATTGCGGGAAGGAGTTCACTCACACGGGGAATTACAAGCGGCACGTGCGGATACACACGGGGGAGAAACCCTTTTCCTGTCGGGAATGTAACAAAGCCTTCTCCGACCCCGCGGCCTGCAAAGCGCACGAGAAGACCCACAGGTACAGCACTTCTCCCGGTCGATCCCCTGGCCCTTTAGAAGCGGGGGAAAGCCTGTGATTAGCGAACGGTTTCCAAACACAGTCAAACCTGTTCTTCAGCAAACTCTCAGGGGACTGGGCCGTATACTGTATACAGGGGTGGCCAAAAAGTCGCGATAACTTCCCGATCATCTGAAAACAAACAGAAATATCGTCATTTCTTTAAAGACTTTTATTGCACATTGTAGAAGGGTATCGGGACTTTTCGGTCACCCTGCACAGGGCTGTCTTTATATTTACCACCTCGGCCACCGGAGGGATCCCCTGAGCTGACGTTTTAAAGGACCGGCTACTGATCGAAGCCCAAACGATTGCGTGAGAGCGATTGCAGGGATCAGAGCCCCGTTTCTGATGTCTTCCCGGGAAGCGGAGCTCCCCGCATTACCTGCGCTATTGCTGTGCTGGCCAGAGCTTCGGGACGTCCTCCCGACGTGAAAGGCGGTCTCTGTAAATGTAATTTTGTTTTTGTTGTAACTTATACAACTCTTGAGTTTACATTTGTACTTCCTACTGACCTTTCACATCGGGAGGACGGCCGTCTCAAAACTGCTTAAATGCCGTAGATCATCAACAAATAATAAGTCTTGCCTTGGACATAGCGCCTTCTCTTGTCGCCGAGACTGAGATCTGGGTGGTGGGGGGAGGAGGGAGGAGGTTGCCGAGTGTGGCTGAGTACAGGACCTGCCCTGCATGAGGGGCACGATATAACTACAAGTTGTTGTTGGGTTCCTGCTGTGATTATCGCTGCTCCCCCACCCCCAACAGCCCAGTGAAGCCGCACTCCTGTGAGGAGTGCGGGAAGAGCTACCGGCTGATCAGTTTGCTGAACCTGCACAAGAAGCGGCACACGGGCGAAGCCAAGTACAGCTGCGATGACTGCGGGAAGATGTTCACCACGTCCGGCAACCTGAAGCGTCATCAGCTGGTGCACAGCGGCGAGAAGCCGTACCAGTGTGACTACTGCACTCGTTCATTCTCCGATCCCACCGCCAAGATGCGGCACCTGGAGACGCACGACGCCGACAAAGTCCACAAGTGCCCGCACTGCGAGAAGCGGTTCAACCAGGTAGGAAATGGCACCTCTCGTCCCTGAGCTGAGCTGAGCCGCGCTTGCCTGGCTTGGAAACGTGCTTCCCACAAGCAGAGGCCGGTCGGTGCACTTTGCGCTCGTCCGCCTGCTAACGCACGTGGTGTTTATGTCCTGTAGCTGGGGAACCTGAAGGCCCACCTCAAGATCCACATCATCGACGGACCCCTGAAGTGCAGGGAATGCGGGAAGCAATTCACCACCTCAGGTGAGGATGGACCGTGTCATCACCTCGGTCACAAGCGGGTTGTTACTGCTACAATAACACCGGGGGGGGGGCGCCAACGGAGATCAGAGTCGTCCGAAGCTGATAGGAATTCCTGACGCAGCTCCCTAGCTTACAAGGTGTCAGCTGTGAGGGTCCTGGAGGAAGAGCAGGAAAGGGTTGATTTTAAAGGATCTGGCACAGAAAGGGGTTGGGGGTGTGGGGGATGGGGTGGCGGGAAGAGTCTATTTTAACACCTCCGGATTATTATTATTATTAACTCTGTGAAGTTGACCTGAATCTGCTGTGACATGTTTTACAGGGAATCTGAAACGTCACCTGCGGATTCACAGCGGGGAGAAGCCCTACGTGTGCCCACACTGCCAGCGAGCGTTCTCCGACCCCGGAGCCTTGCAGCGGCACGTCCGCATTCACACAGGTAGCAGCCAAGGCCTGGCTCCTCCTCTCTCTCTCCCCCTCACTGACCCCCTACCCCAAGTGACAAAACACCCACTACGCCCCGAAACTCTTCCTCTATCCCTCCCTCCACCATGATCCCTGCTTCCTGATCTTCAGGTCGCTCTTGAAGACCTTACTCTTCGACCAGTGCCTACGGTCACCTCCACTCTCCCCCCAACCCCCCGGCTCGATATTGCGCTCTGCCACTGACAAGTGCTCTGGGACGCTCCCCTACGTGAGGGGAGTAAATGCAAGCTGTTGTTGTTGAAACAAGGCCCCAGGGAGCCCTGGTGTAATATGTGATCCCCCCACCTCCCACCTTCCAGATTCCGAAAACTAAGGTGTTGTTTACCTTTACCATCACCACTCCTCGAGTTCCCTCCCTCTCTCCCTGGCGAAGTGCGTGCCAGGAGCCGTTACATCGAAACGGGGGAATTCAGGCACCAGAAATCGCACACAAGCCCAACAGCAGCTCCTGTAACGGTGCATAGTTCCACGTGGCAGTAGGTGTGTAGGACAGACAGTGGTGGGGGGGGGGTTCTTCCTTGTACTTGGGGTGAATGACGACGCCGCATGGTGATTGAAAGGCCAGACACCCTGTCTTTCTCTTCTCTTTCTCTCTCCAGCTGCTCCGTGCTCACTAACGCACGCTGTCTTGCAGGTGAGAAGCCCTGTATCTGCATCATCTGTGGGAAAAGCTTTACTCAGGCCAGCTCGCTCATTGCACATGTGCGGCAGCACACAGGAGAGAAACCGTACGTCTGTGATCGCTGCGGGAAACGGTGAGTTCAGCCTTTGCTCAAACCCTCGAGGGGAACCTTCGTCAGCTTTATGTTTTCCAAATACGGTCCTCATTTTCCTTTTGCTCAGACGGGTGTCTGAAACACATAGACACCCATCACCAAGGCTTCAGAGCCCCCAAACCAAGCTGAGGATCCAGGCCTTCCACCTGCACACCGAAATCCCAGAGATACATTGTTCAAATGGGATGCGTGTTTTCTCTCTCTCTCTGCTGGAGAGACGCCTCTTGTTTGCCTCATTCTGGAAGGTATCAGGCGCAGGTTGGCAAGAGCCAAGGCTTGGGGACCCGAGATGTTGCGTTGATAAAACCTCAAAGGCAAAATAGGGAGAGACTCAGTTCTTATACAGTCAGCAACTAATAGCCACTGACCCTGTGCAAAACAAAGATCTTTATCATATACCAAAACCCAAGCAACTCAGGTAAACGTTCGTGGACGAGAACAGGCTCGAGCACATGTAATCAGAAGCAGCAGCCCCCTCTCCCACTTGGATGATAACTGTGATGGAGTCAAAGAGAGGCGATCCAAAGGTGCTCAACATTTCCAGAAGGAGGGTGGAACTGAACCTCGAGGAGAATTGAGGGCGCAAGTCCCAAGTCTGTCACTGTGGGAGGGCGAGGCTTGGAGGCTGCCATCCTACTCACTTGGCTCTGGCTTGTTCTCTCTTCTCAGGTTCACTCAGTCCAGTCAGTTAGCCAACCACATCCGGCACCACGACAACATCCGACCGCATCAGTGTCACATCTGCAACAAAGCCTTTGTCAACGCCGGAGACCTGGCCAAACACGTCATCATTCACACCGGTGAGCAGCGAGCAGTACCGGCCTGCGTCTCCTCTCCCCCCTCCCTCGCACACACTCGGCCTCGGGCCTGGGGGGGCTGGGTGGGAGGGGACAGGGGTGTTGAAAGAGAGGAGGGAGCGTTGACGTTAGAGCTGCAGAATCAAACACAGTCATTACATCTGATCCTCATACGGAGCCTGTTGTGCAGATCACGTATTGAGCGCTCCCCATTTAAATTAGCGCCTCGGGACGCCCTCCCGACGTGAGAGGCGCTAGACAGTTAGTCATTGGTTATCGTCGTGTGATTTCTGCACGAAGGTGAAAAGCCCTATCTCTGCGACACGTGTGGCCGGGGCTTCAACCGTGTGGACAATCTGCGCTCGCACGTCAAAACCGTGCACCAGGGGAAAACCGTCCTCAAAAAGCTCAAAGGCAAAGATGACGATGATGAGGAAGAGGAAGAGGAGAGGAACGTGGTCACCGTGACGACCGACACCATGGTTACTCTAGCCGCGGAGGCATTGGCTGCGACTGCGGTCACCCAGCTGACAGGTGCGTCACTCTGCGGCTGTGGGTGGCTCTGGGTGTACACCGGGTGCGGGGTTCTATTCGTCAGTGGGTGAACCGGAGTGAGTTGGCTGCACGGTGTTAACGGCTGATTTCGTTGTGTTTGGCTGCACAGTGGTGCCTGTGGCGACAGCAGTGACTGCGGACGAGACGGAGGTGCTGAAGGCAGAGATCACAAAGGCCGTGGAACAGGTTCAGGAAGCAGGTGACTGGGTTTGAAAGCAATACTCTATCCCACTTTTTTGCCAAACTGTCCTGTTTTTGCGTGAGCATTAAAAATGCACGGTCTCGGGCATTACGGAACAGAAGACCTTTTAGCCCGTCAACCCTGTGCTATGTCCCAGTGCCTTGGGACTTCCCCCTCCCACACCACGTGGAAGGCGCTAATACAAATGTAGTCTGTTGCTGTATTTGGGGTGGTGTTTTGTGGCCGAGCGTGGCAGGCTATTACATTTCTAACGTGCATGTTTCTCTGCTCAGATCCCAACGCGCACATCCTATACGCCTGCGACTCCTGTGGGGAGAAGTTCCTGGACGCCAACAGCCTGGCTCAGCACGTGCGGATTCACACAGCTCAGGCCCTGGTTATGTTTCAGGCGGACACAGACTTTTACCAGCAATACAGCAACGGCACTTGGCAGGCAGAGCATGTCATCCAGCCAGCGGAGCTGCTCTTTCGGACACGCGACGGAGCCGAGCTCCAGCCCAACGGAGCCGAGCAGACTCCGGTCCTGAGCTGCCAGAACCCCTCGCAGTGAGGGCCACGCCCAGTCGCACAGACGTCGCTTCAGCGACGTTGGGATAAAAGCCGCGGCCTCTGGCCCTCAGCGAAGGCGAAGGATTCTACACCACCCGGAGGAAAGGCGAGAGCTCTTTCCGTGTAGATCGTCACATTGTGAGACCGAGGTGAATGTGCTGAGAACGGCTGAGGATTCAGGCCCAAAGGCCTCTGTTAAAGGCAGGATCTCAGTGAACTCATGGTACTCTGCGGTGGTTGCAAGGAGATACTCTGCTTGCTGCACTCTCGTCCCCTCCCTCCCTCCCACGGTTACTCAGCATGGTCAGATTGAGTGGCTGCAGCACCCCAGGAATTAAACCCATTACTGCCAACCTGAGGAGCAAGCAGCATGCACACGCTCCCAGTCAGTCTGAATGCAAACACGTTGGAATCAAGACCGGGTGGAAGTCTGATGGGTTGCCTCGGCTTCCCCCATTACGGTTCCTCTCTGCTCAGCGAGCTAGTAATAAGGACAAGTGGCAGCTTATTCTCCCTTCAACGCAACACTGGCAACTACTGAGAACAGGGAACCTGCTGAGCACATACATACAGAGGCCAGGACTCCACTGCCAGTCAGTGCAGGACTCGGAAACACAAAGTCCTTCAGGAGCATTTCAGTACAATTGGATCTGGATTGTACCTTCCCCCCACCCCACCCCCCTCCTCAAGTTGGAATATGTCCTGTTAATTATTTATAATAAGAAAATAAATGATGGTTGATTTTAGCAGTGCTGCTACGGTAGACTGAATCTTGCATTTTAAATATAATTAAGCACTTGGCTCCACAGCTTGATTTGCTAAGGGTTCGGGTGTTAGACTTGCTGGCTGTGTCCCGCCATGTTCATATTGATTTGAGTCTTGGTTTTTTTTTTGGCAGCTGAGTTCTATGGTCTTTCAACAGGATGCGAAAGACCAGAGAGCGAACCAGCGGAATGACCTTTTTCTATGCTGTAAATTGATGTGTTCCCAGATCCAGATTGTTGATTACCTGCGTAGAGGTACAGGAGTTATATTTTAACAGTACAGCGAGATGAACGTAACTCATAGAAAAAAGGTCAGCTATGCCAAATATCAGAGGCCCCGCATTTCTCACGGGTTTACACGAAAGCCACAGCCTGAAGGTTGTGCAAATTCTGGGGGGAAATCGTAAATCCAGTCCTGATCTGAAAGTCGGATTTCATCAATTCTTAAATAGAAGAAAAGTCTCAGGAATCTCAAGACCGGAGAACAGCTTCACGGTGCTCATTCCCTCCCTCCCTCCCTTCCTGACGTTCCCGGTTTCCCTACACCAGAGGGCGCAGTCAGACAGGATTTGATCCTATTTCTGTGGCGACCGAACTACATCATGGACTGAAGTCGTTGGTCCTTTAACTGGTTCCACAGTCCAGAGTAGAGCAGAGGTGATTTACTCCACAGTTGGCAACAGGGCTCTTTAACTATGACAGTTGCTGTTTCTACCAGGTAACTTAGGAGCGTGTTGTAACCGATGGGCGAAGGCAAAAGCCTCGAAGATCCGAGGATCAATGCCCGCTCTCGGCTAACCCAACACAGACTTTGAGGGACTACGATTGACCTTAGAGCTCTGGGAAGGTGAAATCAAGGCAGTGTTCCTAAAATTAAGCCATGATCTCACCTGAGCAATGGTTACATGTGCCAATTAATGTACGTGCGTCAGGTTGAACTGTGGGCCTGCATTATAATAAAAAAATGGCCACTTTGGTCACGTGTTGGAGGCTTCTGGTACCGAGTGGAAAAACATGCACAATGTGGCAATAAACTGCATAGTAAGCCTTGCCACGTGGGTGGATTACAGATTGCTTCTCACTGATTCAAATAGAATCTATGATCACACCTCTGACTATCACCACTGCGGAGAACTCCCACTTACGATGCTGTACAAAAGTAGAACAGAATTACATTAAATGCCTTTCTCTCTGATTATAGAACAAAGTGTGACTCGAGTACTGGTGCTAAGAATCGAAACCCTTATTGAAATTCACAGATTCAGGAGATATTTTACTGCCACATAAAATTCACAGATTTTTTTTTTTTTAAAAAATCCATCCCCTACACACCCCCCTCCGGAAGATAAATGTAGCAGGAGGTTGGCTCCCAGCAATCGTGTTCAAGCCGAACACTCCTAGAGTCGATACAGCTGGCACTGGCAGATTGGTAGAATAGTGTCCTAAGCATAGGAACAGATTATCTGACTACCTGCATTCGCAAAGGTAACCATGACAGTGATCTAGATAGGTAAGGACATAGCAAGAAATATTAATTCCACACTATTTTCACGAATGTGGGATGCACCCATTCAATGGTTTTCCTCAAACACCACCAAATTACAAGACTGCAGCAACCAAATTTAGCATTGAGACTGATCAACAGACCTCATCGAAGGCTGAATAGATCAACAGACCTCATCGAAGGCTGAATAGATCAACAGACCTCATCGAAGGCTGGTAGGTAGTTGATTGGGAGACAGGAATTTGGTTCTGTCGTTTACATCATCACCCTTGAAGCTGTAACTATTATCCCAGGCAAAACAGAGGGAGTCTGATCCAGGATTCATTTTGCTCAATCACCTTTTTGATTGAAATACACCACATGAGTATCTCCGCTGCACAATTCACTGTCTTTGGAAGCTGTTAACAGTTCACTGTTCCATTGCTTGTGCAATGTCTGAGTGACTACAAGCTGCATATTGTCTTCAGGCCACTCAAGAGGCAATGTGCCAAGAGCCCAAATATACAGCATTCTTTGTACCGAAGCGATTCCAGAGTGGATCCAGCTGCGGTGAACAGTTCAACCACTTTTAAAGAGCTGTCGTCATCGAGGTTGGAGAAGCAGCAGGAAAACAGCTTAATCAGCCATTCAGCTCATTGCTATTTGTGTGGCTTGCTGTGTGCTTAGTGGCTCTCCGAGCCCAAACTTTGTGATGTATTATTTTTATATTTCTTTTAAAATCTTGTGAATCACAATCAACTACTGCAATACACCAAACAACAATCCTGCTGTGATCGTCTCATCAGAACAACTTAAAGTCTTAGAAATAAGCAACGAAATATTCTTAGACACATCCCCCAAAGGGTAACCCTGATAATTGTAAAACAAGCACAGAATCAATGCAGCCCATCTGCTTTCACAGAGCAGGTCTCAATTCCCCTATTATAGACTCCAACCCACACCTCAATCTCCTGGGGGGAAATCTGCAAGGACCCTGTGATGAATATTTCTATTGATAGGAATCCTAGATTCTGCTAATCATCATGAAAGGCAGGACGGTTGTTTAAATTCAGGAATTTCTGGAATGCAAGGCATTCTTTTAATGAGAATTTCCTTTTATTGAGACATTCTCACTGCAAACATGTACTGTTCTTAATAGACAACACATCCTTTTTAGCGCCCAATTCATAAAAGCATTAACCTTACTGGAATGCATGCAAGAAAACTGACCCACTGAGCTCCCGACGACTGGGTCTCTTGGGCAGGGATAGCCAGATATGGTCACACGATTGCTTTATGGAAATCCTACATTTTCACAAAGAGTGCATCTACATGGCTGCTTGTGGCACACTGCTGTGCAAATTGCCTGCCACATTGGCCCCACTTTACAGTAAATCTTGTGAAACCCTTTGAAATATCCTCTAGACATGCAAGGTACTGTATCAAAAGCAAAAATTATTATTACATGACAAGATTTAATGCTTTTATTCATGTGCTTTCAGCAATGTCTGGCTGCTATGATCAAGCCTATAAAAGGCAAAATCCAATTTTTCAACTCTATTCTCAAATCTCCAACCCTCCACTCTATAGTTATCATCATTTGGGTGTTCCATGTCTCTTGCATATATTTATTCTGATCTGATCTCTCATTCCTGATCTCAAGTCTTTCATCACGCCATCCCTCCCTGCTGCTTTCTCTCTAAATATTTCTTTAGAATTTTTTTAAATACAAGCAACCGAGCTTCAAATCTCCAAAGAGTAGTAAACGTATGGAACAGGCTCCCTCGGGAGACGATGAAAGCAGGAAGTGTTGATTCATTCCAAGTACAAATTAAATAGATTTCTGTTAGGAAATAATATCTGGGGTATAGTTTGGGACACAACATGTCATGTGGCTGCCAGGATGGCGGAAGGCAAACTGGATGGACCTTGATCTTATTTCATCAGCAAATTTTTATCTGCATATTTGCTCATGTCTTAGGTCCTAATAATCAATCTGGATTGCGCTGCTTGTGCTAAAGGTCATCTCACTGGTAAGCATAACACAGGTCCAATGACTGAAGTTATTGTTACTGCAGAATTTAGGGTTTTCCTATTATCTCCTTCTTGGCTATCTCGGGGATTAGAGCTACAGCTAAACATTAGAATATGCAGTACCTGGATTGATACCTGACTGAGAGCAAGACTTATGCAGTGACTTAAATTAGCAAAGGATTAAACAACAACAAAATTACATTTGTATAGCGCCTTTCACGTCAGGAGGACTTCCCAAGGTGCTGGACAGTGTACAGCATTTCAGACCCGAGCCGATGGCATGGTCAAAGAGGGTCTGAGGAGGAGGCGAGGCGGAGTGATTGGGGGATGGAGTTCCAGAGGTTGGGGACAGAGTGGCTGAAGGCTCTCCCGCCAATGCTGGGGCGGGTGGGTCGGGGAACGTGGAGCAGGCCGGAGTTAGAAGAATGGGGTTGACAGTGGGGGGGGGGGTAAGGGTAAGGGAGGTCAGAGCCTGATTAACAGCTTGCTCCTGCTGTGGCAACTAATGAACTTGTAACCATTCAAGATATTTACTTTGTTCTTGGTCTTAAAGGATTCACGTTACATATGCTTTGACATTGTGACATCAGGCTGTAGTACCCCCTGCGAGTCAGGGGGTTGAGCTCAGTCGAGTGCAGTGTTGGGAGCACTGAACTGTCGAGAGCTGCCACCCTTCAGATGCGATGTTAAGCTTAATTCCCATCTACCTGTTCTTCAGGTGGACATGAAAGTCCCTTCAAAAAAAAGGGTATCCCGATCAGCAATGCTCCAAATCAAACTACCTTCACCTCCCGGCTACTTGTGTGCAAAACAGAAGCACATTTGACTGCAAAAACAGTCACTTCACTTGACAGGAAGTACACATAGGGAAGTTATAATGTATGAAGACAATATAAAAATCAAGGTCTCGCTTTCCATATCAATACTCAACGACCACAGCATAATTATTTTTAATGGCCCCAGTTATTCACAAAAGGGTATTTTATCCTTTATTCAGTCGTTGAGATACACTGGACATAGTATGAGGTGTAGCCTTTGGACAGTTGCTGGTAACTAGATCCGTTAAAAACAACTGTCCACATGACAAAACTCCACTACACCAGCCTATGTTAAAAAGCTCGATAATCTTGCCATCTAGCTCTCTTCGATAACATCATGCCAGAGTAAAAGGAAAGGGGAGATAGAATGACGTGAAAAGGAAAAAAAAAAGTCGACTTAAAAACGAAGAGGATATTTTCCGTTTGCTCTTGGCTATGCTTTTCTCAAATCTCTGCAATGAATTAAGTGACTCTGCCCTTCCCTCAAAGTCAGTGGTGTTAGAATTAATCTGTTTATTACTTCGACCACCTCGACAAGAGTTGAAGGAGCATTCCCAGGCTGCTGATGCGCAGGGCAGACGTTGGGCCTGACAAGATGCTGTGAAGTGAAGTGAAACGGGAAATCCTCCACGTCCTGTGCTTCTGATGCGGTGTCTCGTCAAACCTCACTCCCGTTAAGCAATGTTTGTAGCAGTGCAGTGGTAAACACACAGACAATCAACGAGTCGGCAAAAAGATGATACAGAAACATCCTTATAACCCGCTTGAAAATGTGGGCTCTTAATGTGCTTGATACAGAGAGAACACCGCTATATCTTCTATAATGTGCTAAGATTTTTATTCTGTGTATCAAAATTATAAGTGCCTTCAACATTACCATGAAATTGTTTTTTTTTTGAGTTTTACAAATATTTACAGCACTGCGTAACACGGTTCAAGTCTGGGCTTTTGTTTTTTTTACACAAATCAATCAGATCAGAGACCAAAGCACAGAATTCCAAAAGTACTATATACAAACGCCATTTAAAAAGCACAAGGAGACTGCTTGCTGTCAGTAGGTAGTTACAGCGTTCATGGCTGGCTCAGACAGCGATACCCCATTCTGTGGGAGCCTGGTCCCCTCATGTCCGTCCCCTTGTAATATCGGTGGGTGGGGGCTCATTCACTCAGTACCAGTTTTTGCTTATTATTGGAGACCAGGGTTTGCCACATTGGCTTAAATCAAGACTAGAAACGCTCCAAACAACAGAAAGGATAAAAAAAAAACAAAGAACAGACTGTGGAAAGAATTTATAAATTAATGAGACTGAACAGATGTCCTGACAAGCATAAAATACTCTCACATCTTGAAGGGCAGCGTTAAGGGAGCAGTGAAGCGCACTTAAGAATGAATGAAAGTACAAAGTCTGCATATGAAAATAAGTTTTCTCTGAAAATGCATTTTGGCACAGATAAAATTGTACGGTTTTTAATTTCGGTAAAGTTTGAATGCATGGTTTCCAAGGATTCTGCATATCCCATCAGGTGTATTTCCCTTTTCTGTTTAAACTGTTCATCCCTCTTTCTCTCAGCAATCAGCTCATTTGATTTCCTCTTGAAGAAAGGGAGATTTACAAAAGGAAGAAAGAAGTTGATAATTACAACTGAAGGTGAGGGTGAAAGATGTCCCGCTCACGCCCTGCTGCTGATACAGGGAGGGTTTTTCCAAGGTCCTGCCTTCAAGTCCATCAGAGAAACTTCAGGACGCCACCATGATAAGTGTCCATAGCAATCTACTGCCATACAGTCACCAAGTCACTAATATAGTGCAATGGTAATCCCAATTCACATAAACAGGAATCGCCAAGAGTGCAGGAGCCCAGAGAGGGTTTTCCGCTCTGCCACCGGAGCCCATCAGTTCACCCAGGGCTGGAAATATTGTAAACACAAAGTTGCCCATAGTCCAAGTCGGGCGCTGCTTGGAAGAAGATTGGCAGTGTAACGGAGTCCAAGGTTTTTTTTTAAAAAAGACCAAACAAATGCTCACACTGAAGCAATGACGATCATCAGATGAGGGGAAATATTGGATATGCTGGCAAGCAAATCTGGAGCTAGGCGAGAGAGATGACTCTCGGAGAATTCACAGGGCGGGAATATTTGGAGAACATAAGCAGGCTGCAGAGAGAGAAAGGCATACAGACAGGTCAGTGTGTGAATGCAGATTCCAAAACATCAGCCACCTCCCACTGCCCCCCCCCCAACATCTGCACACAGTACAAAGTCTGTATATGAAGATAAGTTTCCCTGAAAATGCATTTTGGCACAGATAAAATAGTACGTTTTTTAATTTTAATGAAGTTTGACTGCAGTATTCCAAGGATTCTGTATCTGGACAGCAATATGATTGCAAAACCTCCTTTGAGCAAAGCAAAATACTTCATCTCCCAAAACCCAAGGAACATGATTACTAAACAAGCAAACAATATGGATACTTGGCTTTCAAATTAAGATTGCACTTAATCATTTTCCAAAATTAAGCCTGATTTTAATTGCAAGACTAAGGCCAGGAGGAATTTCAGGCCTCTGTTGTGGAAATACTTGTCTTCACTGCTCAATGGAAAAAAGATTGAACTATTACACTGCTTGGCTGCTTTCCACAATCCCCCTCAACCACTTGGGGAAGAAGGGTGTTTCCATCTGCTAACATTCAACTATTTCTACATGACAGCACTGATGATAAGGTACGTAGACAGAACCAGGATTAATTGATAAATCCTGGGTGGATTATGTTATTTCCATCCCATGACCCCTGCTCTGGCTCATAATGGGCAATGAAAACGGCTGCTGGATTGGTCTGGCCACTGTACCTGATTGGAGCCAGGGTTTGGAACATTGATGATCCCAGCAGCTTGTTTGAGCTGCAGGTAGCTGATAAAACCAGCCTTCAGCGACTCCGTCTGACTCACAACATCCTCCTGATCACGGCCACACGGCAATGCCAGCAACAAGCAGTAATCAGTCTCCACCTGCAAAGCAAACATTTATTTTAATTACAATATTTATAACTAAAAAGCTCAACTCTTATAACTAAACTGCAATTTAAAGCAGTTCAACAGATTGTCTGAGCTGCACTGAAAACATTTAAACCTAAGTTCTCAAACAAACACTGTGAAGAAGTGTGGATAGCAAATCAATGCTCTGAGTGGGCTTCCAAAACATCGTACCGTCATTCGTCGCGCCACACCCTCCAGCTGTGTAACCTCCAGCCGCATGCGTTGAGCAATTCGGAGAGGTGGGCCACCTTCGGGCGCTGGCAGGGACCGATGGGCCAGCACATTGTTGCCAGACACAAAATGTAGTTGCACAGCTGCTGTGTCATTTTTCAGTGCCAGCAGACCCTGCCATACGATCGGATATTTCTGAAATGATAGCGTTCACAATTAACACGGGAGCCATTGCAAATACACACACCTTTCATGAAACATTTCCACAAGTATAGGACTAGTCCCTTAACCAAGCAGGTTACACATTCATAATATAGTTAAGATGCTCACAAGAAACAGGATTGTAGGTACTGTTTCACACATACACACTTTACATTTCAGGGGTTTATTCTTGAAACCTTGGGTTGAATATCTGCATCAGTCTAGAGTTCAAATCCCTATCGGTGGGTCTGTCTGTGTTGTTGCTGCTTTGACAAAACCACCCACATTCTGGGACAACTTCATTTGGGTCACATCAAGACCTGAAATTAAACTTAAGAGTCTTAAGGGGTGGTTTCCACAACTGATGCCTTAGTTTTGTATTTCTGGGAGGGGTCTGACATTGTAAGGCTCAGTTCGAACCACTTAAAGGTTCTAGGTTAATTCCAGCTCACGAGGTGAGAGAGGTAATGGCAACACTGAACAAACAAAGAATCTACAGCCAAAAAGAATGCCTCTTCATAAGAGGGGATAACCCGACCATTTACATAAAAAGCTGAATCTTGTAGTTGTGAATCTACACAGCTCCAGAACCTGCATTTTCTACTTGGTAAGAAAATACTGTAAAAGACTTTGATTTTAGGTAGGCTGACAAATTGAAGCCAATTTATTTTTTTAGCTGAAGCTATACATTCAATAGTTACCGTTAGAAGCTGTACCATGTCCATGGGTCTTTGTGAGCTGGTGGGTTGCTGTGGCTCCTGTTTGGTCAGGCTCTGGGGATCTGTCCTACACATCACAGACGTTGGGGCCGCTCCCAGTGTTGAGGAAGGTGTTGAAATAAAAGATGGCTGTTTTGGGGTTAGGGGTTGGTGGGAGGACGACAATTCATGTTTGATTGACACGCCAGTTGGAGAAGGATAGGAAGTAGGGTTGACCTCTGGTTGTACCCTCTCTCGCTGCAGATGTGGTAGGTGAGGAGACTGTAGCTCCACCTGTGCAGATAGTCTGTTCATAGGTACATGATGAGAATGTTCAGAGGCAGCAGGCACCTTTAACTCCTGCGATATCTGTGGAGTTTTACTTCTCTGGCTGGGATGTGTATGTTCCCCCTCTGAAATGCCCTGTACGAAAAAAAAGTTTCAGATTGAATATTTCTCAACTCATCTTATCATTAGTTTAAACATAAAGGTTGGTTCTGTTTGCAATTCCCGTATCAATTTAAAAATAGAATTTATTATTTCTAGTTCCTGAAATTCTACACAATGGAAAATTCTTAAAACTCAAGTCTTTAAGAGTTGGTTTTCCATTTTTCTTAAAAAAAATGTAAGTTGTGCTGTAATTTTTTCCACAGATTGTTGAGTCCGTAACAAGAGAACCCAAATTTAAAATAGTCACAAAATGAATTAAAGAGCTGATTAAAAAAACAGTTCTTTACACAATGGGAGACTGGGATTGTAGAAGCCTTTCTCACAAATCTTTCTTGAAGCAGAAATACATTGTTTTAAAAGAGAATTGGACAGATTATTGTAGAGAAAGAATGTTAAAATAACCCTGATACCTCACCAAAGTGCCAGGGTAGATTAGGGGCTCACGTCCCAGTGTGGCACCTGAAACTTCTAATCGTATCTAAATGAAGAATTAGATAATATTTACCTGAGGAGTCATGCTGCGAGGTGGCAAATTTATTCCTATTGGAGACACACCAGCAAACTGTTGATGACTAAGCTGAGGAGGGTGAAAGTTCCGCAGTTCTCCATACACACGTGGAAAGTCGTGGAAGGAAGCAGGGACTGGGTGCATGAGCTGAACCCCATGAGAGACCATAACAGACTGGGACATGGGCAATCCTGGAGGGACACCAATCAATCGGGCTTCACTGCGAGGAGAATGTGCCATTTTTACCTCAGATTGTTTGGAGACCTCTTTCACTGGTTGAGGGGTTTTGCTAACAGGAGGAGTTTTAACAGATCCTTCAGGAGTCCTGGCTTGTCTGGCCTCTGTATGAACATCTCCTACAGCAGACATAGGTGGGTACATCATCCGAACATCATGGTGCAGCAACATCTCTTGTGGTACGTTGTATTGGTCCAGTCGTAGTCTGTAGTCTGGCTGCATAACAAGGACATCTGGTTGCAAAGGACCTGATCCTCTTCGAAGTCCATAATGCATTAACTCATCATCTGGTTGATGCTGATTATTTAATGGAGGCATGCACAGGTCCCTGATAACAGATGACTGTGGCGTGTTTGATCGCGGAGAACGGAGTTCCATTTGAGGTTGCAGCACAGCCCTGGGTGAGGGATGGTGTGCCTCAGGACGTATCCCATATGGAATACTCGATACTGAAGAAGCATTCATTCGCGCATCACCCTGAGAAAGATGACCTAAACCGACCCCCTGGGCCTGTGTCACACTATGAGGGGGCATAATGACTGACTGTTCGGGTAAATGGACACTGGGAACGTACTGTGACATAGAGAGACCTGCATTGAGAACCGTGCTAGCATTTATAGACTGGGAAGTGGCCGAGGTGTTATTGGGCTGACATACTTTAGGAAATGGAGAGGGAGAATGAACACATGTGCGTGGAGAATGGGGTTCCTGTTTTATAGAAACGGGTAGAGGGAGGGTTCGATCACTTGGGGTGCCATGGCCAGAACTGATGTGGTTCGTATCAGACTGCATTTTACTTGGCATAGCAGCAACATGATGTGGGCTTATCCCTGGACTCAGAGTGGACTGTGGTACTTTGCCAGCTTCAACTTTGGGGGCAATAGGCTCTCCAGATTTTTTGCCAGCAGCTACAAGATTCTGCGTTTGCATAAGATTGTAGACAAGGACCTGAGAGACAGATCCAGGGACAATCTTACTTGCCCCTGATTGAGAAGCAGGCAAGGGACCCGAATGGAGAGCAGCTTCAGATTTGTCTTGGATTTGGTGTTCCTGTTTAATAGAAGAAATCACAGGTGACGTATTATAAGGCTGAGAGCTCATATGCCCAGTGAGTGCACTTGAAGAATGGGTACTAATGACATTGCTGTAGCCTGTTGCAGTTTGTGAACTTTTTACCATCGGCTGGGCCTGCGTGACTTGCTCTTGTTTGATTTGAGACTTGGATACAGATTGCTGAAATTCTATATCAACTGCACTCGCTGGCGGTATCTGGCTGATTGGAGCACTTATGCGCTGAGGACCTTCCGTCTTCTGGCCCGAGTAACTCAAAACAACCACCCCTTCAGATGTATTCACTCTCAAACCCAGACTTGACCCTTGGTTTAATGGGACGCTATCCACTGGCCTGGACTCGTCCCCAATGAATCCCACTGTTCCAAGCTGATACCTGCTGTTTTCAGTCAAGTTTGGTCTGTATTTCTGTTTGGTCAATGGCATGGCTTGTAGAGTAGATGACAGAGATGGAAGGTTGGCAGGGCCACGACTGTTGACAGCCACTTTTGGCATTTCCTCGTGGTCTACAATTAGTGGCATTCTGCTGATCACGGACGTGACTTTGGGTGCAATTAGAGAACTGACAAGGTTTTCTTTTTCATTAAAAAACACCTCTGGTGCATGTGGTCCTCCAACACTGCTTGGTGGAACTGCAGGCTTCTCATCCAGGACCAGCTTTTTACTCTCACTTGTAGGAAAACCTTCCTCTGATCGAACTGCAGATAGTGGCTCACTTATAGACGTGGTAACAAACGTAGTTGGGGCATTGGTAGCGGACACATATTTTGGCTCCATTAAAATTTTCCTCAAGGTACTGGAGTTGGTGTCAAGGTCAGAAGCTTTAGTATCTGGAGGGGGAGCTGGGGGTGGGGTGGAGCACGTACGGGCAGCTTCATGCCTAGACAACCAGGACTCTGGCACAATCCCAGAACTAGCATGCGTAGACACCAAGCCAGAAGTTACAGTTACTGGGATCTTTGCAGCAACTGTAGTAGGGAGAGCAGTAATGGCCACACGTGGCAGATTTGGTTTTGGTTGTATTTCAGGCATATGATCAGTGGGTTGCTTTAATTTGAAATACGAAGGACTCTTACTCTCTTCGCAACGCGATGAAAGTAGTGGCTCATGAGGTGAAACGGCTTCAGCTGCTGGCTCCTTATCTGGTTCAGTGGCTCTTACATGTTCAGGTTTGCCCAATTCTACTCTGGTCAGATTCTCAACATCACTCCTGGGAGCAGCACAAAGTGGCTCTACCACTTTTTTGTTTGAGGGTTCCTTGAAAGGTTTTTCTAAGATTGTCTCCACTGTATTTGCAACACTATTCTGTTTTAAATCTGTAGAAACCTGCACGATTTCAGGTTCTGAATTATTGCTGTCGGTTGGATCTCCCTTCCTGCTGGCGCTGGTTCTCTTATTGCGCCGAGTGTTTCTAGGTTTTGGGCGTCCTCTGCGACCAGGAGTCCGTGGGACCTCAATGGGCTCTGGCAATGGAAGTTTTTCCGTCCCCTGGGCTGTGGTTGCAGACTGCTGGAGACGTGCATCTGCATCTTTTTGTTGGGGGCACACATCAGCATCGTTCGCTTCAGTCACTGCCGTCAGCACTGGAGCAGCTTTTGAAATCGAATCAACTGAGACTGCAGCTTTTGAAACCAAATTTTCCAAGACTGGAACTTGGGAAACGCCACCTTTTGATGCAGGCGCTTGAGAGACAACACTACTTACTGAGATGCTATCCACCGAGACAACAGCTTCAGAAATCTTTGACAAGGCCGAAACTTTAGAAATCACGCTTTCTGAAGAGGTAGAAGCTTTAGAAATGACAGTCTCCGACAAAGAGGCTTTAGAAATGACAGTCTCTGATGATAAAGCTTTAGAAATTACAGTTTCTGATGAGGCTTTAGAAATGACGGTGTCCGATGAAGCTTTAGATATGATGCTCTCTGTTGAAGTAGTTTTAGAAATGACTCTATCCGATGAAGAAACCTTAGAAATGACACTGTCTGATGAAGAAGCTTTAGAAACAACATTATCCAATGAAGAAGCTTTAGAAATTACACTGTCCGATGAAGATTTAGTAATTACACTCTCTGAAGAAGCTTTAGAAATTACACTGTCCGATGAAGATTTAGTAATTACACTCTCTGAAGAAGCTTTAGAAATTACACCGTCTGAAGAAGGTTTAGTAATTACACTGTCTGATGAAGGTTTAGTAATTACACTGTCCGATGAAGGTTTAGTAATTACACTGTCCGATGAAGGTTTAGTAATTACACTGTCCGATGAAGGTTTAGTAATTACAGTGTCTGAAGAGGGAGCAGCTTTAGCAATGACATTGTCGGCTGAAGAAGCTTTAGCAATCACATTGTCTGACGAAGCTTTAGAATTGGAAGTGTCCGAGGAAGAAGCAGCTTTTGAAATGACGCTTTCTGATGAGGCCGAGTCCACGAAGACAGGAGCCTCAGAACTCGATTTCTCTTTTGAAGGGAGATCTTCAGAAATTATACCATCAACCAGTTGGCCAGTTTCAGAAACAGTGTCTATTGAGGCAGAATTTTCAGGAAATGGATGGTCCATTGAGGTGGGACTTTTAGAAACTGAGCGGATTGGGGCTTTGGACAAACGGCTTGAAGCTGAGGACTTAGACATCGAGCGGCCAGAGGATGACGCCTTAGAAAGTGAACGGGCTGAGACACCAGCATCTGCATCAGCCTCCAATATGTTGGCAATTGCCTGATCAGTTTCTGGTTGTACACTTTCTGGAGGTGTGGACAGTGCTATCTGCTCTTCTGAAATACCCGCTACCGCTGGTTCAGCAGGGTACCTTGGAGCAGATGGAAAGCCATCTGCTTCTGCCGATTCATCTGCAATGATGGAGTCAATTGCTGCTGCAAGCTCAGTTTCACTGGCCAGATGGGCAGGCTTTTCTACCTCTTCTTCTGTTCTAACATCTGAGTCATCTGAAGGCTCTTTGTAAGGATGTAAGGTTGGAATTTCTGTTAATTTTGCGATATTCTCCACTGCTCTTTCAAGTTCTATCTGTTTCGCACGCTGTACAGCCTCTGGTGAGCATTCAGGCTTATTTTCTGGTGATTTGGGTGTTTCTGAAAAAGGATGCTCAGTTTCATCTTTGAGTTTGAGTGATGGATTGTCCTCTTTCAGGGTGTCTTTGCTCTTCGTCATAGACGCCTCTCCATCACCTGCCTGAAGAACACCTTTTACTTCCTCAGTGTTGAGTCTGATTTCCAGATTTCTTAGACACATCTTGTCTTCACTGAGCTTTGCATTTCTTCCTCTGCCGCCCTTTGACTTTGACCCTTTCTCCACTGTAGACTTTTTTTCTACCAACTCACTGGAACTGCTATCTGCTGGGCATTTCTCCAACTCTCCATCATTTTTGTCAAGTTTCTGATCACTTAGTACATTACCTCCATCTACTGAGGCTTTTCTGATGTGCTCACCTGTTGACATTTGTTGATTTACAGACTCTGCAACATCCACAACAGGTTCAACACAAATCTCTGGGATTCGGGCTTCCATTTTGACACCTTTCTTTCCCGCGTGGCTGCTCAGTGTAGCTGAAGAGTAACTCTGGGCTGCTTTCTGTGACCTCGGTGACTTCCATCCCTCAGCAGGTTTGGGACTTTCGATGACATCTTTATGTTCTACTTCCTCAACTTCTTGTTTCACTGGTTCAGCTTTAATAGGAGAAGTCTCGTCACCCGGTCTACGCCTGGATTTTGGAGGCCTTCCTCTTCGTGGTGGAGTTTGTACGTTTGGAGAATCTTGAATTTCCTTTTCACCTCTTTTCCTAGTTGAACGCGAGGCATCTGTCGATTCTTTATTTACAGACGGGCCTTCCTCAACAGTGGCATAAACAGAACGCACATTCCTGCGTCTTGTTCTACCTAATGGCAGAGGTGTGTCTGACGTCTCAGACTCAGGGGCAGAACTCGGAGATTTTGCTGTATTTCTGGAGACCTTTTCGGTTTCCAGCTTCTGTTCCTGGAGTCTCTGACTTTCACCGCGTGGGGATGATGATCTCTTCAGTTTTTCACGGTCGATTCTCTCGCTCTTCCTGGTGGCAGGTTTTTCGGTGACACTCACAGTGATTGCCTGCACTGGAGTCTTTGTTCGTTTACTTTTGGAAGTTCTTTTTTCTTTTAAAATGAGGCAAGGTTCTGCATCTACTTCATTGTCAGAAATGTGCGGATGGACCTCGGAATTCTCTTCTCTCTGATTCACACTGCTGGCAGGATTCTTGTCACCTTTGTGGTCATCTGATCCCATCTCTCTCTGGACAGGTTTGGAAAAGTCAGTGTTACACTCTAGTACTTCAGGCTCTGGATCAGGGCAGAGATCTTGTAGATTTGTCCCTCCTGGAGTTGGTGGTTTAGTGTCCAAATAAGAAGGATGTTCTCGAACTGCACGTTCTTGCTCAGTAACCACTGGATCTGCAGTAATATTTACATCTACCGGTATTTGCTTGTTAAGAATAGGTTCAATTTCTTCACAGGGACTAACATTAACAATGACAGGTTTAGGTGCATCAGCCACAGGGGCTGATTCTGTACGACTCTCCCCTGAACTAGTAGCTAGCTTTTCAGTCACTAATGTTTCACTTGCTAATTTATCCTGAGTAGTTTCATGCTGTTCAATCATTTGGGAACTTGTGGTAGGAGGTGGTGGTGCTAGAGGCCTCGGATGAGGCATTATAATCTTTAATTCAGGTTCTTTCAACTCAGGTAGACCCTCTGGTGTTCTCGGCTGAACTTCATTCTCAATTTCTCGTCGCTCCAGTTCCTTTGGTTTCTGATCCTTTTCTTTTTCTTTCTGCTGCATACGGGTCAATTCAATGAATCGGCTGTGAAACAAGACAACAGGCTCTTGCACCATCTCCGGTGTATTGCTGGAACCATCAAAGGACCCTTGCCTCCCAAAAGATCGACCCGAAATGATGTCCAGATCGTCATCCTTCCTTTCAAGATGTTGCAGGCGCCTTGAATCTTGTTCAAAAATTGAACTGTGCAGGAAACGGGAAGCAAATAGTTCTTGTCGCTCCTGTTCCTCCTCCTTATGATCATCTTTCTTTTCATCTATTTTGCCTTCAGAATCCGTTCGGATTTTCTTCTTCTTCATGTACCAAGATGGGATTGGCCTTGGCGCCGACTCAACCTTTTCCTTGTCTTTGTCTTTCCGAAAGCTGGCAAACCTTGAATCCCGATCCAGGAACGACCAGTTCTCTTCTCGGGATGAAGAAAGTGACTTTGCCCTTTCGAGCAGTGCCTTGGTGTCTGGTGTGATTGTCTTGTCAAGTGCAAACGAGTAGAATTTATTCCTTTCTAGTGAACTGGGTGGTTTTAGGTCCGATAGTCTGTCATCTCTGTTCCGCAGAAAGAAGGGTAATCGAGAACCTTCAAAAGACGTTGAAGCTTTAGGTGAGTGAGATTTGTCATTATCCTCGTCAGAATCCGACGGTACCTCTCCTGGTTCCAGCTCACGGACAGAGCGCTTCCGAATTCCATCTCGTTTTATAATACTACTGGGAAAGCTAACGTCAAGGCGATTCGCATCTAGTTTTAGACGCGTTTCCCACCTCGGAGTCTCTTCTTCTGAGCTCTGCGATGTTAGTTTCATTCTGGATAACTCCAAGGTTTGCTCTCGCTTGCTCGGTTCATGAGCATTGCATTTCGGTGGCTCTTCTCTCATGGAAATGTGAACTGTAGGGTCCAGTTTGGGAGAATCTTTAGGTTCCTTTGGTAGCAATGGCTGACGTGGAGAGTCAGTGGCGTTTTCTTCCTCATCCTGATATGACAGAATGTGTCGAAATCCAGGAGAGAGAACGGTTTTCTCTGAATCCTCACTTAGCTGACGAGAGCTTCTGTAATTTCTCTCTCTTTTCATGGTAATTTCAAAATCAAACTGGTCAGTTTTTCTTCGTTTCACCGGGGGAGAATCATCAGTTACGTCCTGAGGAGGCTTACCCACTTCATGAACCAAGCTTCTTTTCTCAAATTCATCAGCATTTTCTTTCCTAGGGCTGGTGTATTTTTCTGATTTTGCCATCTCGATTTCCTGTTGCTGTTTAAGCCTCCGGCTCTGCTCCATCTGCTTCCTATAGCTTTGAGTATAATCAATATCAATCCCAACTTTCTCGTCCATATCCGATGGCTGCAATTTCTCATGGGCAGACTTGTGATCAATTGTCTCTTCGGATGTACCACTGTATTTTCTATTCCGTTCTTCCCTTTTAACATCCCCTTCTCCTAGCATCTCATCAATCGGTGAAGGCTGAACGACTGCCTTATTCTGAGCCTTTGCTGTATTTAATTTCCTCAATCCAATTTCTTGAGCCTCAATTGGTTCTTCATTTGGCTCACCTAATCTGGACTGTGCATCTGTGCTGGGCCGCAAGCCAAACCCCAGAGGAACACAGGCAGACTCTTGTCCTTCTCTGGGAGTGAATGCTGGAATCATTTTCTCTTGCTTAACTTTTCTATGGTCTCTTTTGAGCAATTCTTTCCGCAGAGGTCTACGATCCAAATCTCCTTCTTTACTCATTGAAGGCGGCAACTCAGGATGTTTTTTTAGGCCTAGACGCAGCTCCTCTTCCTCCTGACTGCCCCGTTTAACCTCCAACTTCTGTCGGTCTGTTCTTAAAGTTGAATCTGCAAAACGTCTTTTCCTGGCCTCCAGTTTGTCGATGTCCATTGCATTCGGTGCTTCAGCAGACTGTTCTGGTTTAAGATTCTTTTTGTGTTTCAGTTTCACTTCCTTATCCACAATCTCAATTTGGCTGGCTAGTGGTTTGTCTTTTGGCACTTTGGGCCTGATCGGTTCCAATTTTGACAGCTCAGGTTTGGTCTGATCTAGTCGAGTTAACTGTACCTTATTCTGCTCCACAGAAGGAGATTTAACTGCATCATTCTCTGGCTTTCCTCTTGGTTTCTCTAAAACAGGTGGTTCAACCACCTTTGCTTCCTTCTCCTTTACTCGGGTTAAAACCACACATGGATTTAAATCCAAACGATTCTTTGACGTTCCTTCTTTCTCTACCTTTTCTTTCCCTGGTTTTGTTTTACTTTTTTGAGCATCGGGGCTGAGATCCTTGTCCAAATCTTGATCGGTTTCAGACGAGGGGGAGCTTGGAGACGGGGCTTTTACTTTGCGGATTTTGGGCTTTTCATTTTTCTCTTTCTTGTCTAATTTCTCTACTTCAGGCTTTTCAGGTTTTTGTTTGGACCTGTCCACTTTCTCCACTTTCTCCTTTCTTGGGGCTCGTTTGTCAGTTCTCTCAGGTTCAAACAGCCGATCCTTTTCATTTTTGTCGTAACGCTCGACTCGAATTTTGTCTGGTTTATCAGTCTTCTCGTATCGAGGTGGTGATAGAGAGCTGCAGCTACCACTGTGATCCGAAGAGCGACTGTACAGTCTGCGTTCAGAGTCTACACTATCACTTTGATGTCTCTCAGACTGTGTTGGTGACGCACTGCGACTCTGGGCTCTCCGTGAGTGCGTTGGGCTTTGACTCCGCTCACAGGTTCGTCTTTCGTGATCGCGATCCGTTTCATAACGTTCTCGCTCTCTTTCCCGTTCCCGCTGTCTGTAACTGTACTCTCTTATATCCTGCTCGTAAGGGTCTCTGTAATCTCTATAATCCCGGGGATCTTCATAATATCGAGGATCATAGTATTCAGCCTGATAAGGATCCCACTCATAAAAATCTCTACTCCGTGCACGATAATCTCTGCGTGGGTCTTCAGGGAATACAGCAGCAGGCCCCCTGACAGCTTCAAAGTAAGGACGATCTGCTGGATATTCATGGAAAGATCCCCTTCGTTCCTCCCTGAAAGTTAAACAAAAAAAGTCTACATTAATTTAAAGCTCCTTAGTATTTTGAAATGAAACAATAGGTGTGTGTATGTGTGTTGGAGAAGGGTGGTGGGGAGTGGAGGGGTTCAATCACTTGCCTTCTCTCAGCAAAGATTTCATATAAATCCCGCATGTCCTGCCCGGAAACTTCCATGGATCGGTAGAAAGCTAGCTGACTCTCACGATTAGCAAAATCCACCTAGAAGGAAACAGAGGTCTTATTACAACAACGTGCATTTATACTGCGCCCTTCACCTGGGGTAGGTCTCGGAGCACTTATTAAACATTAAAAGCACCAGTGATCATTTCAATACCAAGGAAATATGTGGCCAATGACAATTGAATACTTGACTGGAAATAATTAAGTTAAAACTGGCAGCAAACCATGTTATTTTACTTGATTTTGGTCTTCCAAAGCATTAAACTGTTTTTCCAGTTTGCTTGCCAACTACAGTTCCATTTTGGACCGCAAAATGCAAAGTTTTTTTTAAGCTTGCAAATTGCCAATTATTTTAACTTGCTCAATACCAGTCAAATTTTAAATTCACCATCCCTATCAATACCTTCTGCCATCTCATACTCTAGTTTTGCATACAATGAACTTTTCTGTTGGACTCGTGCATAGAAATGGGGGTGTGTACACGGAGAAGGAATTGTGTATGCGTGTGCGTGTGAGTGAGAGTGAGATAGTATGTATGTCTCTCATAGGTTCTATGTACAGAGAGTAGTGTGCATGAGAGAAAACATGCGAGAGGAAGAAACATCCCCATAAATTCTCTCATACTAACCTTTATTCTATTTCCGCCAATCTTCCTGCCCTTGGTCTCCTGCACTGCTGTTTGGGCACATTCAATTTCATCATATAACACCAAAGCCATTCCTTTCTGTCGGTCCAATACAATCTGTCCCAGGAGGCAAACAAAGAGGTCAGCTGGATCCCTGAACAGGTATGGTAAGTCTCTGATATACAGTATACCCTCTTGGCTCTCTAGGACACTGTCTCTAACCGCTAAGGAAAACATTACAGAGATGAAGTGTGATATAATTTGTCTATTATTGAGAAAGCCCAAAATATAATGGGTTATATATCAGAGGATCAGTACAGTGCTCCATGATGCTATCCTGTGTGAAGCGCAGTATATAAATGCAAGTTGTTTTTGACTTAGATAACATACTGATTGGTGAGCTGTAAAGAGTGTACTGCTATTTGTCACATAAAGAAATAGTCTAGTGAAGGGCAACAGGAACAATGAGGGTTGCAGATATGAAAGTTTCAACAGTGTACTACATTGACTGGTTTAATTTGTTTTTTTAAACTTTCAAATTTTGCGGAATTAAACGCAAAATAGAATTGCGAAATTACAGGACTTAAAATAATCGTCATTTGATTAAATATCCCGTTTTTAAAATTTAGAGCCATTATGCAAGTATTTTTATTTCCAGTAGCCAGCTTCAATTATGATTCAGAGAACCAGTCGTTTGCCTGGCACAAAGATTATACTTAAGGCCCATATTTAAAACAATGTTCATCAGTGCAGTCTGTATGGTAACGGGAAGGCAATTGATTGTGTTAATAGCTGTCCACCGTATGTCCTTCACTTTTGTCAGAACATGAAAAGCATAGCTACAACTTTAATCAGGCAGGTTTTGATGGGTAAATTACATCAATATCTTGACCTGAACCCTCTTATTTACAGAGTTGTCAAAGTAAACTGGAGAAATAATTATTTTGCTGCCAGCTCCCAAAAAGTGGCTAAATATAAATAAATAACTTCAACAAAGCTCCCACCTTGAGCACGGGTCCATAACGACAGAAATGTCTGGATAAGTATTGTTCAGTGATGTTTGAAGACAAACCATCCAGCCAGACACAGTTAGTGGGCATACTCTTTCCAAATCCCAGCTAGAAAGTGAGAGAAAGAGAAAACAGGTACATTTGAACTGTAACACAACTCTCTGACTTGTGCACAATATTATGCCTGAACTAACAATTCCATTTACAATAGTAGTAAATGTTTTTATTCTGCCTTCCCCTACAATCTTCTATTCTCTAATCTTCTATTCTCTAAACCTTACTGCTGATTTACATCACATCATGGACCATTATATGGAAGGGTTCTTTGACAAAATTAAAATGGAAAACATTTGAGAATTAATGTTATGGTAGCTTCTCGTTTCCTGTTTTGGGGAGATATTGTTTTCCTTTTTGTTCCAATTATTTTCTCAGGGTTCTCTGTATGATATGTACCTTCTCATTGTTGAGGTTTTTTTTACATCTCTGTCTATGCTATTCTGTCTGCTATTCTAGATTAAACGGTACAGGGGTTGATTCACTCGGACTTTCTCTCGTGCGTTGATGTGCTCAAGCCCTAACCTGCAGCACTTTGCTCCACAAGGTAAATAGGGCAAAAGTATTCTTTTAGTTGGGGGGGAAAATCAGTAACGAGGAGATATAGTCTCAGAAGACATGGTGGAACGATCGGGGAGAAGATGGAAAGAATTTCTCCACGACAAGGTCTGTTAGGGTGTGAAATTCATTTAAAAGGGAAGTACTTGGGAAGTAAAATCAAAACTCCTACATACCCTCCTCTGCATTGTATGTTGGTGCATCAGGTTACTGCTTATAGTACATTCCTGAAGATTGTGGGTCAGAATTAAAAACTGTATTAATGGCTACTTGATCGTGCTCATATTTGCATGAGAAAACGATACTGCCAGATTTGGGTTGGGGGTGTTGGGGGGCAGGGGGGGAAAGAGTGTTAAATTGCTTTTGTAACTACAGTTTGTTCTGGGAATACCACTTGATGTGATATTTTGAGTAGCTATTTTAGAGATAAAATAAAATACTTGCTCTACAATTTACTCTCATAGTATACTTCCACCTTCACTGAATAATTTTAATAGAAAATTCCCAAGTCAGTAAATGTTCTTGGAATTTCCATGTAACTACAATTATTTCTAACTTAGTCATCTTCTCTACAATATAATGCATTAAGTTTATTCGCACATTCTATCTAGGTTCAGCAGTTAAAGTAACAGCACAAAACAGGTAAGCAAACAACAATTACAATTAAAAATATGGAAGGATGGGCAGTCTAGTGGCACAGCACCATGGTGTATGAATGTACTGCACCATTTGGTAGGACATGGGTTCCAGGATTCCTTAAACAGTGAAATCCCAATCTCAGCAATCTTGCCTGCACGCCCGAAAAAGGCACCGCTTTCAAGCATCCTCTATTACCTGCCTTAAGAGCAGCAGAGGCTTGGAAACAAGGTGCCAAGTCACTCACTCCAGTCAAAGATAATGCCGAGGAACTAAAGTCTGGGATAAATGTAAGGCAGCCCAGTAGGTAAAACCCGAAGCAATGAATTCTCAACTAGAAAAGGAGAGCTCAAATCCAGTTTCGGTCTCATTTGCACTTGGGCTTGGCTGGGTGTGAGGGAGGAGTAACAAACGACTAGAAAGGTGGATTTTCACATAGCACTCAATCACACCTCTGGTACTTTGACCAAAGGCATCAATGATGATATTGAAAGAAAATGCGGGCTGGACACTCCAGCCCAATCCCACACCTAGGGCAGTGCAAAAGTGGGGAAGGAAAAGAGCACGTAATTTAAGAAAACAAGAAGGGAACATTACAAAAGTAAACTTACAACAAAAAACAGTATACAAGAAAAGTGTGCAACAGAAAATTCTTACTAATATTTCACTGTGAACTCCTGATAAGTGAATATTCCTGATAAGCAAATGACTGTATTTCTCCTTGCTGACCTTGAGCCGGTTATTTCCTAGGTACTCGCCGTCCATTTTCTTGATGGCTTTGCAGACACTTGCAATGTCGCAGTACTGTAGGAAAGCGTATTGAGGAACTCCATTTACCTTCTTGATGTCAATGTCCTGTCATTTAAAAAGACAAAATAGATAATTTTAACTCTTCTATACAGTTATTAGAAACAGTTTCACAAACTGGTGTGTTTTTCATCTCAATCTCTTTTTTTTGTTCTAAACCAATCACTTAACATCTCATTCAGATTATAATTTCTCTGACAATGCAGCATTCTTCTAGTAGATCTAGAATAGGAGTTAAAGTACCATTGTGAGGTTTGAAGTCACAACATTTTTGCATGGAGCTGAAAGAGCAACCACTTGAACCCAAATGAAATGCTTGAAGCTCAAATGACTAGTGATCAGCTAAAGAGAGATCCTCTGGGTACATCATCCGATAGGATCCCTCTCAATCAGGAGACACAACATAATAAATTTAACCCAAAGTTTTGAACCTCCATCAACAAAAATCTCTTTTCTCAGGAATAGGCTCTAGTAAATAATAACCAGCCTTTTCTCTCCGCGTCTTTTGGAGAGTAGTCAGGAGTACTTACGTTTAAAATGTCTCCTCTCCAAAGAACATTCCCTTGATTCATTTTTCTCAAAGGACTGTAAACTTACAAGATTTTAGGAAATAAAAAAACTGCTACAAACTATACAATCTCCATGCTTGGAACTATTAAAAAGTGCACAACTTGAAACCATTTGTGTTCTAAACAAGGCATTACACAAACATCCCCTCTTTGCAGTATTGGCCAGCCCAAAGCAATGTACACACCACAATCTCCCCAAATCGCTCGAAAATATTTCGAAGGTCTCCATAGGTTGTGGTTTTCTCCAAGTTTCCAATAAATAGTGTCCTTGTAGCTTTCGGATGAAACTCATCTATTCGGTCATCCAGAGGTCGAAATTCATTTTCACTTTCCGTTTCTGCAAGGGGACCCAAACCAAGAAAATTCAAAAATATTATGTCACCAGCACCTGAATATTGTTTGCTGTCTGCCCACATCACCTAACAAGATAACAACCATTCTATTTGATATAGCGCCTTATCAAGTCTTTGAGATATCTGAAAGTGCTTCACAGAATATACTGTAAAGTTAATTGACTATATATTTTGTGGATGAAACGCAGCAGCTAATTGCGCACAGCAGTGTCCCACAAACAGTCATGGATTGAGTGACCAAATTATTTAACATTCAGTGTATCCAAGTTGTTGCTCAGCCATTACAATCTCCTTTTTCTAAATCGTATCTTCACAAGTACAAGAAGTTGAACTACAACAATAATTTGCATTTATATCGCTGCATTCACTTGGGGCAGCGTTTCGCAGCGCTAACTACTTCTATTTATCAATCGGATATTACCAAATCTGGCTCAGGATTTAGTCACTTTCAGGGGATTTAACATTAACAGCACAAGTCAATTTAAGCAGCTGAACCTCTAAGTTTATTTAGCAAGGTCACAGCTAATGCACTGCAGTTGCTCCTTAAATCAAAAACATTTTTTAGAAGGTTAATCTTTTGAAGCCCAGAAACACCTTGTGATCTCACAAAGTATTCATTGTGAAGTGATTTGTACTGCATTATAACATTTTTATTCTTAAATCTTGTGGCAAATCTGCCCAGCAGAACTCAATAAAAACCTACCTGGGCCTGTCCAGGCAGTCACTTCAATCTGCATGCCAAAGAATAACTTCCCCTTTGATGCATTCATAGCTTTCTCCTGGTCTTCTTGTTGTCGAAAAAACACTAGTCCATAGCGATCTTCAGATGCACCATGAATCTGCACAGATGTTACTTTACCATACTTCTTAAATTCATGGAAAAGGCCATCTTTAAGGCTTGTGTCTAGATACGAAATAAGAACTTTCAGTGCAATCCAATTTAAATAACTCAGAGTAATTGTTTCAAACCAGTTATTATTCAAATAGTAATTTACAATTTTTCTTTTCCAATCTCATTGTTGCAATATAGCTCAATATTCTTCTGATTTGTGGTGGGAGGACGTTCTTAGATGAGAGCTACCAGTGGGAGCAGCGTTATGCAAGGCAGTGAACCAATGTTACTAACTACGTGAAGCCCAATAGGAGAGAGAGCTAGATTGTGTTATTTCAATATCTATCTATCTCTCGCATTCCTTTTACAGAAGACAATCTTACTTACTCAACTTGAATACTGTCATTCCACACATTTTTTTCTAATTTTCTCTATACTGGCGCAAGCCTCTCTGCTCTTGGCTCCAGTTCCAATGGCTGCTTTCTGATAGCCTATCCAAGTAGCCATCATTCATGTGTCAGTCTTGGCAGTGAGCATTATCAGGCCACTCGGCAGGGCATTGTGACCAAGCCTGATCTCCCCCACCCCAGTGGAGGGTGCTGAAGAGGGACCAGGAGCAGGAACCCAGACAGTTTTTCCTCTCCCAACTCTTGAAGGGTCACGACCCATTGTACAATTAGAAACAAGGGGTCAATCATTTAGGGGAATCAGAACTTCCCAAGCCCAAATTTGTTTTATAATTTACATAAAATATAATCCAAACCGATGATGTAAAAGATCGTGTCCGTGGCATTCCTTGAATAAATACACACCCATACCCTTAAACGTTTGAAGGAAGCAGACATTTCTTTCACTTATGTCCAAATCACTAGTTCGGACTCCTATGTAGAGCTATAACAAGTTGTCACACTAAGTAAATTATTGTCCATTGCCAGTATATTTGTAATACTTCCATTTTTCTCAAGAAAATGTTTCACCAGCAATGATACACAATGTAGGCATCTTGCAGCCCAAACTATGTGAAAAGAAAAGTTAAAAATAAAGACAAACAAGCAAAGCAGTGAATTTTGTGAAGTTAAAATGATACAGTGCTCCCCTAAATAATGACCATCTTAAGGTTAGAATACTGGGTTTTTTCGAATATTCACAAAAGCTTCAGCATTAAGTAATCTCAAATCCTAAGCAATTTTGTTCCATACCTGCTTTCAGTTTTGTAAAATCAGCTGTAGTTAGTCCCACTGAAATGAATGGAGACAGGAAACAGGAAGTAAAAAAGGGCAATTTTTCTGGAGTGTGCTATGCCTAAACTAGTTGTAATTATAGCTTCAAATGGTACATTACTGCATTACTTTTGATTGCACTTTCCAGAGAAGTGTCCAGTAAGCTCATAAGCAACATTTTTGTGCATGAATTGGGCTTTTTTTTTATAAATAAATATTCAGATTGAACAAAGAAGGTCCTGTTCTCTATTTGCAATTGAGTTTGAAAGCAGAATTAACTGTTGAGGACATTGGATTATTTTATTCAGCTTGATCTCAACAGAGTTACGTGCACAAATTTCAATGCACAATAGAAAAACACAAATTGCTTTTGAAAGTATATTCAAAACGATTTTTTCCAATTTTCAGGCCTAGATATGTGAAGATCTCGCTGAATAAAAATGAAAAGTTGCCGTCATTTATTTGGAGCTGGGGCCAGAGAAGTCAAAGGTTCATAAACTGAAGTCAATTACTCTGCATCACGCGATGATGTCTTCAATTCAATACCACATTTCCACATCTTAAACATCAACATAATATTGGATCAAAGTGGTTTTATGTAAGTGAGTTTCTAGCATACCTAAAATCCAATATTCTAACCTTAAAAAGAAACAGTCTTGAAGTTGCCTGCGAGATGATAGTTCCTTCAAGTTGTAGTAATACATTTCAGAAACTGACTGCCATGGCAATCTGAATAAATCGTACAAGTACCTGTTGTAACAACTGTTCCAATCCTTGACAGCAGTGAGAGACCCTTTTTAAAATGTGTACTTTACTCACCAGTAGAACGGACCGGCAGATTTTGAACTTTGATGCCATAGCTCTTTCGTGGTTCATCCTTTTCCATCGAGGGTGCGAGCTGGGTTGGTGGTGCGGGTACAGCAGCAGATTGTACTGATCGTGCTGGAGACTCATCACTGGAACTGCTGCTGGAATCACTGCTGCAGACAGAAGAGAAACTACTGGTTAAAGATGTGCAGCTAGGAATTTATAATACATTTCAGCTTTGAGACTCCCCTGTTGAGGTTATCCAAGTTGTCATCGATCTCTGGGTGAAAACAGTCTCCATTAGGGTTTTAATGTTAATCCATTTGTTTAGAAACTTTCAGCATGCAGTATCCCCTATTTGAATCAGATCATATCTATGTTAGAACTGCAAACCTTTTCAGGATGCACACTAAATTGCTGCAAGTGATCTGCTTCTCTAAGCAGGTCATGTTCTTTCTAATCGACTTCCTAAACAATAAGGAACCTAAAGATTAAACCTTCAAAATAGAATTCATATAGTTCCAAAATATATCTTCTGAACTCTACTTAATTCATTAAAATAATTCAAAGACAATATCAAATAATATTTTTTCTTTTTTTTCCCCCAGAGAAAGGGGGGACAGAGAGATGGTGGAAGAATTTTGAGAGAGTTCCAGAGAGCGGGGCCAAAGTAACTGACAGAAGGATATTAAGCAACACAGTGTTGGTGGTGTGGATCAAAGGGAGCGAGCAGAGAAGAACACAGTAGATAGCAGAATTAAAGGACGAGGCTGTGGAGATAATTGAAAGTAAGAGAAGAAAAGCTGATAGTAATAATAATAATGCTTGCACTTGATATACTGCCGAATCACGTTTCCAAAATGTCTCGAAGAGCTTCACACAAATTTTACTGTAAACTGAATTGACTATATATTTTGTGGGCAAAACTAGAAACAGGGCGCTTATCAAAAATAGGGGCGATTGGCTCCCAGGGCCATCACCAAGATAGAGAGGAACACACACACAGAATCCTAAACCCTCATATATTGCAGTTGGGTTGCCGTGTTTTTTTTAAACTTTAAAAAGCATTACAAGATTTCACCAGCAGTCATGATCAGACGAGAACAATCTGCTTTCCAAATGAATGTAAAATCAGGTTTGGAGCACCCAGCAGGAAGTGAAGCATTTTATATGTTCCAAACAATGATCAAAGCAGTATTCAAAACAAATGAACACAGTAAAAAAAATGCCTGCTGGTGGCCGCCTGTTGAACTCTGCTGATTCAGGAGTCTGGCGAATTGTATCTGGAGTCTGGGATCAAGCTGCCCTTTCCAAAACCTCACACTTCAGAGTATTTAAGCAGCTGAATCAGGGAATTGATTTAGTTGCTGAATCAGCATTACATGGAATGACAAACGGCTGCTACAGTGCTGTAGAGCCCAAACTGTATTGAATTCAGACATAAACACGTACCCCATCCAAAACACCAAGCTTCTCAAAGAAAAAGCAGCATTGCTGTTGACAAACTTGTACATTTACCAGGTTTTTATCTGTACTGAAGGATCATATTATGAGTCACACCAGTTAGGCACTTACTATTCCTAATAAGAACATTGTCTAAAATTAAATTATGTTGCTGAGAATGTGAATGAAATTACATTAAGAAAGCCTTAAGTAAGAGATAAATAAATCAACTTGTTATCGAAACTAATTCTTCACAAACATCCAAAATATCAGGTCAGATAATTCTCGACATGAGGTAGGTTAAGCTGTCCCTAGGTACGGGGATTCCCATCAACTTATTTTCAAACCTCCTACAAATAACATCAGCAGGAATCTAATTTTTACAGTGAACGTGCGGTTTACTGCAGCATTCTACTTTCCCCTTTCTGATATGCTGTTTTTCCCCCTTTTACAATGGAGGATCTCAGTTTAAGTGGAGTAACCTTTGCATAATAAGCTGCAATCAACCTCTCTCCCCTTGCCTTAAGGCAGGAAGAATTCTTAGCTCTGCAAATCCAGTTCATTAGGATTGCTAATTACAGCCCTTTCTGCTCTGAACACAAACTCTCTTATGAAATCAAAGTCAGATACATGACCTCGCTCATTGGTTAACGTGGTCGCACCACAAATCCTGAAGCATGTGAACCAAACACACAAGAGTGCGGCTGCATCTTGTTTACTGAATAATCCTAAGGGACCATCACATCATTCATTTCCAAAACAGAAAAAAAATGGCAAGTTTGACATTACATTTCCCATCTGTACGGCTTGGAATGAACAGGGTGAAGATTTAAGAAGCACACATTTTAAATTGCAGCAAATAATGTAGCTATAAGGTAGTACAGTACTGATACAGCTCGAAGAATGGCTTCACATTGAGCAAGCAGTGTAGTGAATCAATCCCAAAGTAGTTAAGTAACTGGATCAATGACTTCACATGAGTAAACTACCTTCTGAACTGAAATGCTGTTAGTGGAATAGCCTCAGCAGTTTTACTACATGGCTTTCAAGCTGCGTCCCAAGACATTGATTTTCGATTTTTGTTGTGATCTAAATGGATTGGCAGAAAGTCAGGGTGTAGGAATTGGAGACCAAGAATGACTGGTTGCAAAACCTGCTCAGGTCTGGTGCAAACAGGGACTAGTTAAGCACCTGAAAAATAACATTATGATATAGGAAAGTGTTGGAAACCCGGGCCAATTCAAAGGGTGACTGAAAAGATCAAGAGGTGGATGTTAAAGATCCCCCGTGGCACTATCTGAAAAGGGAAGGAATTTTCCCAAACAACAATCTTCCAAATAAAAGTGGTCATCCACTTCATAGTTATTTATGGGACCCTGCAGTGCACAAACTGGCTGTCACACTCACATACAAAAATACTGTAAATACACTTTACAGTAAAATCAGAGTACTTTGAGATGTTTCAATAATTTGATACGTCAAATCTAGGATTGTTATGTTAGCTCAGTCCCAAATCATTAATCTGGTCAAAAGCACACTTCTGCTGTTACACAACTGCCTACTGAACTTACTGCTGGAACTTGAAACACCACATTTACATTATAATTTGGGACTTCTGTATTAACGCATCTGACCAAAGGTACACTTTAACTAGAGAATTTAACCAGGCCATGCTTATGCCAAGATTTATTTGAAGGATTTCACACTCTGCAGCCTCATAATCTGCTCCAATGAAGAAGGAGCATTGCAGAGGCAAAAGGTATGCACTGAGACATAATGTAAATTGGGTCAGCCACTACTGAAGAACTCTAGGTATGAACTCTGGATCCTAACTGACTCATTCAAAGCCGGGAAAGAATCTAACCTCACAACTACACAAACTTACATTTATATAGAGCATTTCGCGTAAAAATCAACTGCTCGAAGAACTTTACAACTGATGAAGAATGATGAATTGTAAACAGTGCTGAGCGCTGGTGTAAATACAGCAGTAACTGGATAAGCAGCTAAAACATTAAGAGATACAGTAAACCTCACACGAGTTGTATCAGTTGGGTCTATACATATAATATGACTTATGCAAAGTATGAGTTACGTGAAACTTAAAGAATAGGAAATTCAATGGGACTTGGGAAGACATATGACTTAGTCGATTATACGATTTATGCAGTTTTATTGTATAAGGAGAGCTGGAAACTGACTAATATAAAGTGTGACAAAAATCTGATAAGACAATAGTTTAGAGACACTTTGGTGTTGAAATGTCATGCTTCTATTTATCTTTAGATATCTTTAATAAACAGATTCAAATAAGTTAAGGAAATAACCGATTTGTTTTAAAAGCGTTATCATTAGAATTATACATGCACTTAAAGAGATCTATGAGGCTGAACAGCATTTGCTGGTGAAAGCCAAATCTTATTGGCATCAGATAAATCAGAAATTAAATGAATGTAATGATGTAGGCAAGTACAACAGCTAAATTGCACCAGTAACATCCTACATATAATGAGATGAGCGGCAAATTAATTTGAATTTGGGGTAAATTTGGATGAGGAGGGAATATAAGTAAAGACTACTGAGAAAAAACTCAACATCTCTTTGAAGTGGGAGGGAGAGAGAGAGGGAAAGAGCGGAGGCAAACCTAAATTCATGACTCAACCAAAAAAATGGAAATTAACTTGCATTTAAAATAGAATATTATGAGAGCAAATACAATCTCTGCCAGCAACGTGCCACAAGATGAGATCAGCTACTCATTAACTGTAAAAATGTCCATGTTTTGTCTTTGTCAATTGAGTGGGTTTACGATAGTATCTGTAATACTGACATTTCTGACCCACTGAACACTGACATGGCCTTTTACAATGCCATGAAGGATTGACCTTGAAAAGTTTTAATTGAAAACGACAAGCTGATTAGAACCTGGCTCTCAAACTGCTTTGCCCTCAACCCCGCTCCATGCTGAGACAGAACAGTTACCAATGTCTCAAATCAGATTTGGTTCCTTCATCCAGGATAGCGCTGCAGGGAACCACCAAGTCAAGGCTATTATTAGCAACACAGTTTAATTCAACAATTGTCTGCAGCCAATTCTATTTGAAAAGATGTTGACCTTTATTACAATACCCTGTGCAGCAGGCTTTTTTTATTAAAAAATTAGTTACTGTATTTCTGTAGCAATTTGCAATTGATCAGTATAAAACTCAAAAAGCTAAATGTAGTAATATTATAACATTAATTTTCAGCTAAAACTCTTGCCTCTATTTATTTGGGTACAACACCACAATTAACACAAAATGTGCAATGTATATAGCATCTCATTGCATTATTTCACAAATAATTAGTGTCAAGTGTAGTAACATGTTTTTTCAGATAAACAAGGCAGACATTTACGCCACCAGGGCCCCACGAACAACACTAGGTGAACGGCAGAATAGTGCACAATTAACCTGGAGGAATGTTTTTCAAAGTGTCCCAGGAACATTAGCAATCTCAAGTCTCACAAATAAGTACAGTACTTATTAACTTAAATGAAAAGGCTCCTTCCAAAACATCATAGGCACATGATATCAGCAGTACCCCTGATGCCTTTTAGAAATACTTCACTCTTCATGAAAATCTTAACACAAGGCTATGTTGCGCACAACTATAGGCACTGAATCAAATTGATTAGCTCAGGGAACTTTATATCTGCATAGGTCCAAAAGTAAAAAATCCAACAACAAAC